CTCAATTCCATGACAGCTACGGCCGATATTATATGACATTCAAAGATTCAAACAATTTAATTTTTGAAATAGATAGCCACATGTCTTATCTTCATGTCCCAGCGGTTGTGGTAATCACTAAATTTGACGTTTAGGCTATACAATCTTATTTGATTGGCAGTTTTTTTCCTCCAAAAAATTTTTTTTTTCTCAAAAACGGTTAATGTTAGGTATAGCGTGTTTGATATCATAATTCATTAAATTTAACGTTTTTGCAACTAGAGCGCAGTCATCAGCGTATTGAAGTTCTGTAATGAATTTTGTATGTGATTTTGCTCTGCGAGTCTTTTTTTATGTTGAACAGACCGCCGCGCCGGCGCCATCGTATCTGTATCTAATGCCAGAGCTAATGCCCATTCCTCTTTCCTGCAGTTTGCTGTCCACCTGTGCTGTCCACTATAATGGAGAGCGCTGCCTATCCCTTATTTGTAATTCCTGGTACACATCATTCCATAGACCTTTGTGCTATCTAGAGCTTCCTTATGACTTCTTATTTCAATGTTCTTACTCTTACTCTGCACTCTGTACATTCTTCAATAACGTGCTAGAAAACTGTATTTTTAATAAACGGTTCTAACCTTTCCGTGTTAACATTTCCACGTTTTTTAACCAAACAAAATTAGATTGTGTTGCAATAATAGACAGATAATTTCAGCCCACCAGACGCTAAACAATGAAAAAACTTAATAGTGGTTAAATGTTACTACTTTCACCTTGTTGGAATTATAATAATACTATTACCGTTAAACTATTGTAATACGGATCAATTTGTATTCAATTCAGAATCATGTACAGGGAGTTGTCAAATCAGTTGGAAATAAAATCATAATTATTATTAATGATGACAGTAAATGGTTAATAAGTTTTATATACCTTATTAACCTTGAGGTGCAATTTTCAAGTTACTTACTGGTAGTCAATCAGTTAAAATTTTTGTTAAAAAACATATATGTGGACAGACATAATATGGTTTTCAGAGCTAATGTTTTCAAAATGTACGGGGAGTTTTTGCTTTGTTTGCATTTTTAAGTTGCAGCACATTTTGTAAAAAAATATGTGTGCTTGGACACTGGTTTTTATCAAAGTACCGAAGACAAAAATACTGTGCGATGGTACTTACAAAGTGCATAATTTGTGGAATTTACAACAAAAATTAAAATATAAACTTCCATCAGTTTACCGCTAGTATATTGTGTTTGGATCATATAGATTGATTTAAAATACATTTGATATTATACCGGGTGCGTCTCAAAAGTGGCTCACCCCTATAACTTTTTTATTTTTACAGTTAGAAAAAGAAAATTTGGTACCGTAAAATGGGGTGAATAGAAACAGTTTCGTAGGCTATTAGCGATATACCGGTTAATAAAAATGTGGTATTATTTTCCCGAATATTTTAAAACATGGGTCTTTGTTTGTTCTTTGTGTATACATATAATTTGATTTTTGAAAAATATGCATATAAATATTAAATAAAATAACATTTGTGTTTCTATTCACCTGCTATTCGGGAGAATAGAAACACACATTGATGTTAAGGTTTTTATCTATTCTATTTCCAACAAAGTGATTAGAAACAGTAAATTATTACATATTTAAGTAGGTTTAACAATAATTAACAATACATATAATATAACAACTTACATGTGCCAGCTTATGTATTACTTTAAAAATAAATATTTTATTTATAAAGTTTTCGCGCCATACAAAATAGGTGATAAATCGATCTCACATTTATTGATCAACTGATTGACAGAAACAGTGCTGCCACAGATAAAAATATAGTTTCTACATTTTATTGTGTATTACCAATGATAGAAAAATTAGATATGTCGACTCTTTTTACTTTGAATATTTTTAATCGTGATTTGATTTTTTTCAGAAATTTTGTTTCTATTCACCACTATGTTTCTATTCCCCCCATTTTACAGTATGTTAGTACATGACATAAATTAGGATTGATACACCTTTGGATTTTTAAATGACATCCTCGGTATTTTTTTTTACTTTATTCGATAGAAAATAACACTCTGAATAGAATGACATATCATTTGTCAAGTTTTGACATTTTCGTATATGGTTTATTTCAAATTATAACTTGCGGTTCGTAACGAAATTTTTTCTTAAAAAAATGCTTTTCCAAATATGCTAATGAGCCACCTCCATTTGAAAAAATTGAGATATAATTAAAATACCATTTGATATGTCATTCTATTCAGAATGTCATTTTCTGTCGAAAAAAGTAAAAAAATACTGAGGGTGCCCTTTAAAAATCAAAAGTTGTAGTCATTTCCGGTGAAACAAGAAGTGACCAATAACAATTGAATACGCCAATTAATCCTAATTTATGTCATATACTAACATACCAAACCTCGTTTTTTATCTGAAAAAATAAAAAAGTTATAGGAGTGAGCCACTTTTGAGACGCACCCGGTATACTGTTCACCACGTACTGTTCACCAAACTAGGACGTCAAATCTTGGAATAAAAGTCAAACAAAAAACACAATCATCATCACTATGTAAATAAAAAAAACGGTTTGGTTACATTTTGATTATACAGGGTTGTTCACCACATACGACACGGATTATTGTAGCTAAACGATGAGATTTTTACAAATTGTAAGTTTTGGGTTCGATGAAGGACTATTAGAGGTACAATTTAAAAATAATTTTACAAGATACAGAGTGTCCCAAATAAGTAAAAAATATCAAAGTTGTATTTTTTTAAATGGAACACCCTGTATATTATTACATTTTTAGTTTCTACGATTAAAATAAAGGTAAATTTGATTAAGGTTTATTATACGTAAACCTTACCGTTTTTGAAATATTTTCAATTTTGTGAAATTGCAGTAAAAATTTTAGGGCTTCATTTCTCCAAGGGTATCAAAGGTTTTAATACTAAATATTTACTGAAGTTTATTTACTGATCAGTTATTGTGTTGCAATAATAAAAATAATACTACCTTATACAGAGTGTCTAAAAATTTATTTTAAATAATTATTAGCTTCAAACGGCAATAACTTGTTTAATTTAAATAGAACACCCTGTATATTTTACGAGAATTAGATGCACAATTTAATTGTCTATCAAATTATATTATACCATTTTTACCTATCTCTTTAAGTTTCCATAGAAAATGCATTTTCTTGTAATTTAGAACTTATTTATCAATATACCCATGGACTATTGACATTTTAGATTATTTTTAAAGATGTACCAAATTTTTAAGAGTACAGATACTAATATTGTCGATATAATTCGTTTATTTCAATAAAAATAAAAAAAACTGTTTAAATATTTGTTAAAGAGGACCAATTAATATGATTCCAGTATTCAAACTACATTAACTGACTGTTTGCGTTGATTAATAATAATTGCTCCAAATACAAAAAACTGAATTTTGTATGGGCATTAGACAGTGTGATAAAAAGTAACACCTTAAAAATGAAATTTCATTTTTCATAAATACTTATTTATAACAACAGAGACTTTAATTTGATAACTTATTATTATATTGATTTCTGACTCAAATCCACATTTATTTATAATAATTTATTAACGAACACAATTAAGTATGTAATTAATTAGTATATGGGCGGAAATAATGGTGTTATATTTAATTAATGGTATACTCTTTGATAAAGATTTAAATAGTTTTCTTTTTGCATACAAATGGGCTAGTAATATTATCGTTTTGCTAAAAACGATAATATTACTAGTCTGTACATTTTGTACATTTGCTGCTTTAAAAACAATCTAAAATGTCAATATTCCATGGATATATTGATAAATGAGGTCTAAATTATAAGAAAATGCATTTTCTACGAAAACTTGAAGGGATAGGTAAAAAATGGCATAATACAATTTGATAGACAATTTAATTGTGCATCTGATTCTCCTAAAATATACAGGGCATTCCATTTAAATTAAAGAAGTTATTGCCGTTTGAAGCTAATAATTATTTAAAATAAATTTTTAGACACTCTGTATAAGGTAGTATTATTTTTATTATTGCAACACAATAACTGATCAATAAATAAACTTCATTAAATATTTAGTATTAAAAATATTGATACCCTTGGAGAAATGAAGCTTTAAAATTTTTACTGCAATTTTACAAAATTGAAAATATTTCAAAAACGGTAAGGTTTAAGTATAATAAACCTTAATCAAATTTACCTTTATTTTAATCGTAGAAACTAAAAATGTAATACAGGGTGTTCCATTTAAAAAAATACAACTTGATATTTTTTATTTATTTGGGACACTCTGTATCTTGTAGAAATTTTTTTAAATTGTAGCTCTAATAGTCCTTCAACGAACCCCAAACTTACAATTTGTAAAAATCTCATCGTTTAGCTACAATACTCCGTGACGTATGTGGTGAACAACCCTGTATATATTGGGTCAAAACAGATCAATATAATACCCTATGATCGAATAAAAACGGCGTCAGCAATGGCTATGAAATGACGATCGCTGTCATTTTATATGTAAAATTATATGGGAAATGTCATCGATCGTCATTTCAAAGCCAACTGGACAGACTTATATCTTAGAGACCAACTTAATATTAATTTTGGCCATTTGAAAATCGGATGAAGATATTATTGAGATCTAGCAGCCATGAAAACATTTGCAGTTTATTACTTAGGATTATGAATCACGTTCATTTTAATTATTTTATTTAAATTTGATAGAATCAGTTCGTAAAAAACATCCTGTATGTATCATTTGAGCCAAAAATCATGGCGATATTTGCAAATATATTTTATCTCTCATCAACAAAATAAACCGTTTCAATCAATTGTTATTAATCTGTAACAGAATTTTGTTAAAAACAACATTGCTTCCTGTGTTTTTCTCTTAGTGACCGGTTTATATGTTACGAATTTGTAAAACTACGTTAATTACTACAGCAAACAACTCGATCCGCAAATTGGCTACGTGTTTTGGGTGCAAATCAGCCGATGTAGAATGAGAAAAAGCAGACAGAAGCCTCAACAGCTGAAGCGCTTCACGGTTCAGACAGTCTTTTCTAAACAGAGAGTAGAAGTTTTTAGATTATTGCGACTAGAAAGTGACTTCAAACATACGTCAGTATAAAAATAATATTGTTGTGAATCTATCTCCCGGATTGGAAGTGATTATGTAAACTTTGTACGTGCAGAATATTTATTTTTCTTACCCGTGCAATACATCACTAAATTACTAATTAGAAATTTGTTGGATTTAACAGAAAATTAGTAAGTAAATAAGATATATTTTATACAATAAAATGAAATTTTAAACCATTTAGTGTAAAATGTTCTTTCTATAAGTAGATAACAGATAACTAAGTTAAGCCGTTTAAAAAAATAAAATTTTCTATATACAGGGTCCGGCAGTAGTGCGTTGGGCATTTGTAGCTCCTAGATTAAGAAACTTGGGACTTCTGCATAAGTGCAAACCTAAAGTATGTACTAGGATGTACCGTATGATCGAAAAAAAATGGCGTCCAGTTGGCTTGGAAATGACGATCGATGACATTTCCCATATAATTTTACATATAAAATGACAGCGATCTTCATTTCATAGCCATCGCTGACGCCGTTTTTATTCGATCATACGGTATTTTAGGAAAATATTTTAACTTCTATAGGATGGCTCTAAAAAGTGTGAGTGGTCGGGATGATTTTTTTTAAAATAGAACACCCTGTATATTATTGCATTTTTGGTTTTCTTTTAGATCACTTTACATAATCTTAAGATATGACTAAATATATTTCGTTAGTTTCAGAGATATTAATAAATAAACAAAAAAATATATTTGTCAGCATTTCTTAAAAAAGTACATATTAAAAATACAAGAACCTCTGTCCTGAAGTCAACACTATATTAAGTATTTACTTTAGATGGTCTGTAGTTACTTTGCAGTAAATACGGTACCTAATCGTAAATCACACAGGATGTTCAAAATTTCTTAAATAGACTTTCTAAAATAGAAAATTATTTTTCTTCGTTTTTTGTTTAAATGGAACGCCCTGTATATTATTTTCTCAATAGATGGAGAATTAAAACATGAACATTTTTTGTATTTAAAACATTTCAATATTTAAAAAATAATTTTATATTTTAGAAAGTTTGGCGTAGAATTTTGAACATGTATGATTTACGATTACCAGATTTATAATAATGTAAGTACAGGCATAGTACAGGCTTTTAACTCTATGGTACAGGCCATCTAAAGTAAATATCCATTATTGTTTTGAATTCAGAACAGTTCAGGCTGAAAAATATATATTTTTGATTTATTAATTAATATGTCTGAAACTACCGAAATATATTATTTATTCACATCCAAGTTCATATCTTAGGATTATGAAAAGTGATCTGAAAGGAAGCCAAAAATGTAATAATATACAGGGTGTCCTATTTAAATAAAAACTTTCCCGATCCACTCGCACTTTTGTGAGCCATTCTATAAAAGTTAAAATATTTTCCTGAAATACATCCTGGTACATACTTTAGGCATGCACTTAAACAAAATTCTCAAGTTTTTTATTCTAGGAGCTACAGATGACCTAAGCACTATTAACCGGACCCTGTATGATAAGTTTGGCTCTATTAAATTTTTATAGTACCTATCTAGTTGACTAAATATTAAATATTATGCAAGGTGCTCATAAAAATCCTAATATTTCAATTAGAAACAAGTATTTTTACAACTTTTCATTTTATTAATCTTAAAAAATAAAGAACGCTTTGTATACAGAATGTCCCATTTTGGTTGAAATCATACCATATTATGTGAAGATATAAGGATGCGGTTTGCACAAACCTGTCCCACTTTTTTGTCAAACGGAAGATGCTGTAAACAAAATTTCCATAGCACACTTCGTTTTTGAGCTACAGGGTCTTTTTAAAAATTTTGCAATTTGGAACATCTCCTGTATCTCTGTTATTGTGATGTTTCGTTATTTCAAACGTTTCTTTAAAACAGTTTTATTTGAAATCTATTAAATCTATTTTAAATAAACCAGACATCGACATAATTCAATAATTAATTAATAGTTAATAATTAAAAAAGCCAATTGAAATTTGCATTATCTGCGAAAAAAAATGCTTATTATAGAATGAATGTAGTAAAATGAGACTTACCCTTGTAATGTGATGTAAAAAAAACAGTTCGAAGAAATTGTTTTTAGTATAGAGACAGAAATAACAAGGAAATATTGTAGATGCAAATTATTTGTTTTAAATTTATGGAAGTTTTAACCAAGCAATTAGCAAGTAAGTAACGATTAAATCAGTTAAATTGTATTGTTTACTATGGTAAAATATTGTACTATCCAAATTTGAACACGTATCGCAAAATATTTTTAAATGGTGTCCTCAAAGTGGAATCATTTTATAAATGCTTTTATATTTTTTTTTCTTTATTAAATTTTATATTTATAAAATATATAAAGAATAAAAACTGTCAGGTATACGTCAATTTAATTTGTCAATCACCTCATTTACGTATCAGTCTTATTTTTTTAACATGTTTTTATTTTTTATATAATTTTTCAGAATGAAAACAGCGGCTATCGCTGTGCTGTCATTTTTGACGTTTGTCAATGGACACGACTACAGATTACCGAAAAATGTGATGCCCGAAAATTACAGATTGGAGATCATCACTCCGCTGGGCGAGAAAGACAATTTTGACTTCCATGGAAAAGTATGGATAGAGGTAAGTTTCTGTTCTGTTCTATTTGGTGGATGGAGCGAAGTGCAAAAAGACATGTGGCACTTAGTACAATGTCCCTCTTATTAACACGGTTTTAGTCGATATCTTACAGGGCTGTTACGAAATAAAAAACAGCGACCATTTGACTTGGAAATGACAATCAATGACATTCCCCATACAATTTTTCATATAAAATGACAGCGATCTCCATTTCATAGCCATTGTTAACGCAGTTTTTTTCGATCATATTGTAGGTATTTGTCATTTGTCATTAATACCGTATGATCGAAATAAAATGGCGTCCAGTTGGCTTGGAAATGACGATCGATGACATTTCCCATGTAATTTTACATATAAAATGACAGCGATCTTCATTTCATAGCCATCGCTGACGCCGTTTTTATTCGATCATACGGTATATTGTGTGTGTCTTTTGACCAAGCGTTTGGGCCTATTGGTGATCTTAAGGTTCTAGAGTAAAATACTCAACGGAAATAAAAAAATACACGTTTAAAACATATTTTAATTATTACAGAATTAAAACTAGATATAAACGTATAATTGGGACAAAAATTAGCTAGATGAAATAAAATGTTCAAAATGCTTCTTTTCCTGTTCACTACGTAAAATGATTCTCTTTTCAAAATATATTTTTATGTTAAAAGCTATACCTATGTGGAGTTCTACTTCGAGAAGCAGCTACAATCCTTTCTCTCATGTTGTCGACAATAGTTGGTCGAGTTTTGTAAATACTGTCTTTAACTTATCCCCATAAAAAGGTCCTGACTAAAATAGATAAATCAGAAGCATTTAAGTATTCTATTAATTGTTGAATGCACACTGCAGTAGCCAACTAATACAATCATATCAATTCTCCCTGATGTAGGAAAGTTACCATTTTCGGCAAATTTCTGGGATTTTTTTTGTTTTAACTAATTATATCGCCAAATATTGTTTATTCAAATTTATTATTATTTTCTTTTAATTTTATAAATAAAATACAGTGTGTTGCATACAAGAAACTTTATTTTATATAAGGACATGTATGAAATACCTACGAAACATTGGAAACCGACATTATGCCACGATCCACGATGGTTTTTGCAGTTCACAGTTCACAGCACAGCTTTTTAAGTTTTTAATGCCACTTTTTCACAATTATCACGAGTTTTGAAGATTCTGACTTTGACAAGAGATATGGACAAGAGAAAAATATTTCTGTTTTCGTTTGCGGTTGTTCTTAGCAACCGCTATAGCAGCGCCAGACCGCGTACAACGGTCGCGAACCAAAACAATTTCGCGACCTAAAATTTTGACGGGCATTCCAATCTAAATTTATTTCCTTCATCTCTATGTACTGTCACAACATGAGAACTAGTTGTTAAAGTTGAATTAATTTGACAGCTATGTTGAGAGATTTAACCAAATAATAAAGATCTACCGACACTAAATAAAAAAAATAAAATATCTAGCAAAATCTTTGTTTGAGTATTTTTAAGAGACATTAATTCCCAATTGAATATCGAAATAATATACTGGGTGTTTTATTTAAAATAAAAAGTAGCTTGCGTTTAAAGGTGACGAATGTTCAATATTAATTTTGTCTCACCCCCGGTATAACTTTTTGGGTCAAGTTTTAATTTGATTTAAAGTACAATAGTTATTTTAACTACATATTAGGCTATACCGGTAAATTCCAATTTTTTTATTCAATTATTTAAAAAACACAACTTTGATGTGTATTTTTTTGGGGGGGGACGCCCTGTAGTAAAACTCTATTTTTAAAAAATGCTCTAAATTAACCTATACATGGTGTCCCATAAATAAGTGCAAGTAATTTTTTTGCAAATTTTCAAAGTAAACTCGGTTATTTTGGACTTATTTGGAAAACGGTAAAGATAAAAAATATTTCTTTTAACCAGATCTACCACCCCTTAAAATACTTGCACTTGTTTCTGGGACACCCTGTATTTGCTCACAAAAATTCATTTCAATACAAACTGTCGTTCTCCTTAGAGCCTCAGCGTCGTATGAAAGGCGCCACCCAGTATATATTCGTATATACAGAGTGGCGCTATACAGCCAATATGCTACAAAATAATATTTGTGGCATATTGGCTTCTTTTTTTATCCAATTATCCTGAGTCAACTTAAGTTTTGTAAGATAATAAGTGCTGTAACTTATCCAGTAGTCGTTTTGAAGCTTTGTAGGGTTTATGTTTATAATAACTGGCCCACTCTCTATCAATATGCTGATGCGTTTACCTATAATTTTTCTATGAGATATTATATGATAGTTCGGTGGTTTTATGGCAAAAGGTGCTATGTCGAAATTTTGGCGTTTTTCTTGTTACCTATAATATGGCAATAAGTTCTATGATCCATAAAAATCATTTGTTTCCATGTGGCTTAAAAAGTCAAATGGAACATTTTTAAGCCAAATGAAACCATATTATTTTTATGGAATTCAAAATTTTGGACAAAACACGTTTTTCGTGTTACAATGATATCGCAATAAGGTTTCGACATAGGATCTTTTGCCATAAAACCACCGAGTTGTAGGATACTGGCGTTTTTGTTCATAGTCCATTTATCTTGAGCTTATGGAAGTTTTGAAAGATAATAGCTCATGTAATTAATCACTCCAAGTTTGATCTTAAAAAAGCGTGCATTTCAAGCGAATTTCTCGATATCTAATTGAATATAACACTAGAGAAATGTACATAAATAATTAAAATAATTGTTTGAACTTTAAAATAAAGCGATGTAAAGGCTGTCTGTTGCAAGGCGCCGACCACGCCGCTCCTCTGTTTGCAAACAAAACTAGTCAAAGACCTGACTCGGTTCGCCAGTTTCGTGATTTGAATCGATTAGCCTTCGCAGTTTTTGATTTTAAACATTGACCTATATTATTTCGAAATCGTATTTTGGTTTTGTCGATATCTAAAATAAGACATATCTGCATATACATGGTGTAAATGAATAAACGCGAAAAGTCAGGAGGTAATTGCGTTTGAAAGTTAGTTATTTTCTTGCTTACCACGGGTTAAGCACGAGTACCGGAGTACGAGGGTCTCAAGGGTAACGAAAAGGCAGATGACATGGCAAAACAAGGCTGATTAATGTCATTTACAGCCTCAGAACTCTTGTGCGGCGCTGCAAATGTAGTTACAAACATAGCCATAATAGTGGGTGGTCAACAAAATTTCTAGAATGGTGGAGGAATTCATCAGGTCAGAGAGAGGCGAAAAAGTCATAGTGGAACATTCGCCAAAGTTAACGGCAGATCTGATAAGACAGAAAGACTGTTAAGCTGTAGTACGTCTACTGACATGGCTAGGATTGACTAGAGAAGCCGTACAGATTTTGTTAATCTGAAGAGGAAATGACAGAAAGCGTTTTATGATTTTATGTTAGTGCGACCGCCTAGCAAATATGCGATTCTTAGGCAATGATCTGGCTCACCCCTTTGACTTTTTTATTTTTTCAGATAAAAAAAAAACGAGATTTGGTATGTTAGTATACAACATAAATTAGGATTGATTGACGCATTCAATAATTGTTTTTGGTCACTTCCCGTTTCACCGGAAATGACTACAACTTTTGATTTTTAATTGGCACTTTTGGTATATTTATACTTTATTCGAGAGAAAATTACATTCTGAATAGAATGACATATCATATGTCAACTTTTGACATTCTCACTTAATAAAAAATCGTATTTTAAAATTCAATCTAGAGTGCCATGGCTGTGTTAAAATCACTAAGTTTTAATCAAGGAGCCTTGGAAAATAAATTTGATCGTCTAATGTTTTTAGTGTCTTATCCTGGCGGGTTAAAAGATGGCCAAATCATATTTTTAATCATATCTCATATATTTTCAAATGGAAAGATGGTGGCTCATTAGCATATTTGGAAAAAGCATTTTTTTACGAATTATTTGGTATCACACGTTTTGATATTTCGAGTCAAATTATCGTTATGAACCGCATGTTACAATTTCAAATAAACTATATACGAAAATGTCAAAAGTTGACATATTATATGTCATTATATTCAGAGTATCATTTTCTATCGAATAAAGTAAAAAAATACCGAAGGTGCCATTTAAAAATCAAAAGTTGAAGTCATGTCCGGTGAAACAGGAAGTGACCGAAAACAATTGAATACGTCAATCAATCCTAATTTATGACATGTAACATACCAAATCTCGTTTTTTTATCTGAAAAAATAAAAAAGTTAAACGGGTGAGCCACTTTTGAGACGCACCCGGTCCCGGTATAGAGGGCTCAGTCTCCAAGTTGATTATGAACTGAACTGGCTGATAACCACCTCTAAAAAAATCTGATCTAGCCATGGATGAACTACAAAAACAATATACATCCATAGCCTAATTTGTACAAGCATGTTATTTACTAGACAAGGAGTGTAATGTCATATTCATATTATTAGACCATTTGCGTTTGAAAATATTGATAGGCGCCTAAAAGTTATATTGTTTCCTTGTTTAATGTCCAGTTGTAATAAAATTCCTAATACAGATACGCACAAATAATTTTTTTAAACGTTACAAAAGTATTAATTTTTGCGAATAAGTACGAACATACCGTATGATCGAATAAAAACGGCGTCAGCGATGGCTATGAAATGAAGATCGCTGTCTGTGTTTTATATGCAAATTTATATGGGAAATGTCATCGATGTTCATTTCATAGCCATCGCTGACGCCGTTTTTATTCGATCATACAGTATTATTAAACTGACATAAAGTGTCAAATTCAACGAGAGTAACGGCTTCTCGATATATAATTACATACAAGGTAGGACTTTTAAATCTTTTTATATTATTTGGAACGTTTGAAATTGTTTAAAAAATTATTTGTGGCGTTTGAAAAAACAATAACATGTTCCATTCAGAGTAAAAATGATTTTTTGTGCCTCGGTTGTATGTCAAAAATCGCCACAAAAAGTGTTATTTTTACTCCTAATAAAACAATTAACTATTTGTGCAAGAAAAAATATACTACGAACTCATCTCTATTTTTCAGACATCTTGCGTAACTCCCACAAAAAACATAACTCTGCACTCCAAAGACCTGGAAATCGAAGAGGAGAAAGTGGCTCTCAAGGACATTTCCAGCAAAGTCATCAAAGAAATCAAGGAGCTGAAAGTGACCTACGATAAAGAAAACGACTTTTTGATCATTTTGTTGGATCAACCCCTCACGGAGGACCACCGCTACGAAATTTATATTCCTTTCAAAGGAAAACTGAACGATGGACTTGCAGGTATGTATAGTCTATGTTACGAATCAGGGAAGATTTCGACAGACCCCTTCCAAAAAATGACAGAAAATACAATTTGACTGTGAATTAAAATGACAGACACAATTGTCACTTATGAATCCTGTGGTTAGAAAGACTATACACAGGGTGTCCCAGAAATAAGTGCAAGTATTTTAAGGGGTGGTACATCTCGTTGTTCAAATAAGCCAAAATAACGGAGTTATTTTACTTTGAAAATTTTTGCTAAAATTTTGAGAAACGCTGGATCTTTTCTGGGTATTATTTTTCTTGTAAATTTAATCTAATACCTATGTTGCCATATTATCATGAAATAATTTATCATTAATGTTTTTTAACTAAAAACTAAAAAAAATTCCAAAAAATTTCGAATTTTCAATTTTTTTTTTTCGTGAATAAAAGCTCATAGGCGTGTTTCTGGGGTTGAACTATACTACCAGTTAAAATACTTGGACTTATTTCTGGGACACCCTGCATATCAGGGTAAGAAAAGCAAATAATGGTAGTTCATTTATCTTGTACAAGATGAGTGGTGAAAATACACGCAGATGCAAAAAAAGGCAACAGAAAATTTTTTCGTCAAGTTTAAAATGTTATATTTTTTTTATTTTTAGTCCTATTTCCTTTATTTTTTTTGCAAACTGTATATAAATATATAAATTTTAATTCGTAAACTCAGTTTATTATAAAATTTAGTATTTCATTTACTATACCGGGTTAATCGAAAAGTTGTTTTTTACCTTATCTTTAAAACACCCATCCATTATCATTAATGTTTTTTAACTAAAAACTAAAAAAATTTCCAAAAAATTTCGAATTTTCAATGTTTTTTTTCGTGAATAAAAGCTCATAGGCGTGTTTCTGGGGTTGAACTATACTACCAGTTAAAATACTTGGACTTATTTCTGGGACACCCTGCATATCAGGATAAGAAAAGCAAATAATGGTAGTTCATTTATCTTGTACAATATGGTGGTGAAAATACAGGCAGATGCAAAAAAAGGCAACAGAAAATTTTTTCGTCAAGTTTAAAATGTTATATTTTTTTTATTTTTAGTCCTATTTCCTTGATTTTTTTTGCAAACTGTATACAGGGTGTTTCAGAACAAATGCGAAAAACTTCAGGGGGTGATTCCTTGTTAAAAATAAAGGGTAGTTTGCTTTATAAACGTTGGGTCAAAAGTCAATCATTAGGGAGATATCGCAGTACAAAGATGGCGAAAAAATAATGTTTTTATTTTTTATCTTGAAAACGAAAAGAGATAGACTAATGAAATTTTATGGAAGCATTACTGTTATGAAAACACACTTTCTGGTAATTTTTTCACTTTTTTAAAATGAGTGGAAGGGGTTGAAATAAACTACCCCTATCATTCTTGTTAACGGAATTTAAAGAAAAATCGTATCAAACACATGCAAAAAAGTAATTGGATAGTTCAGTTTATTTAGAAACTTTTTTATCTCTTGTATTTTTTTGATAAAACTCTCAAAAAATATTTGAAATTAAAAAATAAAATGTAAAGCATTACATGTCAGGGCAGAAAACATTTTTAGATAAAGAAAAAAGGCTTCGGAATAATTAATTGATCGTAAGATAATAACGTATTGCAGTAGAGTATGTCAAATTAAATAATATTAGAAACATCCTAAAAAGTGACAGCGGTCGACTAGATTTTTTCCTAAAAAAATTACAGCAGTCAACTAGATTCTTTATCTAAAAATGTTTTTTGTCGTGACATGTAATGCTTTACATTTTATTTTTTAATTTCAAATCGGTGGCTTTTATCAAATAAACACAAGAGATAAAAAAGTTTCTAAATCAACTAAACTATCCAAATTAATGCATCTTGAATGTGTTTGATAAGATTTTTCTTTAAATTTCGTTAACAAGAATGATAAGGGTAGTTTATTTCAACCCCTTCCACTCATTTTAAAAAAGTAAAAAAATTACCATAAAGTGTGTTTTTATAACAGTAATGCTTCTATAAAATTTCATTAGTCTATCGCTTTTCGTTTTCAAGATAAAAAATAAAAACATTATTTTTCCGCCATCTTTGTTCCGCGATATCTCCCTAATGGTTGACTTTTGACCCAACATTTATAAAGCAAACTACCCTTTATTTTTAATAAGGAATCGCCCCCTGAAGTTTTTCGCATTTGTTTTGAAACACCCTGTATAAATATATAAATTTTAATTCGTAAACTCAGTTTATTATAAAATTTAGTATTTGATTTACTATACCGGGTTAATCGAAAAGTTGTTTTTTACCTTATCTTTAAAACACCCATCCATTATCATTAATGTTTTTTAACTAAAAGCTAAAAAAATTTCCAAAAAATTTCGAATTTTCAATTTTTTTTTTTCGTGAATAAAAGCTCATAGGCGTGTTTCTGGGGTTGAACTATACTACCAGTTAAAATACTTGGACTTATTTCTGGGACACCCTGCATATCAGGGTAAGAAAAGCAAATAATGGTAGTTCATTTATCTTGTACAATATGAGTGGTGAAAATACACGCAGATGCAAAAAAGGCAACAGAAAATTTTTTCGTCAAGTTTAAAATGTTATATTTTTTTATTTTTAGTCCTATTTCCTTTATTTTTTTGCAAACTGTATATAAATATATAAATTTTAATTCGTAAACTCAGCTTATTATAAAATTTAGTATTTCATTTACTATACCGGGTTAATCGAAAAGCTGTTTTTTACCCCATCTTTAAAACACCCTGTGTAATAATTTCGTGAACAAATTTTCCTAAAACATTATTTTTCGGCCAGAACCATGTTTCCTGAATATTTTGTTTTTTGACTCATGTTAACACATGTTTTGGTTAATTTTTAAGAGCAAAATGAATTTGCCTGAATTATTGTTGTGTACGATTGACTATGATTCTTAGTGTCAAAGATTGTGCATAAGTCATTGAAGTTGAAGATGGCCAAAATTATGAATACTCTCTTGGTTCTTGAAGAAGAATTGGAAAACATAAACCAATATATTTTCAGCCTCATTAACAATATGAACTGACGTCTACAGACGGTTATAGCAGCCAGGGGAGGCAGCACGAAGTATAAGATTATTTTTTACAAGTTTTTTGTTTGTTTGTATCCTTAGTTATTACAGTTACTTTTTTTATTATCCTTAGTCCTGTTAGTGTTTATAATATTTATTAAAACCAAGCCTATATCGTTACAATTTAACATTTTTTAAATTTTAATATAAAGTTCTAATCAATGCCCATATGACATTACGACAATAGCCACCAAAGCCACCTCGTGATATTAAAAAATAACATCATAAAGTTATGATAGTTGAAAAAATTGCAAATTGTTGGTGGCAAGTTCATTTCGCCCTTAAAAATTAATCAAGGCATGTGTTGATATGCGTCAAAAAACAAAATGCTCAGAACACATGGTTCTGATCGAAAAATAATGTTTTAGAAAAAGTTACTCACGAAATTATTGCAGAGAGTGTTTTAACCTTAGGGTAAAAAACAACCCTTCAATTAACCCTGTATAATAAACCAAATACTAGAGTTTGATAAAAAAAACTGAGTTTATGAATTAAAGTTGATAGATTTATATACAGTTTGCTAAAAAATTTATGAAAATAGGGCTAAAAAAATTTAGCACTTTAAACTTTAACGAAAAAAAATTCCGTTGCGTTATTTTGCATATGATTGTAAAAAATGTGTGTTTCTCATTTGATGATTTTTATGGAATAAGAATGAGACTCTTGTTCAGAATATATAATCTTTTCAACTAGAGGACATATGAAGTAATGGTCTCTCATTTTAATATACAGGTATTAGATGGGGTCTATCGAAGCGTTCCCTGACACGTTGGACAGACTTTAGTTCACTAAAACTCACATTGTTCCTATTCCTAAATGCATACACTTCTAATCCAAAGAAAATATCACATTAATAATTTTGCTCAATATTTTTAATATACAGGGTGGTCCGAACTGTTTTCCGGAAACTTCGGCAGCATATTCTGCAGATAAAAGTAAGTAAAAAAGTTCTTATAAATGTATGTCCTATAATGCTTAGTTTTGGAGATACAGAGTGTAGAAGTTTCATTTTATATTTTGATTTTTTCCAAATAATTTCTGAAGTATCGTCAATATTTGGATGAAAATGTCTAGGAGTTTTTTTGCATGAAAAATTTATTAGCATATAAATTTGATTTTGATGTCAATGTAACTCCTACTTGTAGAGGGCGCCACCTACATATTTTTTAACCGGTTTGAAGAGTAATAACTTTTCGTCCGTAACTGTCTAAAACCAGTGAGTGAATATAAATTTACGACGTTCTTTATCTAAAAAGGATCTCTTGGTAAAAATCTACGAGTAACGGTTCTTCTGATATTTGGAATCGAAATTATCAATACCATCGTTGACATAAATTAAACAAGTTGACTAAATAGTTATTAGACTGAAATCATAAATTTGAAATGTTTTTGTGCCAAAAGTTCAACAGAAACTGTGTATCATCATCTTTTCGAAGAAAAATTTATGATTAATTTAAAAAAATAAAAAGTTAAGTTAATAACGAGGTTAATAAGTAACAACCCAAATTTATCATTTCATTCAAATAACTATCTACTCAACATATTTATTTTTAGTCAATGTATTGGCTATTTCCATTCTAAATATCTTGAAAACGGTTGCTCGTAGCGATTTTTACCAAGAGAGATTTTTTACGTAAAAAATAATGGAAATGTATATTTTTTCACTCAGTAGTTTTATACAGGTACGGACGAAAAGTTATTACTCTTCAAAGCAGTTCAAACACATATAGGTGGCGTCCTCTACAAATAGCAGTTTAATTGACATCAGAATCAAATTTCTCATGTTAAAAAACTCCCAGACATTAATTTTCATCCAAATATTGGCGTTCCATCAGAAATTATTTGGACAAAATCGAAATAAAAATGAAACTTCTATGAGTATGCCCTTTATCTCCGATACTAAGCATTTTTAGGACTGTAGGACATACTATATAAACTTTTTTACTTATTTTTATCAGCAGAATATGCTGCCGAAGTTTTCGAAATACAGTTCGGACCACTCAGTATAATATATAAAAATAGAATAAATTAAATATGCGAAATTGCCTGAAGAAAGATGTCTAACACAATTTTATGTTTTCTTTAATCATTTGAAGGGTTTTACCGAAGCAGCTATGTGGATAGCCACACCAAGGAAAAGAAATGGCTGGGTGTCACTCAGTTCGAAGCTATTAGTGCTAGGAGAGCTTTCCCCTGCTTCGACGAGCCAGAAATGAAAGCTACATTCGATATTTCTGTAGCTAGAAAGGACGGCTACAGAGCAATCAGCAATATGCCCCTTCTTACTACTGAACCTATGTAAGTACAAATAGTATATTTGTCTATGTGGTGAGAGGAGTTATAGACTATTATAGACCGAGAACTTTTATATTCTAAAGCGCGTATTGCCGATACTATCGAACCGTTTACTATAAGATTCAGAAACTAAGATTAAAGTACTTCTTTTGTATTCATACATTTCACTATCAGTGAAATCACTGTCACCTCACTAGAGACTTGTTATACAGGGTTGTTCACCACATACGACACGGAGTATTGTAGCTAAACGATGAGATTTTTACAAATTGTAAGTTTTGGGTTCGATGAAGGACTATTAGAGGTACAATTTAAAAATAATTTTACAAGATACAGAGTGTCCCAAATAAGTAAAAAATATCAAAGTTGTATTTTTTTAAAATGGAACACCCGTATATTATTACATTTTTAGTTTCTACGATTAAAATAAAGGCAAATTTGATTAAGATTTATTATACTTAAACCTTACCGTTTTTGAAATATTTTCAATTTTGTGAAATTGCAGTAAAAATTTTAAGGCTTCATTTCTCCAAGGGTATCAAAGTTTTTAATACTAAATATTTACTGAAGTTTATTTACTGATCAGTTATTGTGTTGCAATAATAAAAATAATACTACCTTATACAGAGTGTCTAAAAATTTATTTTAAATAATTATTAGCTTCAAACGGCAATAACTTGTTTAATTTAAATAGAACACCCTGTATATTTTACGAGAGTCAGATGCACAATTTAATTGTCTATCAAATTATATTATACCATTTTTTACCTATCTCTTTAAGTTTCCGTAGAAAATGCATTTTCTTGTAATTTAGAACTTATTTATCATTATACCCATGGACTTTTGACATTTTAGATTATTTTTAAAGATGTACCAAATTTTTAAAGAGTACAGATACTAATATTGTCGATATAATTCGTTTATTTCATTAAAAAATAAAAAAAAAACTGTTTAAATATTTGTTAAAGAGGATCAATTAATATGATTCCAGTATTCAAACTACATTAACTGACTGTTTGCGTCGATTAATAATAATTGCTCCAAATACTAAAAAACTGAATTTTGTATGGGCATTAGACAGTGTGATAAAAAGTAACACCTTAAAAATGATATTTCATTTTTTAATAAATGCTTATTTATAACAACAGAGACTTTAATTTGATAACTTATTATTATATTGATTTCTGACTCAAATCCACATTTATTTATAATAATTTATTAACGAACACAATTAAGTATGTAATAAATTAGTATATGGGTGGAAATAATGGTGTTATATTTAATTAATGGTATACTCTTTCATAAAGATTTAAATAGTTTTCTTTTTGCATACAAATGGGCTAGTAATATTATCGTTTTGCTAAAAACGATAATATTACTAGTCTGTACATTTTGTACATTTGTTGCTTTAAAAACAATCTAAAATGTCAATATTCCATGGATATATTGATAAATGAGGTCTAAATTATAAGAAAATGCATGTTCTACGAAAACTTGAAGGGATAGGTAAAAAATGGTATAATTTGATAGACAATTTAATTGTGCATCTGATTCTCCTAAAATATACAGGGCATTCCATTTAAATTAAAGAAGTTATTGCCGTTTGAAGCTAATAATTATTTAAAATAAATTTTTAGACACTCTGTATAAGGTAGTATTATTTTTATTATTGCAACACAATAACTGATCAATAAATAAACTTCATTAAATATTTAGTATTAAAACATTGATACCCTTGGAGAAATGAAGCTTTAAAATTTTTACTGCAATTTCACAAAATTAAAAATATTTCAAAAACGGTAAGGTTTAAGTATAATAAACCTTAATCAAATTTACCTTTATTTTAATCGTAGAAACTAAAAATGTAATAATATACAGGGTGTTCTATTTAAAAAAATACAACTTTGATATTTTTTATTTATTTGGGACACTCTGTATCTTGTAAAAATATTTTTAAATTGTAGCTCTAATAGTCCTTCAACGAACCCCAAACTTACAATTTGTAAAAATCTCATGGTTTAGCTACAATACTCCGTGTCGTATGTGGTGAACAACCCTGTATAAAAATCTATAATTTTAGAACTGTTATTTGGATATTTGGAAATAATTAAACAATCGCAATAATTATTGCTCCAAAAATAACTGGTATGAAAATTCTTGTATTGATTTGCCAATGATTAATTTTGTATCCAAACATTTCATTTTTAGTAGGAGAAAGCAAAAATAAACTGTCTGATATCACCATAAGTCTATTACGCTGTACTGTTCGGGTCGCTCACAGGGGTCGGGTAAAGTGGGTATGTGGCCGAAAGAAATATAATAAATATAATATATTTTAGAAAGCTGCCTAAGGCTTAGCCCGATCCTGTCGTGTTAAGCCACATCCAAAATTCTAAACACACGTGCTTTGATTAAGGCTTGATTAAGGTTTGCAAAATAGAGAGCAATTTGTTACAAAACCAAATAAATGATCACAAAACTTCAATCTATTTCCGTATTGTAACGGAATTTTAAATTGTCTTTATTTTCGAGAAAATTTAGTCTAAACATAAGGAATATTTTGTTGATGTTTGACCATCAAAATCTTAAAAATAAAGAAGTTGTCTAAAAATGTGCTACAATACGGATATAGTATAATCCTTTATCTTTAATTTCGTTCTTCATTTGTGTAAAAATACCTAGCCAGTTTCACATAAATCGTTAAATGCCGAACGCTTATTTTGCTACTTTTTCGGACAAGTGAAATGGACTATTTCTTTCATTTTTCTCAGGAAAGAAAAAACCGGATGGTACTGGGACCGTTTTGACATTTCCGTCCCAATGTCGACCTATTTAGTAGCCTACGTAGTGTCCGATTTCCATTACGAAGAAGCCGAGCCCTTGAAAGACATGAACAACGTCACGTTCAGGATATGGGCCAGATCTGACGCTCTGAACCAGGTTGATTTCGCTAAAGAAGTCGGTCCAAAAGCCTTGAGGTATTTCGAAAAGTTCTTTAACATCGACTACCCCCTGCCAAAGCAAGATATGGTAGCCATACCCGACTTCAGTGCTGGTGCCATGGAGAATTGGGGTTTGATAACATACAGGTATGCGTTTTATCATGACAACTATATAGGGTGTTTCAAAAAACATGTGCCATCTCTCGTGGGGAGATATAAATAAGATTTATTTTTCATATCAACATAGGTCCGATTCTGCTTTATTTCGTAGCTACAGGGTCTTAAAGTCTTAATAATCTTTCGACTTATTATAATTTTCTTCCAAGTACTTTTAGTGATTCTAATGAAATTTTGAGGGTGGAAGTGTTACATATTTTAATGCTAAAAAAGTGTCGATAAATTCATGAGGGACGTGCATATAGGTTATCACTGGAATATTTAAAAAAACATGTGTGCAACTAACTCTTTTCTTTTGACATCAAAATTGTGTAGGCCCTTTAGTGCCAGTTAAAAGTTATCTCTTGATATTTTGTCAAATTCGGCCTCCTTGATGAGATAAACGCAATTTTATTAATCACAATTAATAAAATTAAAATATAAAAATAAAATTAATAAATGATATATATTTTACTTAATTTGTTATTAAATATTATTACTAGTAATTATTATTTAGTCCAATCTACAGCAATTTGAAATACAAGAAAATAATGCTATCTATACTAATATACAGGGTGTTTCAATCTATACTATCTATACTAATATATTATATACTATCTCTACTAATATACAGGGTGTTTCAAAACAAATGCGAAAAACTTCAGGGGGTGATTCCTTGCTCAAAATAAAGGGTAGTTTGCTTTATAAACGTTGGGTCAAAAGTCAACCATTAGGGAGATATCGTGGTACAAAAATGGCGGAAAAATAATGTTTTTATTTTTTATCTTGAAAACGAAAAGAGATAGACTAATGAAATTTTACGGAAGCATTACTGTTATGAAAACACACTTTCTGGTAATTTTTTCACATTTTTAAAATGAGTGGAAGGGGTTGAAATAAACTACCCCTATCATTCTTGTTAATGAAATTTAAAGAAAAATCTTATCTAACACATGCAAAAAAAAATAATTTTGATAGTTTAGTTTATTTTGAAACTTTTTTATCTCTTGTGTTTTTTTGATAAAACTCACCGATTTGAAATTAAAAAATAAAATGTAAAGCATTACATGTCAGGACAAAAAACATTTTTAGATAAAGAATCTAGTGGGCAGCTGTAATTTTTTTAGGAAAAAATCTAGTCGGTCGCTGTCACTTTTTAGGATGTTTCTAATACTGTTTTATTTGACATTACCCTACTGCAATACGTTATTATCTAGATTATTATTATTATCATTATTATCACTAGATTCTTAATCTAAAAATATTTTTAGTCCTGACATGTAATGCTTTACATTTTATTTTTAATTTCAAATCGGTGAGTTTTATAAAAAAAAAATACAAGAGATAAAAAGTTTCTAAACAAACTAAACTATCCAAATTATTTTTTGCATGTGTTTGATAAGATTTTTCTTTAAATTTCGTTAACAAGAATGATAAGGGTAGTTTATTTCAACCCCTTCCACTCATTTTAAAAAAAAGTGAAAAATTACCAGAAAGTGTGTTTTCATAACAGTAATGCTTCCATAAAATTTCATTAGTCTATCTCTTTTTTTTTCAAGATAAAAAATAAGAACATTATTTTTCCGCCATCTTTGTACCACCGCGATATCTCCCTAATGGTTGACTTTGACCCAACGTTTATGAAGCAAACTACCCTTTATTTTGAACAAGGAATCACCCCCTGAAGTTTTTCGCATTTGTTTTGAAGCCTGCTATATAAAATCCTTAAGTGACTGACATACTGATTAATCACGATCCTGCTCAAACCACTCAACGTAAGAAGCTCAATTTTGGCATACAGGTTGATTCTAGGGTGTAGAGGTTCGATAAGAAGGGATTTTTGAAATTCCAGTTCCAAGGGGGTGAAACCACCCCTTAAATATTACAATATTTTTATTTAAAAACGGTCAAGTTTCCGAAAAAACGCTTAAACACGTATATTTTATTTTGTTTCTTTACATATTTTAAGATTTTTTAAAAATGTATACAGGGTGTTTCGAAAAATCTGGTCATTGATTAATCACGATCCTGCTTAAAGCGCTTGACGTAAAAAGCTGATTTTTGGAAAACAGATTGACTTTATCGTGTAGAGGTTCGATAAGAAGGTATTTTTCGAAACTCGAATTCTAAGGGGGTGAAACTATCCCTCAAATAATAAAATATTTTTTATTTAAAAACGGTGAGTTTTTCGGAAAAACTCTTAAACACGTATATTTTATTTTGTTGATTTACATATTTTAAGATTTTTTATAAATTTATACAGAGTGTTTCATAAAATATGACCATTGAGTAATCACGATTCTGCTTAAACTGTTTGACCTTTAAAGCTGATTTTTGGCAAACGGATTGACTGTGGGGGTGTAGAGGTTCGATAAGGAGGGCTTTCTCGAATCTCAAATTCCAAGAAGATGAAAACGCCCCTCGAATATTATAATATTTGTTATTTAAAAAACGGTTAGTCTTTCGGGAAAACGCTTGGACACGCATAATTTATTTTTTTTACATATTTTGAAATTCTTTAAAAATCATACAGGGTGTTCCAAAAAGTTGGGTAATTGATTAACCACGATTCTGCTGAAACTGCTTGACGTAAAAAGCTTATTTTTGGCTTTTTCGAAAGTCAAATTCCAACGAGATGAAACTACCCCTCAAATATTACCAAGTTATATAATAATATCGCCATATTGTTTTTTCTCATGCTGACATAAATGTGAGAAAATTTTATCCAGTTAATGGAAATTCTTGCTTTGCTTTATCATCACCATTACAAATGATTAATTCGACGCGAACGAAGTCGCTGGTACACGCTAGTTTAAGATAATTACAAAAAAAATAATTTTAAAACGTTTTAACATCCTGTAACTCTAAAACTATGCATTTCTATACCCATGTTTATAGGAACTTTTTTTCATATTTTTTGATGAGGAATCAATGAGTACTTATTTAGAACTTTCGCAAGGTAATGATATTAAAATTCGCAAAATAAAAAGCGTGGATGTTTGGGAAGGCTCGAAAGAAAACAATTATGTTTTTTGCGACGTTTCGCGACTTTATTGTCGCTTCTTCAGGCACCAAAATATATTTTAATTAATTATGTTGGATTAATATATGTTTTGGGCCTGAAGAGGCGACAATAAAGTCGCGAAACGTTGCAATAAACATAATTGTTTTCTTTCGAGCCTTCCCAAACATCCTCGCTTTTTATTCTGCGTATTAATTACTGGGAACTGGCAAAAATCATAATGGATATTAAAATTTTTTAAAGGTTGCTATTAGACTTGGATCAAGGCAAATTAATAAAATTGCACATTTTGCACATGCAAAACTTTTGCACATCTATCTCATCGAGGAGGCCGAAATTGACAAAATATCAACAAGCAACTTTTAGTCGGCATTAGAGTGCTTACAGTGCTTACACTATTTCGCTAACAAGAGAAAAAAAGTCACTGGCGTACCTGCTTTTTTAGAAAAATATTCCAGTTATAACCCATATGCACGTCTCTGGTGAATATGTCGACACTTAGCTTTAAAATATGTCGCATTTATAGTAACTTTTACCCTCAAAATTTCATTCGAAACGCTAAAGTAGCTGGAAGAAAATTATAATAAATCGACAAAATATTAAGACTTTAACACCCTGTAGCTACGACACAAAGCAAAATTGGACCTCTGTTGATATGAAAAATAAATCTTTCCAAAAGGAATCTCTCCAGGAGAGATGGCTCATGTTTTTTAAAACACCCTGTATATATTTCCTACATTTCTACCCAAAAAGTCTTATTTTAGGGAAGCCTATTTGCTCTACGACCCTCAGGTATCATCTAAAGTTAGCCAGCACCGAGTAGCCAGTGTTATAGCTCACGAACTAGCTCATCAGTGGTTCGGTGAGTTACTTAAAACCATAATTAATGCGTATTTTTAATTGTGGCTTTCCTAGGTAACTTAGTAACGATGAAATGGTGGACTGACCTCTGGTTAAATGAAGGTTTCGCGACCTACATGGCTAGTTTAGCTGTAGATCATCTATTCCCTAAGTGGAACTCTTTAGATGCCGAAGGTGCTACAAATATTTTAAGCGTATTTTCCTTTGATGCTTTAAGGTCATCTCATCCAGTAAGACAATTTCTTAAAATATAAGGTTTTTACATTAAAATTATTTATTTTCCCGACAGGTATCAGTACCCATTGGAAATCCTAAACAGATCGATGAAATTTTCGATACAATTTCCTACAAAAAAGGTTCTTCCTTGATCAGAATGATGAGCTTGTTTTTGGGTGAGGAAACTTTACGTAGCGGAGTCAGCAAGTACCTTAGAGATCACCGGTAAGTACTTCAATAAATGCTTTATTTTATTTTACCTTAATTTTTTTTATTCAAGGTACCACAACGCTGAACAAGACGACTTATGGCAAGCACTAACAGAATCAGCACATGAAAAAGGCACATTGCCTAAAGAACTAACGGTAAAGACTATCATGGACACGTGGACTGTTCAAACTGGATATCCGGTTATCACCGTTCATAGAGACTACGAAAATGAGACTGCTGAAATCACCCAGGCAAGTATATACTTCCATCCATTGAGAGGCGCATATACCGGGTGCGTCTCAAAAGTGGCTCACCCCCTATAACTTTTTTATTTTTTCAGATAAAACAACGATATTTGGTATGTTAGTATATGACATAAATTGGGATTGATTGACGTATTCCAATTGTTTTCGGTCACTTCCGGTTTCACCGGAAATGACTACAACTTTTTATTTTTAAATAGCACCCTCGACATTATTTTACCTTATTCGATGGAAAATGACACTCTGAATCGAATGACATATAATATCATATGTCAACTTGTGACATTTTGGCATATGGTTTATTTGAAATTGTAACATGCGGTTCATAACGACAATTTGACTCAAAATACCAAGTGTGTGGTATCAAATTATTCGTAAAAAATGCTTTTTCCAAATATGCTAATGAGCCACCCTCGTTCCATTTGAAAATATTGATATATGATTAAAAATACACTAAAAACATTAGACGATCAAATCTATTTTTCCAAGGCTCCTTGATTAAAAATTAGTGTTTTTAACACAGCCATGGCACTCTAGATTGAAATTTAAAATAGAATTTGTTTTTGAGTGACTATGTCAAAAATTGACATATGATATGTCATTCGATTGAGAATGTCATTTTCTATCTAATAAAGTAAAAAATACCGAGGGTGCCATTTAAAAATCAAAAGTTGTAGTCATTTCCGGTGAAACCGGAAGTGACCGAAAACAATTGAATACGTAAATCAATCCCAATTTATGTCATATACTAACATACCAAATCTCGTTGTTTTATCTGAAAAAATAAAAAAGTTATAGGGGGTGAGCCACTTTTGAGACGCACCCGGTATAGGAGTGATAAAGGGGGTAATAGTGATATACAATTACCAGTAATTTATAAATTGGTAATATTACCGGTAATATTACGGTAACATTGGTAATTTATAGAAAATATCTTTTTAAATAATATTATTTTTTATTTCTTAAAACTGTAAAACATTACCAAAAAAGAAAAGAACGTTTTTTTAAACTAGTCAGAGTCAGAGTGACCCATGTACGTAATATAATGGATTATTGTAAATCATCCTCAATCTCGTCATCTTGTTCTTCATTCTTTTTCGTTAATTGAGTCAAGTCTATTACATTAAAATCGATAGCATCTTCTTCTTCCATTTCTTTCTCAGCAGCTTCTACCATTCTTGGATATTCTCAAAGATATTTAAACTCGGGATATTCTTCTCTATTTAGTAAGTTATAATTATGGGCAATATAAGTTAGTTTTACGGTCCTTTCAACGGTAAACGGTCGAAAAGGTAGCTGTCCACGGTAAAGGTAAGTCTGTTTCTTCTTGGCCAATGAACAAATCCATAAGTACTGAAGGTTCTTTCGGTTGCGGCTGTTAACGATGGTAAATTTAAAATGTCTACAGCCAACATACTTATTTTAGAGCTGGCAAATGAAAAAGGGGTAGAGCGGAAAAAAAGCAATATTTCCAATGTTACCGATCTTGCGGTAATATTACGTAATATTGCTAAAATTACCGGTAATATTACCCTTTACATCACTAGGAGGTTATTCTTAGAAAGTATATTATAAATCTAATTTAAATCTAGTAATGTACTCAAATATTGTCTCTACTCCTTCCACTCAATCTCTAGTTTCAACAGAGTTTATCTCAAATAAACTTTTAGTCATGTGATTAAGCTTGACCGGCACAGCGTTGCTCACTTTTACATATTTTCTTTTAATCAAAATATTTTAGGAAACAAAAATAAATTAATAATATAGTTATAAATATATTAACAGTTATTGTTTACATCAACAAAACTCACCTCCTTAACAGCACTTAAGGGACATAAAGGGCAATTACTACTGCAAACCCGCTCAAAATATTCTAATAAGGTTGCGATCAGTTTTTGCAATGGCTATTAAGCTATCTTGTACACTTCGCACTAAAAGAGGTTCTAAAAAGAACAATGTTCGACTGCAAGGTCTGCTAGTAAACAGTTTTAAGCTTAAAGTATCACAACACTATTTATTTAAACCAAAAACTCGTAAAGTGTTAAAACGTATGACAATATCAGGAAATAAATAAATAAATAAATGTGACAACTTAACATTTTTTACAGCAGTGCTACCACCTGAATCGTCACTAGGAAATTTAAATTCCAGTTAGTCAGTCAGGCGCTGAATATCTCCATGGTTGGCAACAATGAAATTAAAAATCGCGCCCTCGATTACGTAACTAAAAGTTTAATTGGTATCAAATATAGATCAATAAAATATGTATTAAATAGTTGACTGACGAAGGGACTGCCGTCAATTATTTATTTCCTATGAAAAAATATGTATTTGCTTGATAAATAAATTTACATTTTCCTATTATCAGGAACGATTTCTGAAGGACACTATTAAAGTCAAAGATGATACCAAACCCTGTTGGTGGGTGCCTCTCAGTTATTCCAGCCAGTCCCATCCAGAATTCAACATTACCACCCCTAAATACTGGCTGAGTTGCCCAAATGACCAAAATCAGCTAATCCAACACATTGCGGGTCCAGAGGAATGGGTCATTTTCAACAATAAAATGGCTGGTAAATGAATGTTACACGCCAAAAATTTAAATTTGATTATTAATATAAGTTGCTACTTGATTTAGGTATTTACAAGATCAATTATGATGACAAGAATTGGCACTTGCTGACCGAGGCGTTGAAATCGGAAGAATCCGATAAAATTCCTGTCTTGAACCGCGTCCAACTGATTGCTGACTCAGCCGATTTAGCCTTTGTAGGAAAACAAAACTACGAAATATTTTTCGATTTGATCACATATCTTGCCAACGAAACAGAGTATTTGCCTTGGAGCACCGCACTAGGAAAAACGGGAGTTATCAAAACTTATCTCCAGAAATCACCATCGTATGGTACTTTCAAGGTAAGAACGCTGGTCATGTGATAAGTTTTTAATATATCCGTAATTATAGCACGATTTTTTTTGTTTATTATTTTGTTTTTATTTGTTATTATTTGATTAGTTTTTATTTACAGTGTTGTTCACCACATACGACACGGAGTATTGTAGCTAAACGATTAGATTTTTACAAATTTTAAGTCTTGGGTTTGTTGAAGGACTATTAGAGCTACAATTTAAAAATATTTTTACACGATACAGAATGTCCCAAATAAATAAAAAATACCAAAGTTGTATTTTTTAAATGGAACGCCCTGTATATTATTATATTTTTAGTTTCTGCGATTAAAATAAAGGTAAATTTCATTAAGGTTACACTTAAACCTTACCGTTTTTGCAGTAAAAAATTTAAGGCTTCATTTTTCCAAGGGTATCAAAGATTTTAATACTAAATATTTACTGAAGTTTATTTATTGGTCAGTTATTGTGTTGCAATAATAAAAATAATACTACCTCATAGAGAGCGTCCAAAAATTTATTTTAAATAAGTCTAGCTTTAAACGGCAATAACTTGTTTAATTTAAATAGAACACCCTGTGTATTTTAGAAGAATCAGAAGCACAATTTAGTAGTCTATCAAATTGTATTATACCATTTTTTACCTACAAAATGTACAGGTGCTAAAAACGATAATATTACTAGCCCATTTGGATACAAAAAGGAAACTATTTAAATTTTTATAAAAGAGTATACCATTAATTAAATATACCACCATTATTTTCGCCCAAATATTAATTAATTACATACTTAATGGTGTTAGTTAATAAATTATTCTAAATAAATCTGGATTTTAATCAGAAATCGATATAATAAGTTATAAAAATGAACGTCTGTTGTCAAAAAATGAAATACAATTTTTAAGGTATTACTTTTTACTACACTGTCTATTACACATACAAAATTCAGTTTTTTAGTATTTGGAGCAATTATTATTAATCAACGCAAACAGTCAATTAATGTAGTTTGAATACTGGAATCGTATTAATTGGTCCTCTTGAACAAATATTTAAACTTTTTTTTTATTTTTTTAATGAAACAAACGAACTATATCGACAATATTAGTATCTATCTTTAAAAATAATCTAAAATGTCAATATTCCATGGGTATATTGATAAATGAGGTCTAAATTATAAGAAATTGCATTTTGTACGAAAACTTGAAGAGATAGGTAAAAAATGCTATAATACAATTTAATAGACAATTAAATTGTGCATCTGATTCTCATAAAATATATAGGGTATTCCATATAAGTTACACAAGTTATTGTCGTTTAAAGCTAGTAATTATTTAAAATACATTTTTAGATACTCTGTATAAGGTGCCTAGTATAATTTTTATTATTGCAACCCAAAATTTAGTAAATAGAAAAACTTCAGTACAACATTTGGCTTTAAAAACTTAAATACACCTAGAGAAATGAAGCATTAAAATTATTACTGTATTTTGACAAAAACCTAAATATTTCAAAAACAGTAAGATTAAAATGCGGCAAACCTTAATCAAATTCACCTTTATTCTAATCGTAGAAACTAAAAATGTAATAAATATACAGGTTGTTCTATTTAAAAAATACAACTTTGATATTTTTTATTTATTTGGAACACTGTATCTTGTAAAAATATTTTCAAATTGTAGTTCTAATAGTCCTTCAACGAACCCAAAACTTACAATTTGCAAATATCTAATCGTTTAGCTACAATACTCCGTGTCGTATGTGGGGAACAACCCTGTATATTACGTTATAAACTCCGTATGAATTTTAAACGATAAATCTGTTTTTGCTTTTAGAATTACATGAAACATTTACTGACTCCGGCCTACGAAAAGACCAACGGTTTAAGTTCCATTGAAAAAGACGAGTCTGATCAACTAGACAATGTTAAATTTCATAGCTTGCTGGCCGGCAGAAGTTGTAAATTTGGCGTAGAAAGTTGTATACATGAAGCAGTCCAGTTATTTAAACAATGGCAAGACGCTCCCGATGGACACAATCCGTAAGATCCTTTTGAACATCCAAAATAATTTAATATTAATATATTACTACTTAACTTATATTATTACTAACTGATATTTAACGCCTTTCGCAATATATTTTATTAGTTTGCAAAATGACAGATTCGAAACTACATCGATTGTAATCATATTGTAACTTACTGACTAATTGTAATAACTCTGTGACACCGATTTTTCCGACTATAAGCACTTTTCTATAGGTGTATATTTTGATTCCAAAAATACGTATATTAGTAGTTACATATACAGGGTGAGTCTTAAATAAGTGCAAATGTTTTCAGGAGTGGTATATTTCGACCCCAGAAACACGTCTATGAGGTTTTTTCGCAAAAACAAGATGTTGAAAATCGTGCATTTTCTGTTAAATTTCCCTGTATATTTTTCTATAACTATATAACTTTTTAGAACTATATTCTACTTCTATATAACTTTTTAGAACTGCCTGTTCACCGCAAATTTTTCCACGGTATAATTTCTTAATCTCCGATATTACTATAGTTACGGCTTTACAAAATGGTGGCTCTCAAAATTTTTTCAAAAAAAATCATTTCTTTTTAAATAAGTTTCATGCCCTCTAGCGGACAAACGAAGAACTTTTGTATAGAGGTAAATTGTGTCAAAAATACGTAGTAGTTCTATGTCCACTGAGTATTGGGACACCCTATATATCTAAATTTCTTAAATATGGTCTTTAACATTAACTTGGACAATTAATTATATTGATTCGCAACTGTAAAATTTTCTAAGGTGCGTTCAAAGCAAAGTTGACACTAACGATTTTTTCCCTATTTTGGTCATTATTTAGGATACCAAAAGACCTACGCAGCGTGGTGTACTGTACTGCTCTGGAACATGGCGGAGAAAAAGAATGGAACTTCTTATGGGAGAAATATCAACACTCCAACGTGGCTACAGAAAAAAGCACACTACTCAGCGTTTTAGGATGTACAAACGAACTTTGGATTTTAAGCAGGTAAGTTCCTTACTTTTATATTATAAAAAAACTGTTAATAGAACTGGAACCATCCTTACAGATATTTAGAATGGTCTTTGGACGATTCAAAAGTTAGGCGGCAAGATGCTGGTAGTGTTTTCAGTACAGTAGCTTCCAACGAAGTGGGATACTTCATCGCCAAGAATTTCTTGTTTGAAAATGTCGAGAAAATCTTTAAACAGTAAGTTAATATTTTTTATTTTTTTTTAAATCAACATAAAGGCACGATTTTTTTCTTTCTTTCAGTTTAGCACCAAATAATAGGAGAATTAGCGGATACCTGTCATCGGTGGCCAATAAAATGACACAAGAAAAAGAAGAACACGAGGTACTTATGAAACAATTTTACATCATAATTGTTGGAGGGTTATTGCTAAATAAATCTATGAGGCCCATGGGCATTATAGGCTTGGTGCATTTTCCGCCGGTGCTGGTACTATCGGAGAATACCGTAAATAACTATTACATACAAATACACGGGTTTTATGGCCATTTTCCCAGTACTTATTCAGGTTACTTTAAGTTACTCTCATAGTATATGCTTATTTAATTTTTTGATTATGTAATGAGCACTTTGTTTACTCACTTGTTTCGTCGAACTGCTTGAATCTATTTTTGCTTTTGATCAAATCGGTGTGAGAAACTGTGAAGCTATAAAATGTTGTTTTGGGAGAGTTGAATATTCGGGAAAGTTGAGTTATTGAATGTTCTCGCACCCAACAACACTCTAATTACGCTCTCCATTACGCGTTAACATTTTTTCGTCAGTTTTATAAACATTTGAAATTGTCACAACATAACACGACGGCGACGACGCCTAGTTCGAGATCTTTTTCAGTTATTTTTTACTACCTGAAACAGCATTACATCACACATACTTCGTACCTGAGTGTTTTTATAATTTCAATAACTGCACTAGTAAAAAATCAAATACTTAAATATTATGACAAAACAACAATTTATAAAAAACGGTAAATGGGCTGCGTGAAATACTTTATACCCTTTATACTTTTTAAAATGAACTGAAATGCACCAGGCCTATAATCCTTATCTACTCGACCGCACCAAGCACCAGATTACTATGTGGATTAAACACATTACCGAATATTTTAATTATTACATTAAGGAGGGTAGTCTGAGAAGTCTCCGACCTTTAAATGAAAACGGCAGTTCTTTAGATAGTCTTTCTTCTTAATTCAGTTCGTGTAAAGGTGCGTTCAGACCGGCTGCGCCGCTCCGCGCCGCGCAAAACATTTTTTTAACAAATACTTTTGAAGTGTATTTTTTTTAAGCGCGCACAAAAGGATAAAATATATGTCAAAGAAATGATTTGCGCGGTGTGAACGCACCTTAAAACGTCCTTTTTTTTTGTCCACACACAAGGTTTTACTTGATACGTTTTGACTGAACAGGTAACAACTAAAGTTATGTGTGGCCGGGAACTTATCTGGAAAAATAATAGTAAATTATCAAATAAAAACTTTTATACCGGGTGCGTCAAAAGTGGCTCACCCCTGTAGCTTTTTTATTTTTTCAGATAAAAAAACGAGACTTGGCATGTTAGTATATTATGACATAAATTAGGATTGATTGACGTATCGTTTTTGGTCAGTTCCTGTTTCACCGAAAATGACTACAACTTTGGATTTTTAAATGACACCCTCGGCATTTTTTTACTTTATTTGATAGAAAATGACACTCTGAATAGAATGACATCATATGTCAACTTTTGACATTTTCGAATAAGGTATATTTGAAATTGCAACATGCAGTTCATAACGACAATTTAACTCGAAATACCCAGTGTGTGGTATCAAATTATTCGTAAAAAATGCTTTTTCCAAATTTGCTAATGCTAATTCCATCTAAAAAATTGAGATGTGATTAAATATTAAAAATACGATTTGGGCATCTTTTAACTGGCCAGAACAAGACACGAAAAACATTAGACGATCAAATCTATTTTTGCAAGGTTCCTTGATTAAAAATTAGTGTTTTTAACACAGCCATGGCACTCTAGATTGAAATTTAATATACGATTTTTCTAAGGCGAAAATGTCAAAAATTGATATGTCATTCTATTCAGAGTGTCATTTTCTATCGAATAAAGTAAAAATATACCGAAGGTGCGATTTAAAAATCAAAAGTTGTAGTCATTTCCGGTGAAACAGGAAGTGCCCAAAAACAATTGAATACGTCAATTTATCCTAATTTATGCCATATATTAACACACCAAATATCGTTTTTTATCTGAAAAAATAAAAAAATTATAGGGGGTGAACCATTTTTGAGACGAACCCGTTAGGTATCGTTGATAGGAGTAAAACTTTTCAGGCTACCCTCGTACCTATCATATTGTAATTTTGACGTGTTTCTTTTAATAGCTGGACTACTTCATTCATGCCCACAAGGAGAAATTTTCCGAGGTGAAACAGGGCGTCGACCAAGCTTTAGAGACCGTCAAAATCAACATTCAATGGCAAAAGAAACACGCCAAAGAAATCGAAGAAATCCTGAAAAAATTCTCGAAAGAATAAGGAATTTTACGTGGTGGTTTTTTTAATGAGACAAGTGACTGTTGGTAGGGAAAATGACAAGAGTCCTTATTTAAAAAGATATTTTTTTATTTAAATTAAATTATTGATTCGTAAAGAAAAAATTACAAATATTTAAAATTTCCGATTTTCTCTCTTTTATACATATTTATATATAATAGTATATTTTGTATCGATTTAATTAGTGATAGATGTACTTAATTTTTACATATCAGCACGTGTGAGATGAGGAAATAAAGATATTTACAACAAATCATGACTCAATAAATATAGATATATAACTGTACAGGGTGGTCGAGATTGATCTGTCTTAGCAGAGAAATCCTATTTCCTGACTGAGAGCAAAATCGACTAGATGTCATGGGCTCAATTTCTGATACACGTTAAGTGGCGTAAACCGCCTGTTGATATTTTCACTGCCAACTGAGATACGTTTTTTTTTTGAATTTTTTACCATTTGGAAAATTGCCCATAACTTTTGTATTTCGCGGAATAATAAAATTCTGTAAAAACGTTCTTAAGGCACTTTTTTAAGCACAATCCAGTGGTGTAGTCAGTTTTTTTCTATGCTTGCTCTTTTTGCCAGAAATAATGGAAAATATGATTGTTTAAATGGCAATCATAGTTGGCTATTAACTTAAAAAAATGCTGGCGTTTAACCCTTTCCAACGATATAAAGTTATGGGTATCTATTTCTAACAATGAGAGAAATATTAGGTTTTTTATCTTTATATCGAAGCGGACCTTGATTTTGTGTTGGCCTATTTGCCTAATTATTTTTATCACAATTTAATATTCTATATTATTATTTATCTGAAAATTAAACACTTTTGAAAAGGTAAATTAACATTCTATATTAGTATTAGTAATTACAATTGAAATCTATACAATAAAAAAAAATAAAGAACAAAACTAAAAAGTATTTTTTGAGTGACGAATATAGTTTTCAAAAAAAAGTAATTGAAATCGTCAAGAGTTACAACGATTTATTAGGCGAACTGGTGTAATAATTCCAAAAGCTTGCCTATTAGCCTTCTGCAATTCTTCTCTCGTCCCAATGGTTCTTCCCTTATATATAAGGTCTTTTAATTTCCCCCATAAAAAAGCCGAAAGGAGTTAAACTACAAGATCTAGTACCAAAATATGGGCCCCTTGTTCCAATCCAATTCTTTCTAAATTCTCCATTTAATAGTTCAGTTGTAACCCTGCGTTTTAATTGTAATTGGTAATACTAATACTGAATGTTGATTTACTCTTTCAAGTCTTTAATTATACAGATAAATAATAATATAGAATATTAAATTGTGATAAAAAATAATTAGGCAACTAGATCAACATAAAATCATGGCCCGCTTCGATACAAAGATAAAAACCCTAATATTTCTCTCATTCTTAGAAATAAATACACATAACTTTATATCGTTGAAAAGGGTTAAACGCCAGCATTTTTTTAAGTTCATAGCCAACTATGATTTCCATTTAAAAAATTATATTTTTAATTATTTCTGACAAAAAGAACAAGTATAGAAAAAAACTGACTACGCCACTGGACTGTGCATAAAAAAGTGCCTTAAGAACGTTTTTACAGAATTTTATTATTCCGCGAAATACAAAAGTTATGGGCAATTTTCCAAATAGTAAAAAATGCAAAAAGACCCCGTATCTCAGTTGGTAGTGAAAATATCAACAGGCGGTTTACGCCATTAAACGTGTCTCAGAAATGGAGCCCATGACATCTATGTCGGTTTTGCTCTATCTAGTCAGGAAATAGGTTTTCTCTGTTAAAACAGACCAATTTCGACCACCCTGTACAACAGCGTTAGGGGAGAATATAACAATTTCCACCAATAGTATTTTGCCCTTGATTAACCTACGGTCTTTTTCGTTCAATAATATTACTCTGAAACACAATCTATTAAACCAATACTATCTATATTAAATCACGCGACGAAAAAGACCGTATCAAACAATGTTCATTATATATATTTTCCTTTTAACAATTACAAAAGTTTAAATCTAATATCACCATAAACCTATCCTAGTGTAATACTGGTCTGAGTAGATCGAATCACAAAATTGGGGTAGCCAAATACTTCATCTTCAAATTTGATCATACACCAAATACACATTCCCCAAAAATTTTATTATGTATTCCTAAAAGCTTTCTTAATTTTTTTTTCACAATGCTCTATTTCTATAATATCTTAGTGTTCTAAAGAATAAGAAAAATAATGATGAGAAGTGCTCACGAATCATATATACAGAGTGGAGTGAAAATATCGTTAGTGTGATCTCAAAAAAAAATTATGTATGTATATACAAGTTGACGTTTCCTACGTCAATATAAAAAAAATGTATATAAGAATAACATTTGATTGAAAATAAACCTGTACCTCACTAAACTATCACCCGGTATAAGTATAAAATAAATATTTGTTATTAAATATGATTGCTGTAGTTTGGTCCACCCAGTATATATACTTGTAGGTAAAAAACAAATTTATTATAAGAATATATTGCTATAGTCTATAAAAGGAATAACTTTGAATTTTGACCGTTATTTTTTACCAAGATGGCAAATATAAAATCCCTCTGTCAAAAAAGTTACTGATATTCTTTAAATTGAGAGCCTGAACGAATCAGATAGGTAACTCTTTTTACTTTGGTGAAATAGAAAAGGAAAATAATAAAACAAGTGATAGTTCTTCCTTTTCTTGCAAAAATCAACACGAAATGTCATAATTGACAAAAGTAAAATGTCATCAGCTTTTGACATTTCTAAATATTAGACCAATGCCGTCTCTAATAGAACAGCCACGGAGCGCTAACTGTATATTATGTATATTTCATATAAACTATATCATTTTTAAAATACAAACCAAAAATACGAGGAATAATTATGTTTTCCATGTATTCTACAACATATTTATTAATCCGTAGTATCTAACTAGCGTGACGTCATAAATCTCGCTTCCTGGCTGTTCTATTAGAGACGGCATTGCGTCAGCATGGCCGCAAGTTGCTAACCTAATAAAATTAACACTAGAAAAGCCCGCGGGAACTGTCAAATTCAAAGTTATTCGTTTTACAGACTATAGTACCGCATTTCCACAATGAGTGGAAAGTGAAGCCAAAGAAAAGAAATAGGAATATCAATCTTGCATAAGTCTATCCTTTTGGTTCAACAGTATTTTCGTACGCACGCGCGAAATAAAACGACCTGATTCGTCTACTTCATCGGTGAACGCTGTCATCTGCCCGCGCACTATTTTAAACTCTAAATATTAATAACGTATAATATATTATTTTTTTAATGGTAATGGCATTATTTCAACCTGTTATTTTAAATATTCATCATATCTATCCGTTTCTTGTTTTTGTTTAAATATGCCAGAGATTAAATTTAAATTTATAAGCAAAGGCGGGAATAGTCAGACGCTAAATTGATTTACGTGGTAGATAGAAACTTAGAAAACTACTTCAATTGGTTAGTATGAAATAAATCAACTAATCGCGAAGCACTTCTCACGCTTGCGTAGTTCCAAGCTGTTGAACAAAAAGGACAGACTTATGTGGATTTTGTATAGCGCCATCTCAAAAATTTGGCTTCAATTTCTGTTCGTTACTAGCAATATATTCTTATAATATATTTGGTAAAAAATAATGTAGTATCATTTAATTATGGAATGCTTTTGAAATACCCGGTCGTAAAAATAAATAAACAGGAATTAGTACGAATTAATACAGTATTTTGTATAATATAATATAACACTCAGTAAAGTATCTTTTTTTTGGAAGAAATGTTCGAGGTTCGCAGGTACATTGTTTATAAGCGATAGGATATTTAGTAAAGCCCTTACGAGTATGTTTTTACGTATAACCTTTTGGAACGAAATTAATACGAAACTATGAACTAAATTTTAACCTAGAAGAAAAAAATATCAAAATGGCAATCAACAACGTTTACAACGTTCAATTTTCTTCAACAATTACTTAAACAACCTAGAAAAACAAACAATTCAATAAATCACGCGGTTAAAGTGTACAAAACAACATTAGACAAATTATTAGATGTTGAGGCATCTCAAAATATTTGAAGTACTATTAGAAGTAGGCGAGTTGTTTGAATAATCGTTATCAAAAAAGCTATTTTCAATTATTGGAAGGGTACAGTATATTTTATGTTTCAGTAACAACAGACACTTTATATTTTAGACACTCTATTATAGTTTTAACTATAGTTAGAGATAATGGACGATTTTTACAGACGACATACAAAAAATTGTCAGAAAAAAATCTTGAGGAATGACTGACAACTATGTCGTATATTTTCTCGTTGGACAAAAATAGTCCATCCAAAGAGGGAATACATGGCAGTGAATGTTGTCTTTTACTTTAATTAAAAAACATGATTTTCTTGTCAATTTTTGGATATCACCTGCCAAAGAAAAGTATTTCTCTGTTCTCTTGCTGAACAGACATTACTTGAACTAAAGTCACTTTAATTTCATTTGTTAAAAGACACACAGGCGGTCTTCTGTGTCATGTAGCTTAACCTCTAAAAGTATTAAAGAAATATTGACTGAAGGTCGCTCAAAATTAATACTAGAGCATAAAAAAAGGTTATTACCGCAACTAAAATATACTGTGAAAAGTGATAGATATTTGAGACTTTTAAAACAGTGTATTATTATATTTTTATAATATATCCAGCCAGTTAATTATAATTATTCAAAATATTGATAACGAATAAAATACAAGTTTCATATCATACTTAAAAGTTATTTATGGCAGTGCATAGCTAGACGGTGTACAATTATACGTGGAACACAATATCTGCCAAATTGCCACCAGGACTTCTCTGGGAACACACATTTTTTTTGTCGAAATTTTCCTGAAAATTATTGCTGAACATATTTCTGGAGTTATGTTACGAATTATTTGCCTAATTTCTTCTTTCATTGTTGAGTGGTTTGCGGATTGTTTCCGTAAGCTTTACTTTTCACATAGCCCCACAAAAAATAATCTAGCGGCATCAAGCCAAGCATCAAGTAGATGAAAACGAACAAGCTGTTACAGTAAACGGAGAACAATACCGAACGATGATTAATGTTGTTTTATGGGATCAAATAATGGACATGGATAGAGAGAATATGTGGTTCGACAAGATGGTGCGACATGTCATAGAGCAGGTGAAACATTGAATTTATTGCGTACACAGTGTGGAGGGAAGCTTGTCTCCAGGAATGAGGATGTAAATTGGCCACTAAGATCATGCGACTTGACGCCGCCAGATTATTTTTTGGGGGGTATGTGAAAAACAAAGCTTACGAAAACAATCCGCAAACCGTTCACCAACTGAAAGAAATTAGGCGAATAATTCGTGACATAACTCCAGAAATATGTTCAGCAGTAATGGAACATTTCAACAAAGGAATTGTGTTGCCAAAGAATTCCTAGTAGCTATTTGGCAAATATTGTGTTCCATGTATAATTGTAAACTGTCCAGCTACGCACTGCCATGAATAACTTTTAGATATGTTATGAAACTTTTATTTTCTTTGTTATCAACATCCGAAACCTCTTATTGGAATACCCTCTATATTAGTAGATTATTTTGTAATACCTTATATAACAATAATTAATAATGAATTAATTCCTGCGATAATACAAATATTAGAAGTTTCAGTTTACAAAGTTAGAAGAATTAGCGTTCTTCCAACAAAATAATAGCCAAGCAATTTGAATAAAATATTTGTATACATGAAAACATTTAAATCTCCACTTCCCAAAATCTATGACTTTTTTATTTCTATATTCCGTTAAACTGTCACTTACATCAAGTGAGAGTGGTCCTTTTACTAAGTTCCCATCTATCAATTATAACGAGGGAACACAAAATGTTGTTATTGTTATTTTGGTGAAAGTTTCGAACGCCCTGTGGAATATGTTAAAAAGCGAGGAATTGGAAAATTAGTTTATCATCTAGGTGCATTTTTTCTTGATTCTCGGTACTTTTTGGTTCATCTGAATAGCATTATTTTTTATTGGAGATATTCGCTTTTGAAAAAGACACTAACATTTTTTCGTAACTTTTACATTAAAACCATGCCTTTGCTTTTGGTTCCAGTCAACAGACCTATTAAATAGTGTTTATGATTTATGTAATGTCACTGTTATTGAAAAATCATACTATTATTGTCCGTTGGCTCTTAGGCACTTAGTCTAGCAGAGATGGTTTTTAGTCCAGAAGTTGTATCCGCTATAGATTCTTTAATTGATGATGAGAGATCAAAATTATGTCGCTAACAGATTTGGATGTGCGTGAAGTATAGTGCAGTCGCTTCTTCAAGACAGGTTCATACGCTGGACGTTTAGAAACCTTCGTATGAGAACTTCGAATCGAGACAATCGATTTATTGTAAGTTTATTGCTGAGAAACCGTCACGCCGTTTGCCAGCTTTTCAAATTTATAGTAAACTAAGGAACGTAAATATAAACGAACGGACTGTAAGAAGACGATTAAGCAAAGCAAATTTTACGTTAAGAACACCTACTTCGTGACCACAACTTAGTCTGTTTACTATGACCAAAAGCAAACGCATGGTTTTAATGTAAAAATTAAAAAAAAATGTTAGTGTCTTCTTCAAAAGCAAATATCTCCTACAAAAATAAAGCTATTGAGATGAACCAAAAAACAAACTATCGAGAAAGAATGAACATAGATGATAAAAGGATTTTTAAATACCTTACTGTCTTAACATATTCCACAGGGTGTCACTCATATAATCGACAGATAGGAACTTTTATTTTTAATTTAAATAGAGGTAGTGAAAAGTAAAATAATTTAGCTACATATTGCTTCTTTTATATCTCTTGCTGGAGAGAATATACTCATATATATATTTTATGTTATTTCCAAATTAATAAAAGCCCTGAATTGTTTCAAACATTTTTAAACAATGAGCGTCTGTTAGTAGAAATATATAATCAACAGGCCAGAATATATTACCAAACTGTTTTCAAACGAACAATAAATATACAACAAGAATATAAACTAACAACAAAAGAAACGCAAAAAAAAACATAACAACTAGCGTTACTAAAAAAAGTGTAATGCCGAACGCAAACGAGAAAGAAATCGTACAAACTTGCATAGACGTGAGGGTTAGACCTTGGAATAGAATAACAAGTATGGAGTATTGGTAGTGTTGTGTTTCCTGCTCAGCATCTCCATGAACTCCTTGTCGGACAAAATCTTGACTTTTTCGTCGTCGAATTCCAGCCAATCGCCCGACCTCGATGCTGCGTTTATATTTAATTTGCGGACGCCGCAACAACCGATGCTTTGGCACACTTGCACTTCGTTCTTCGGTCCTAAACCGTTCTGGGCCGTCTCGTTAATCGGATTGGCCCCCAAGGTTTTCGATTTGAAGAACTTCAAGAAGCTCACAGAGATTTCCTTGCCCTGGTACCCCTTTGGGATGTTTCTAGAGCAGTCGGTGTAGTCTCCGGCCTGTGGCTGATTAAAAGGAAAACAAACATTATACTCTTTGAAATGTCAAACTTTTAAAAAGAGTTTTCAATAAAAGTTTACTAAGTTTTGCGTTTACTTCTGGTTTATTCTCAATCTCAAGCCGAGTCTCTGAACAATAATACAACACTGAGCTGACCAAGATTCAATTGAACGAACCATATTCTAAGCAATGAATTGAATCTCACAATTCATTTTTAATACTCGTTCAAATGAACGACACGTTCAATCTCTGCCCACCTCTGCTTTTCAGGTTTATACAATGCCTACCAAATATAAAATAAACTATGGTATTTCAAACTAGCAAAAAATTAAATTTATTAAGAGCTGTCAAATGGGGATGTCAAATTTTAAAACTAACACAGAACGTGTTCCTATGTCATAGCTTCCATCTCTAATGTAGGAATATAAGAATAATATTTAGGACTCTAAACTAAGGCCCCACGTTGGGCACCATAATGTGGCCTTGGATTTGTGTAAACCCCTGTAATATATTGTTTAAATTGGGATTTAGCAGACTTACCGAAGCTCTGGAGTAGGCAATATAATGGCCCGAGGCCATACTGGTGCCCAAGTGCATGATAACGCAGCTTAGTCGGTATTTGTGAGGAGTCGTCCTATTTCTCTCAATTTTATTACACCCCTCGCAAAAACATCGAATTTCTAGAGGTGTCGGAACAAACGAATTCACTTTTGCCACACCTGATGATGAGGTGGTGAACCTCTTCAGGTGAAGGACCATCGTGTTCGGTAATTTCTCGTAAACAACCTACAAAAACATCAGAATAATAGCATTCCCCATATTTTTTTCTTAAACAAATAATGGTGGCAATTAGTATTGTAAAATGCTCGAGAATTTAATTTTTGTCTAGAAATGATTAAGGTAAAAATTAATCTCTCTAGTATTTCAAATTCTAAAAATGTTTGTGATATTGAAAACATGTTTCATATGAGCGCAAGCGCTTACTATAATATTCTTAATACAAGTAAGAGAAATATGAACGGTATTTCCTTAAGTTCTTAAGGTTGCTTTTTTAGGGTTAATGATAAGGGTGAGGTTAGTGCTAATACTCAGTATACTAAGTATAAACCCACCATTACTTTTTAACAATTTAATTATAAAAAATTGAATTTCACTTATTTAGAGTGGATTTAAACAGATGAAAAACAAAATATAAAACGACAATTTAAAAAAGAATTAGTGTGTCTACTGAAAGAATAGATCGCTGCTTTGAATCTGTCAATCATATATCATAGAATACCACTCTCCCACACTTAATGTTTATCCTATTTATAACACCTACTTAGTTTAAGTAAATGATCTATATGATCTATATATCAATAAAAAAATAGGTAACAAAAAATTTAACAGTAGTACTTCTATTGGGATGTCTTAACTTACCATCCTGGAAGCTTCATTATAACGATTACAAATCTCACAAAAATATTTGTTCTGATCACATAGTTTTTCGGAAGATACGCACACTGTGCCGAAAATAGAATTCTCGGGACAGTTTGAGAGAAAATCCTCATCTTTAGCATTGACTGGAACCTAAATGATTCAAATGATTTTAGTAAGACCATTTGTGACTACAAAAAAATATATCTGACCTGAATCTCCAAGAAGGGCTCTTTGAGTTCGCTAATCTCCTCGCACTCTAGACACTTCGTTCGGTGGATAGAGACTCCTTCAAACTCTTCAGTTATAAAATTATAACCTAACTTTTTCCTGTCTGCTTCGGGACTGCATCCATTTGACACTGTCTCTCCGGAAGTGCCTAAGGAAAAGTCTGAGATTATCTATTTTACGTGTCGTCAAATACAGAGCTTTAAAAAATAATAATAACAATAAATTGCCTTTATTTCACGAAAAAAAAAGAAATACATAAAATGATAAGAAAATTGCAAGTCTGGCATAGTCTAGCTGTAATAGCTACTGACTTAACCAGAACATGCAAATTTAATAACTAAATATAATGTTTTACAGATTGCCATAAAAAAAAGTTTTAAATGTATAATAATAAAATACATATACCAGGTGCGTCTCAAAAGTGGCTCACCCCTATAACATTTTTATTTTTTCAGATAAAACAACGAGATTTGGTATGTTAGTATATGACATAAATTGGGATTGATTGACGTATTCAATTGTTTTCGGTCACTTCCGGTTTCACCGGAAATGACTACAACTTTTAATTTTAAAATGGCACACTTGGTATTTTTTTACTTTATTCGATAGAAATTGACACTCTGAATCGAATGACATATCATATGTCCATTTTTGACATAGTCACTCAAAAACAAATTCTATTTTAAATTTCAATCTAGAGTGAATCTAGAGAACATTAATTTTTAATCAAGAAGCCTTGGAAAAATAGATTTGATCGTCTAATGTTTTTAGTGTCTTGTCGTGGCTGGTTAAAAGATGCCCAAATCGTATTTTTAATAATATCTCAATTTTTTCAAATGGAACGAGGGTGGCTCATTAGCATATTTGGAAAAAGCATTTTTTTACGAATAATTTGATAGCACAATATTTTGAGTCAAATTGTCGTTATGAACCGCCTGTTACAATTTCAAATAAACCATATCGCAAAATGTCAAAAGTTGACATATGATATGTCATTCGATTCAGAGTGTCACTCTCTATCGAATAAAATAAAAAAATACCGAGGGTGCCATTTAAAAATCAAAAGTTGTTGTCATTTCCGGTGAAACCGGAAGTGACACAAAAACAATTGAATATGTCAATCAATCCCAATTTATATCACTAACATACCAAATATCGTTGTTTTATCTGAAAAAATAAAAGTTATAGGGGTGAGCTACTTTTGAGACGCACCCGGTATATTATATCATCAGTGAAACGTGATAAGGTGCTAACTCCATTTTTGATTTAAAGTAAATAATTTAATACATCATTTTTACGTAAAATTTTTAACAAAAAAAATGGTTTTTATTGTTCTCGAACAAATATTATTCTTATCTCTTTATCATATTAACGCATGAATATACCGTATGATCGAATAAAAACGGCGTCAGCGATGGCCATGAAATGACGATCGATGACATTTCCCATATAATTTTACATATAAAATGACAGCAATCTTCATTTCATAGCCACCGCTGACGCCGTTTTTATTCGATCATACGGTACTTATTACATGTGTACATATTTTGTTGTGCTATTTCTTTTCTCTCCTCTAAAATTAGGAATAATGGAGTTAGCAGTTATCACATTTCACCGAAAATATATTTTTTAATACACATTTTATCATTTTAATTAAAAACTCAATGTTTTTCAATCAAATCTTAGATGTCTATTAAAATCCTCCCATCTCTAGCTGAACAGACATATACAAATCGGTTTTAGGCCCGCCGCAAATTGAACCCAGCCCACGCACAGCACTCGCCCAACCCATGAGTGGGGAATTTTGTAAAACACAGGAAAGAAGGGAGTACCGCAAATTAAACACACTCCACGCCTAGCACAGCCTTTTCGTGGATCTAGTTGCGTTCAGACACAGTTTTCGTGGGTTCCTTCCCCTTCTACTTTTGCGACTTTTGCGACAAACCGCTAGTTTTTCTTCACTTGCAATAGGTTTTCGGGCGTTGCATTCCTTACCGGTAATGTCTGTTTTTATTAGTTCATACACTTCAAAAAACTGTCTCCTGTTCAATCGAAAAGACTCTTTAAATAGACTGTCTGGAACTTCGCTAGACAATCTAAACTCTCCTTTGCTTGCTTTTTTCGCAAATATGCGTTTTTTACATTTTTTTCTCTATTTATTAAGCAAATGAAGTAAAATAAGCCCTTCTTCGTTCTCGGATCCTGATTCTAAATCAAGAAGTTGCTCGTATTTACTCATGATCGAAACTAAAAACTTGGATCTCGGCTGTGTTCAATATGCGGTGCTAAGGAAAACGTGTGCGTGGAATCAAGAATGGGTTGGGCGTGTGCTGTGCGTGGGCTGGGTTCAATTTGCGGCGGGCCTTAAGGTCTTGTTATTCTTCTCGTATTTTATTAAAAATAAATAAAATATGGTGTTTAATATATTTGTTTTAAATGTTACCACTTACCATTTTCTTTCACATTATTTTTCTCTGCCTTTCTCAGAGGTTTCTTTCGTGAAGTCCTAACATTAAAAAACTTGCTATTGCTGTTGTTTATGTTAGCTGAAGCAGTCTCGGATGGTTTCAATAACTCTGGATTTTGATCGATCTAAAAATAATCATTTTTAAAACGGAATATAAAACGTGAGCAAATTTCTTTTTAACTACCTGTTGGTTCAGTTTGTCACAGGTAACCCTCAGGCAACTAAGTAATTCCACAAAAAATTCATGGGCATCCTGCTGATGATTTCCTTCAAATAATGACTTGGCATCTCTGATTGCCTGTAATAAAGCTTCTGGTTGATAAGGGTCTGGAGAATCCTTTGTTTCCAGATTACTCATTGTCATATAAAGCGCGTGGAGTTTCTCAGTCACTATTTGATCTCTTGATTTTGGAATAACATCATTATTACCTATAGACAATAAATCTTTACTACTCGAACTTCTCCAGCTACTTCCACTTATGGCACTGCCATTTCTACCCAAGCTACTTGTTTTAGTCTTGGTTTCTTTTAACTTTCCAGTCACAAAATTAATATCTGCCAATAGATGATGCAAATTATGCAAAAATGTCGGAGCAAATCTTAGTGCATATAAAACGCTATTAAAAAAACAAGTGTTGCCCATGTTTAACAGCGTAGCAATGTTGCAATTAGTTGCTCCATCTCCATTTATCAAACAGGAATGGGACGAGTCTTCCTGGAAGTCGGCCATAGTATCCAGCCGTAGCTTCTTAATTGGAGACCCTTCTGGCACTGTGGGCAATTTATAATTCCGTTCCCTTAATTGTCTTGTAGTGTCTGACTTCATTAAGGAGCATGTTGTGTATTGCTCCAAATTGTTTTCTTTATCTGAGACAGAATTGTCATCACTATCCTCAAAGCTTTGACTTGTCAGTCTTTTTTTCTCCTGCTTTATTGGAGGGGCTTCATATGACAGGAATTTTTCCTTATCTGGTGAATTCTCATCTTTGTGTGCTGACTGTAGAAGTAAGCTTAACTTTTTTTGAACCTCTTGTGAAGGATGTTCTTCTATATCGAGGTCGCTAATGTCAATATCAAAGTTTTCCTTTTTCATAGACTCCTTAACGATGGCTTGAGCCTTTTCTTCATTGCCCACTGGCATGAACCAGGATAATCCATGTTTCTTGTATAATGCTTTAGCTCTTTTCTCTGAGAAAGAAATGTCTTTAAGCACATATAGCTTTATTAAGTTAATATACATACCTATTTCATTTTCCGTCACATTTTTGTCTAATTTATCGGCCGTTTGTTTTAGGAAATGTATAACAAGTCTTCTTGTTGGGTCTTCTATATCAGTATAAGGCAAACCGTGAAATACAAAATCAAACTGTTGTGCTGCAAAACTTCGATATTTATATCTAGGCTTGGATGCAAATAATGAATGTTGAGTTAAACTCGTATGGTCGCTCATCTTTTTCGTTTAAACCTATGCCAACAATTTTGAAACTTTCCTAATCTTTATTATAAATTTCCCAGAAAATAACAACTTACAAATATATAACCAAACATTGTATAACCCAAACTCAAATTTTACAAAGTCAAAGGTTTATTTATCAAGAGAAAATACTGGTAATATAGGTTTAATATAATCAATTAATAAATTTACAATTCTCAGCCTAAACTACTAGGAATAATTTGAAAAGCATACTTACAAATAGGTATAAGGGCCTCTCAGCAAAAGACGACCATATTACCGCGTAAATATTCTTTACTTCTGGTAACTAGTTTAGAAAATAGAAAATTTAATTGAAAAATGATTACCATAATTTAACATTTTTAACATGAGTATGCTGGTATGCTCTCAATTCCCAATTTTATTTTTTATAATGGAAAATGAAAAAAAAATGGTTTGACGCGTATGACATATGTAGACAACCGGTTATGTCATCCGTCATCCGGCGGCGCCTAGATAAACTTTGAAAAGGATCTAGCAATCCGTCGCACTGTGCCAGCGCACAAGGTAAGAGGTTTTGAAATTGCATTGAATATATGCTCTGTCTTTAGTTATTGGTCCATGAGCAGGAGTATAAAATCTCTGAATCTATTGTATTTGAGATGGTATTGAGATTGAAACTGATAGAGACCGCAGATTTGAGGCGGTTAGATTCCGGTAAGAGATCGGATATCCCTAAGGGTCAAATACATTCGCTAAATGGGTAGGCTATTATATGACTGAGGACTGCAGTTCGTATCCTTGAGTTCGTATAAGATAAATAATGATTTCTGTCTTAGAACCACAGTTCGAATAAATCGTAAACAAAGTAGGCTAAGTCACGTTCAGATTAACCTAGCAGCAAAAAAGGGACGTTAACTTTAAGAGGATTTTTTGCAGCTGAAGCCGTTAAAATAAAAAAGAAGAACTTTTTAACAGTAACCTTACCAAATTTATAAAATTAACCCCAAAATGGGGAAGGTTTTGTCAAGTATAAAACATCCGTTTCGTAATTTTAATTTAGAGGATAGAGCTCATAAAATCATAGGTCAATCTAAACCTATACCTGCACCAAGACATGCTAAAGATGAAATTGATATACAAAGACTGAAAGAAGGTAGGCTGGAAAAAGGAAGTGAAAATTTCGTGTAGCTTTTTAATTATTTTTAGACTACTCTGAAGCGTTCGAAGAGAGTTTAAAGAAAAACGAGCAACTAGATAAGCATCTCAAAGATGTATATGTAGTGTCCAATGACGTGAGTTTAAAACAACACTAAATCGTTTTATAGGTATAGCTAACCATTACATTTCAGAGGGTCCACGACTGGAAAATAAAGGAAAACCCAGACAGGCCTTTACCAAAAGACAGAACTCAATCTGGACCATTTTTATTTGGTCATAAAGACCCAGACAGAGTACCAATAGGTAAAGTAATTCTCAAAGATGCTCTAACTTTTATATCTCAACATCAAAATGACCCCAAAACTCATTCGCCCAGTAAAATTGCTGAAGATTATAAACTTTCAAAGGAAACAGTCGGTATGCTTATACATATTTGCTCTACCGGATATACTCATTTGATTTTTAACTTTTTAGAGAATGTTTTAAAATATTATAGGATTTTCGAAATATATCTCCCTGATAAAAAAACAAATGCAAAATTCGCTGGTCCTAGTATTCCTGAAAGTTACAAACTGACAAGTTTGGAGAGATTTTTGCCCCCACCAGTAAAAAATAAGAAGGATGAAAGCTGAAACTGCTGTCTGTAGATTTGTAATAGCAAGATGAAAATTATTATTTATTAGAATTCGAATTAGTAAAATATGTAAATAAATATAACAAATAATTGTTGGTTTTATTCTTAAATAGAAAAAGCATACATAGTACGCAAAATAATATTATTCAGACTACTTTATCCTATCTATATGTATACAGTACCACCATACAATAGTACATTCACATGTTAGGCTTGTGGCAATAACACAAACTGTAGCAGCTGTAATGTATAACCAAATCTAAGACATCCAGATCCCATACAAAAAATACCAGTTTGTTTATTCAAATCTAAAATCTATATTAATTATAAGATTAAGATTATCAACCAAATTTTAATGACAAACCTTTTGCCATTAATCCGAGGTAAATTTCACATTCCTTATACGCAAATTTCTGTATAGTCATTGATGTAGTTTCACCCTTTTTTTAGATGATCATCTTCTAATTTACGAAGTTTCCAGCAAATAATACAATTTTTACAAGATTTACTCAATAAGAAATCGCCAAACCATTTAACACAATCAAACAATTTCATTAAATGACAATATGATAGGAAAAAACTGTAACATAATTATTGCAATTTCTATGAATATATGAATATCTCTTGAAGAAAATGTTCCTTAAGGGTTTGATGCCCTTAATAAGGTGTTTTTTTAAGGGTTTGATACCCTTAATGAACACTTATAATTTAGACTATTTTATCCCATCTCCATACAGTACCATCATCGCAAACATACAATAGTATATTTGCATTTCGGCTTAGTGTTGTTTGTCTAATGGCAGTAGTACATCGTGGATGCTGTAATGTATAACATTTAGCTTCAGCTGGATCCGATACATCCAGATCCCATACAAAGACTTTACCATTTTGGTTACCCAGAGCTAAAATCTACATTAATTATAAGACTCAGATTATCAACTAAATACCTATTATTACAAACCTTTTGCCAAAAATCCATGGCAAATCTTACGAACCAAATTTCGCATTCTTTATACTCAAATTTGTGTATAATTGTTGATGTAGTATCGCCCTGTCTTAGATGTTCATCTTCTAATCTACCAGGTTTCCAGCAAATTATAAAATTTTCACAAGATTTACTCAATAAGAAATTGCCAAACCATTTTACACAGTCAACATAATTTCTTTAAAGGAAAATAAGGTGTTAGGTAAAAATTGATTTAGAAAAATTATATTGCATTACCTATGAATATCTCTTGTAGAAAAATATGGAAAGTGTTCTTTAAGGGTATCAAACGGTCTTGAACTTCGATTGGAGTTCCAGTTATAAGACTGCCTTATGGCTTGTTTCATATAATCTTTGTCCAACTCCCATAACTTCAAAGAGTGATCCATTCCACATGACATCACTCTACTGCCCAATAAGTCAAAATCCTAAAAAAATATTAATCTTAAAAATATAGTTTTACAAGTTCACAAAAGTAGTATAAATTACAGCACTTAAAACTTCGTCTCTGTGCCCTTCGACACCACCAAATATTGCAATACAGACATCACTTCTGGTATTCCATAATCTAAAATTAATAGAATATTGAGAGGAAACAAAATAATATTGGAAGAACCTAACCGTAAAGAATGATCCTTTGATACAGACAGTAGCAAATTTGGATCCTTTGGATGAAATTTTAATTCGTTTACAGCATGACTATGTCCTATATAATGTTTTAGGGAGCTCATTGTTGTTGGATTTAATATCCGTATTACACCTGTAAAAATGATACAATAAAAGTATTCTTATTGAAAAACATTCTATAAAATTATACTTTACCTCTTGAGCCAGCAACAGCTAGCAGTGGTTTACCTAAGTCCTCTTCATATGACCAAGCACATGTATAAAAAATTTCATCTAGCTGAAAAAGTTTGAAAAAGGTTTGATTTACAATTATTGTATCAATACAACTAAATACTCTTACATCTGGATCAGCATAACACTGTAATAATTTGATCCCACCATCTTCTGGGCATTCATAAATAGTAACTCTATTACTACCAACAGCAGCAAATATCATCGGCTGTTCTTCTTTTAAATGATGATTAAACTGGACACCAAATAAAGGCTGTCCATGGTCTTCTTTAATGCTACATCTGAAATTTTGTTTATAAATTTAATATCTATTAGGTAATATCTTCAATATCTTACACATATTTATAAATTGGTTTCAAAACCTTTGGCGTGTTACTAAATCTTTTTTTATTAGCTCGTCCTTTTCTTGTTCTATTGGTTGGTGTTGCACTTCTGGAAGTATTATCTGTAGTAGATGCACTGCCTATACTTGAAGTTTCGTCCTAAAATGACTATTTTAAAGTACTATGTCATATTACAAATTTAGAAATTCAGTACCACTTCATCACCAGATTCCCCAATCATATTAGGGTCATTTTTGCTCTTCACTTTCACCTCTTGTTGCTTCATTGGTAATTATTAGAAAAACTGGAAATCGTCCGATTTTTACAAAAATGTGTATGCACCGTATCTGAACTTTTTTTGGCGGTCTCACCGTTTTCAGAAAAACGAAAGTTTATATATTCAATTGATTTTTTTCTTAATTTAAGCCGTATAAAGTAATAATTTCATTATATTAGAGTTTATCTAAAAGCCACACTTGATTGGGGATAGAAAAATATCCAAAATTTTACTGAAAACACTTTAACAAAATAAACAAAAACAAGATGGAAGATTGATATCACGTTGACATTTCATATATGCATCTTTCTCTCTCCTATGCAATGAGAGAGATAAATATTTGTAACGTTGTCATGTCTTGTAGTTTTTCGGTTGATAAGAGATTTTTAAGAAAATGTTTATTTATATTACCCTTGTATATTGTATATTCACACTAATAACCTATGTAACCCAAAACCTTACACACCTAAAAAAACAAGACGGCATGTATTAGTCTCTTCCTTGGTGGGATTAGATTAATGTCTAGAGGTTTGCTATAACTCTAGCAATCAAATGTTTTGTGATTACTTTGGTTCACTCTTTTGTTTTTCTCTGTTTTTTTGTTAATGCACTTCTAATGGCTTTCAATGTTTTGATCTGCTATTTGTGCTTGTTTTGTTAATCATGATCTTAACAAGAAAAAGCCTACCGTACCAGATCGTACCGTAACTACCGTATAGATAACAGGATGTTTTCTATTGCCAGAGCTATTGCTTGGAAAGTGCGGAAAATAATTTCCTTCGTTAATTTGGGAATTGTACCGTGTACCCACTGAATTTAGACTTGGCAACATGGCTTTAAATGTCACTCAACACCTGTTTAACACGTGACTTCGGATTGTTTACTCATTTGTTTTTGCAAATTTTCTAGCAAAAATTGAAAATATATGGTTAAAAAAGTAACAGAAAATAGCAAAAACCTGAATGTTTATTGAATACCTAACAAAATATGTGCATAATTAAAAATGTGAGAAATTTTGAAAAATTACATTTTGATATAATTTTGGATTTCTGCTGATTCCTGTGAAGAAAAACGGTACCGCCAGAGGCGCCAATAAAAGTTCAGATAGTGATCCAGGACATATATATAAATATTAAAAAAGTTTATATACTTTACCACTAAATGGCGATAGCTCGTTCAGATGTGATTTCGAAAAAGGAGAAATATTTTCTTTATAATACTTTGTCTGGTTTAGTAAAAGGTATGGAAAATTCCTACACGACAATCGATCTTCGAAATGAATGTTGTGTAACGGGAAAAATCACCAAAGTAGATGCATTTATGAATGTCGAAATGGAAGATGTTATTTGCTATGATATGACAGGTAAATAACTGGCTGGTATTCCTCTGATCGCATGAAATATATACATAAAATATTTTAGGTAATAAGACCTCTTTAGAAAGTTTCTTTCTATGTGCTAGGAATATCAGGTATGTTCATATATCACCACAAAAAGATGTTGCTACATTATTAAATGAAGTTGTGGCTCCTATGATTCCGAAAAAAGGACCCCCTAAACGATCATTTAAGAATTCGAGGGCCCAAAAGCAAAATGCTAAAACAATAGCTGAAGCCTACAATAGAAGCAGAAAATAACTAATAATTATTGTTTCTACAAACACTATTAATTTCAAAATAAAGTATTTTGAATATTTTGTATTTTACATTGCCAGGTTACATTGTATTCCCTGATATGTATTAAACACTTTTATGACAAAATTTCTTGTCTAGGCGAAAATCCCAATTACTAATTTTTAAAAATTGTTCTTGTTCTTACTTTTAAACCTATCTCTTAAACTAATACTAGGAAGTATAGTCCATAGATAAAGAATATTGGTATATTCTTTCCAACGAAACAGTGGCAGATGTTGACAAGCATTTTGATTCACATGTAAATTGAATTTTCTGTCATATTTTGGATGTCGTCTGTCGAAATATTCATTAACTCTAGTCAGACTTTATTTAACATTTAACATTTTGTTACCAGAGTGATAAGTACAAAGAGCAAATTTAAGAGTAATACCATTAAAAGGTATACTAATGCTTAAATTTTTTATGAATATCTTCTAAAATTATAATTATGTATACCTTCAAAAAATTTCGTTATAGCCGAAATAGCCGAAGTTATGTCCCCACTAGCTAAACCGGTGCGTAAAACTATGTTCGCTACCGTAGTTGAACTCATCTAAAAAGTTTTATTAGCTTCAATAATAAATTATAATACAAATTAGACCTTCTGAAGATATTAAAATATTAACTTTTTTATTTTCATTTTCAGAATTTTCACAAATTATACTTCCTAACACTTTTAGAATAACTATAAATATAATCCATTTTTTGTATACTCCTTCTTTAAACCCGTGCATTTGTATATACCGATTGTTTACGATATTCTCCGATAGCGGCAGCACCGGCGAAGAATGCACCAAGCCGATACAGTATGATCGACAAAAACGGCGTCAGTGACGAAGACCGCTGTCAGTTTATATGTAAATAATAAAATTATATAAGAGTTTCGCTAATATAGAAATTAATTCCACGCTGTGTTCGTCATAATGTGGATCAACCTGCTCTCACTACCGGTTTCGGGGCCCTACCCCATCATCAGGTGAGCTTGGGTATTTCCACAAAACGACGAGCACAGCGCAGAATATATAAATACGACTTGTCGTAAAGTAGCGGTAAGATATTAAGTCTCGCATCGCGAGATAGAGGCCTGCGTGCAATGGTAGTACTTTCGTACCACCGAGGCACAACTATCGATAGTAAATAAAGGCTTTTTTCGGCTAGCCCAAAATATATAATGGAAAATAAATTTCTTGCAGTTTTTAGGTATATAATAAAATTATATAAGAGTTTCTTGCCTTGAACTGCTAATATAGAAATTAATTCCACGCTGTGTTCGTCATAATGTGGATCAACCTGCTCTCAGTACCGGTTTCGGGGCCCTACCCCATCATCAGGTGAGCTTGGGTATTTCCACAAAATGACGAGCACAGCGCAGAATATTTTCCATTATATATTTTGGGCTAGCCGAAAAAGCCTTTATTTAATATCGATAGTTGTGCCTCGGTGGTACAAAAGTACTACCATAGCACGCAGGCCGCTATCTCGCTATGCGGGACTTAAAATCTTACCGCTACTTTACGACAAGTCGTATTTATATATTCTGCGCTGTGTTCGTCGTTTTGTGGAAATACCCAGGTAGTGAGAGCAGGTTGATCCACATTATGACGAACACAGCGTGGAATTAATTTCTATATTAGCATTTCAAGGCAAGAAACTCTTATATAATTTTATTATATACCTAAAAACTGCAAGAAATTTATTTTCCATTTTATATGTAAAATGCCATAGGGAATGTCATTGATCGTCATTTCCAAGTAGGGAATGCAATCCCGCAAATGCGGGATCCCTCAGAGATTCCGCGGGATCAAAGTTGCGGGATTTACCATGCGGGATCCGCGAGATCGACCCATTACTACTAGGTAACCGAATTGATCTCGATCAGGGTCAAACCGTTTCGTTCCGGGCCGATGCGTCGACGGTCGAAACTCCGGGGATTCCCCTTACGGCTTGGCCATTAAAAATAAGTTAAACAAACAGGTTACTTGTTAGATTTCTTTCTGGCCTATGTGCGTAAGTGAAGAAAAGCGTTTAACTAGTACTTGTGGACAATTTCGTCAAATAAACTGCCGGACATATGTAATTATCGGGACAAGCAAAATTTTAATATAAAATTTAAAGTTGAATAGGTATCTCTTGAACTAAAAAAGATTTTGGGATGCGGTTCGGACCAGGTTTTAGACGCATCTATTGTGATTACGATGCTATATGGTTTTCGAAAATATATTTAGCGAATTCTCGTACGCAGGGTGTTTTATAAGAGTGTGAAAATTCGGTCAAGAATCTTTTTTACCGCAAATTTACAATTTTTAAAAACCAAGTACGGCTATTCTGTAATGAAATTAGAAAAAACAATTTGATAGGTTTTTTATTTTTTTTTTGTTTTATGGAAAATACGACGTTTTTTTTGAAAAATATGCATTTTTAGTCATACGTATGGTCCTATAAATGGTACAAAAAGCTTTGTACATTCTGCATATGCCAAAAAATTATTGATATAAAAAAAAAGCAGATAACTAACACAAGTTAAAAAAACTTCAACATCAGAATAATATTTTTATTTATAAAATAAGTAGATAAATTATAATAAAATTTAAGTTTATTTAATATTAAATATATTTTTTCAACACCCTGTATACATCGGTCCCAATTTCTGTACAGCTAGTTTAAGATACACGCTATATCAATATATTGTGGGCCTATGCAAAATGTACAATGCGTACCACTTAGAACCAAATGTATGACTATTGTTTACAGTCCGCGGGATTGACTGCTTTAATCCCGCGGGTTTGCGGGATTGAGATTTTGGTGAGGGATTGCATTCCCTATTTCCAAGTAACGGATCATACGGACCGTATGATCGAAAAAAAAACGGCGTCCGGTTGGCTTGGAAATGAACATCGATGACATTCCCCCTATAATTTTCCATTCATTTTATAGCCATCGCTGACGCCGATTATTATATAGCCATCGCTGACGCCGTTTTTTTTCTCAATCATACGGTATAAATGAAGTAGGTATACGTACACGATTATCATTTCCAAGCCAACGTTGGACGCTGTTTTTTTTTCGATTATACGGTATTTGAAGAATTCTAAGATTCAAAAAAATCTAGCATAAAGAACAAAAGATTTTTTAAAGGCTCATTCTTATCTAATCTCAGAATAGAATAGATTAGCTTCCTAGCACTGGCAAATATCTGATTTTTATAAAATTATTGTTTCGATCGTGGAATTTAAAAATATTGAAAACTGATTCTATATATTTATACTCTATGTATTCATAAGTGATCATTATTTTGGTAAGGTAAAACAGATCTCTAAAAAACACAGGAATTTTTGCTTTTTTATACTTATAGGTTGACACACAAAATAAGTTCAATCATTTTTAGGAAGAGAAGTTGTTTTAAAGATGGAAATATCTAATACCCTACTCATAATTATTTTTTCGGTAATAGGAGTGTTAATATTGCTTATATCCATAGCCGTTGGAGTCCAGTTTTATCTAATTTCGAAACTATATAAGAGAATTAAAACTTTAGACCCTATGAGCTCCTATAAAAAAGTGTAAGTACCTACAATAATAATATAAGCAATGTTAGGTATGTTTTTAAATCCCTATGAAAACACAGTAAACTTACAAATATTCATTTTTTATATTACTCTCAATTTAAAGATTCACATACTAAATAAAACACTTTTAATGTAAATAAAAAATCACTTATCAGGATTTATGGCATGGGTATCCATCATAACTCTATTTATACTGATTACTAAATTAAAATGATAAATCTTTCCAGTACTTTATTTATCTATGTATTTATGACAGTTATATGACATAAATATTCATTATTTTATTTTGTTATTAATGTGCTAAGATAAGTAGATCTAAAAAGATAATATTTTTTTTAAAGTTATCTGAGTGAAAATAAAATTCAGGTTTATTATTTAATGATTAGCAACACAAGAAGATTTTTTGGCCTGCGGATAAACACTTTGACCGTTTGTGGGCCGGACCATACTACGCACAGATTTGCCCTAGCCCTCTTAGTTCCTGAAATAGAGGGCAAAAAATAAATTGTTGCATTTTTCGACTCCCCTCGTATCTCGGTTATTTTATAATATAGGGTTCAAACCAAACCCATAGGGTTTTTCACTTACTCTAAGGTTTTCACGTAGAATTCATTGCGTATAAATAGTTTTTCGTTAGAAGCTGTGTCATTTTTGAGATATGGCCACTTAAGCTTGATTTTCATGCATCCGTTGTCCGACGATACGTTGATACGATATTAATTTTATTGGTAGAATTTAAAGACTTTGATTGGTTAGAAAATAACGCAGTTTTTAAATTTATTGCATTTTCATGCCTCCGTTTATCGGATATACGTTGGTGTTATTTTATATTTTCGTTTCCATAACGATTTTGCTATTTTACTTATATTTTTATTAATGTTAGATTAAATTTGTCAAAAAGTGTCAAAACGTCCGTTATCGTAAGAACGGGTTCGTTATGACGGACTGAAGTAAAATATTTACGGATGAAAAGTGGCGCGAAAACGCTATGACCAATCAGAGCACCGTTGGACCATCGTATCAACGTATAACGGATGCATGAAAATCAAGCTTTATGCTTATTTTTATATGAGGCACTATATTGGATGCGTCTCAAAAGTGGCTCACCCTTATATAACTCCTTTATTTGTTCAGATTACAGAACTAGATTTTGTATGTTAGTATACGACATAAACTAGGAGTGATTAGAGAACAAAGGCACAGCCTACAAACACTTAAACGTTACGCACTTGTTATATTTTTACACGTAAATGATTCTTTACGTCTACGTATACGTGCCGATTCTGTTGTTCTCTATTGACGTATTCAATTGTTTTCGGTCACTTCCTGTTTCACCGGAAATGACTACAACTTTTGATTTTTAAATGGCACCCTCGGTATTTTGTTACTTTATTCGATTTCGACAACTTTTGATTGAATGACATATCATAATGTCAACCGATGTCAATATAATCTTTTAACCGACCAGGACAAGACATGAAAAACATTAGACGATCAAATCTATTTTTCCAAGGCTCCTTGATTAAAAATTAGTAATTTTAATACAGCCATGCAATGGCACTCTAGATTGAAGTTTAAAATACAATTTTGTTTTAAGCGAAAATGTCAAAAGTTGACATATGATATGTCATTCTATTCAGAGTGTCATTTTCTATCGAATAAAGTAAAAAAATACCGAGAGTGTCATTTAAAAATCAAAAGTTGTAGTCATTTCCGTTGAAACAGGAAGTGGCCGAAAAAAATTGAATGCATCAATGAATCGTAATTTATTTTATTACCACTTTTGAGACGCACCCGGTATATACTTTTTTATTTTATTTGCGTTGTGATGAGTTCTCTAAACATATATTTTCATAATCAAAAGTCCACGGAATCTCTCTTTTAGTGATAGTATATTTTGACCCAAGAAACACGATTATGAGGTTTATTTCGCGAAAAATAATTGAAAGTTTGGATTTTTTTTAGTTTTTAGTTAAAAACCATAACTTTTTGATAACATGGCAACATTGGGGTATTGGTTAAATATAAATGTATAAGAAAGAAAATCCAGAAAAGTTCCAGTGGTTCTCAAAATTTAAGCAAAAAACATTTTTTTTTGGAAACTTTCAAAGTAAATAACTCGGTTTTTTTGGACTTATTTGAAAAACGGTAAAGAGAAAATATGTTCCTTTTATCGAGATCTACCAACGCCAAAATATTTTTTTTATTATTAGGAATATGTACTGAACATGTGGTAATAAAAATACACCAGTAAAACTAGAGCCTATATTTAATATCAATATCGCAGAAAATATCACAAAAAAAATATTGCACAGCTCAATTAAAATATTACTAACTCAGCCAAACCAGTGATCTCCCATACATTCCGTAGTCCACTCGGTTTGACATACCCAACACCAGTGAAATTTGCATCCTGCTCGAGTGCATATCATATGCATACAACCCCCATCTCGTTCTGTCGGTGTTTTACAACTTGGACAAGGCTTAGTCATAATCTAATTATAAGATAATAATTCAGTTTTTTAGTATCTTTTATGAAAATAACCACTTAAAATTTTAAATAATATGATAAATAATTTATATAAAATGACTAATACCATACGATCGAAAAAAACGGCGTCAAAGAGGGCTGGGTAATGACAATCGATGATAATCTTGGCGAGGTCAAGCTTTACATCATTTACTGGGCCCGCACACTGTCCTTCTTTATTTTTTAATGATTCTTATTACTGTTACAGAACAGAAGGCCTTTTATATTGAGTAAAAATGATTTTCAAATGGTGTGGTTTGATATTCTAGAAAAAATAATTTTTTAGAAATAAATTTTTGTATCCGGAATTTATCCGTTTTCAATCTTTCTATAGGCTTGGTGCATTTCTGTTGATTTCAAAAAATTCCGACGGACCGCAGCGCTGTGTTCGGCAGAAATCAGAAGTTTTCACTATGTATTTCACGCCGTCCCGGTTACAGTTCATGTTGATCGCATTAAAATAATATTGAAATCGTGGCTTTGTTATAATATTTAAGTATTTTAGTTTTTTGCTAGTGCAGTTATTGAAACTATAAAGCACTCAGGTGCGGGGTTTGTGTGATGTAATGCTGATTCGGGTCGTAAAAATTAAGTGAAAAATAACTCGAAATGGGCGTTCCGTTCTGTTCTGACAATTTCAAATGTTAATAAAATTGCCGAAAAAATGTTAACGCGTAAAGGAGGGCGTAATTACGTGGTTGTTGGGTGCAATAACATTTAATAACTTAACTTTCCCAGATATTCAACTTTCCCGAATCAATATTTTATAGCTTCACAGCTTCTCAAACCGATTTTATCAAAAGCAAAAATGGATTCAAGCAGTTCGACGAAACAAGTGAGTAAAGAAAGTGCCCATTACACAATCAAAAAATTAAATAAGACATACTATGACAGGATAAAATATAGTTTGCAATATTAATGCTCTATTCTTTTTTTATCAACTAGTGCTTAAATTTTTTATGAATATCTTCTAAAATTGTAATTATGTACCTTCAAAAAATTTCGATCTAGCTGAAATAGCCCAAGTTATGTCTTCAAATGTTATCAATCTTCAATTTATAGCCGTCGCCGACGCCGTTTTTTTCGATCATATTGTATTTATAACACCCTTCCACCCTTAAAGTATTTGCACTTAATCCAGAGAAAAACAGCTACTAAAAATATAATAAATAGTATAACATTACCTTAATAGTTGTTCGAGAAGCTAATTCGCCACTATTTCCATTGTTATAATTCATGTCCGACTCGCAACTGAAATTTTGACCAGCGGTGTCGTTATTTTCTACAACGTCGCATTCTCCTATATGAAAACCTTGACGACAGTGTCGACAGAAGACATATTTGCAATTTTGGCATGATATCCGCGTACACTCGGGTTCAGCTAAAAACGAAGATCAAAATGGGTAAAATATTGTAAGAAGTACATATTGCCTGAGTGCTCAAAAAAACAATAATTTAATCATATTAACATATTTTTTTCTGTTACCATTTTAAAGAATATTATTTCATTACTATTTCGGAATTACGGGGTGTTTTTCAAAAATGTGCATTTTTAACAAATGACTTAACTTTTTTTCTATGGAAGCAAACGCATGTATGAAGAGCTTGTCGGTGCGATAGTCTCGTTACTCTATGATTTAGAAGTCGTTTAGGAAAATACTGCCGTCTCTTACCTAAAATACCCATTCCACACCCAGGTTGAGGACATAACAAGCCGTTAGATTGCAACACAAACTCTTCAGCTGCAAAATGATGATATCTAAAATTCAATTAAGGGACTTTGATTTTCTAATTATTAGTGATACACTTAATTTAGTTTTTAATACCTAAAACTAATAATCTACTTAAGTGTTTCGCAAAATAACACAATAAGTGACGCAATGGACGAAATTATTCTTTTAACTACATATTAACTATAACTGACTAGCAGCATTTAGCAAAACTAGATCCAGATCACAGATAAAAGGTGGTCCAGAGATCGATCTGGACTTAGAGAATTATTTGGCAATTATTCATTTATATTGTTATTATGCTCCAGGATTGTTGTTTTAGATTGACATTTGGAAAAAAAACGGGCGACCATGGTGTTGCAAAGAGAATGAATTATTAATCAATTTAATGAAATTTTGTATCATCACAGCATATTCACTAGACAGTCAACTTAGGATCATTTACATTGCATCTGCGTACCTAAGTATCTAGATATTCTCTTATGTTAAGTAACACACACAAGTCAGATTCTGAACTTCATGTTTCATTGCTCCATCTATCGAGACTGTATTTGTATTCACTAAGAGTGGCCACTGCAGCCGCGAGGTCCTATAGTTCTAGTTTTGAGACTGTATAAGTAGTACTAAAATAACAAAGACGACTGGCAATGAATAGGCTGAGACCTGTATTGCTGTTATATTCTTTAGATACTACTCTGCAGATGTTATCTTTTTTAATGAAAAAAAAAAAATGGTCAAGTGCGAGCCGGACTCGCGCACGAAGGGTTCCGTACCATTCATTATCTTCTACACAACATTAGACACTATATTATTATAAACTTTTTTTCCGATTTAGCTGAAATTTTGAATGCGCGTATAAGTAATTTAAAAAAAAATTAAGAAACACATTACTAAAAATTGTATTAATCAATAATAAATATGTAAAAAGTAAAAATAAATATGTAAAAATATGTAAAAATTAAAAAAAAAAACGATTAAAAAAAAGTCGCCTTGACTAGGATTCGAACCTGCCTTATTACGGCTCCAAAGTACTTTTTTATTTATAAACATTTATTAAATTCCGTTTTTAGTATTTGTTCTTATAGCGGCAACATAGATACATTATCTGGAAAAATGTCAACTGTCTAGCTATAACGGTTCATAAGATAGACCTTTGTGACAGTCGGACGGACAGCGAAGTCTTAGTAATAGGGTTCCCGTTTTTACCCTTTGGGTACGGAACCCTAAAAATGGCAATTAAGTAAATAGAATTAGATGCTTATTTATGAACAAATTCTGTTTGTATAATTACCTATTGTAGTTCTCATCATCCAGTAAACGAAAATGATGAATTTCTTTAATGAAAGAATCAGGGCAACCAGTAGGGCATGCAAGGGTATATCCATATCTGGAAAAATTAATGAAATAAAAGAGAAGGGTCTATCGATTTTGATAGGAATTTATATTATTATATAAACTCAATGATTTTTTTTAAATACTAATCAATAATCAGTATTTTTTAATCATGCAATTTGCTCAGTATAAGCGGAAAAGGATTAATTACCTACACCATTTAATGTATGAACACATCATCTAAACTTACTCTGGATGTTGCCAAAATTGTCTCTCTGTTAGCTTAGTCAAACAATATTGTTTGAAACAATCCAAACACATGACATGGTCATCTGGACATGGAAAGGCAAATATAGTGTCTGAAGTGTCTAAACAGGCCATACATTGGATTTGTTTCAAGTTTGGACGAATCAGATCCAATGGAACAGCCTGATCTGTTTCGCCTAATGATATGTGTTCAGAGCATTTAAAATAAAATTCTGCAAAGGTTGGCTCTTTGTTCTGAAGAATGTCCTTGCATAATTCAGGATTATTTTCACAAGTGCCAGTAATTTGCTTCGGTTCCAAAACGTGAATCCAATTTTGTGGGTCAGCATGTACGGTAAAAGCCCCACTTTTACAAAAATGACATCGAACTCGTAGTTTCCCTAAAAATATATTAACCCAAAAATAACGTCATAAATTTTGCAATTCTAAATTTTATAAACCTTGCTTAAGATCCTTACAAGTTGGACAATAAACATAGAAATGAATTTTTTTAGATCTGATTGTACTGTTTTCAAGCATCACACTGTTTGATATATTAATAACTTCATTATCTGTAGAGAAAGAATTACTTCTACTATTGGTAATATTGGAAGAAAACATTTCGTCATCTAATATTTCACATAATGGTTTCATCTTAGAACTGCTCTGGTCTGTAGGTACATTCCTTTTAATTTTTACAGCATGCAAAATACTTTGTTGGCCTAAATCACACTCTTCTACAATAATTAAAGTTACAAGTCATTTTTAATAAAAGATAAGATACAAAGAAATATACCTATAATTATATTATCTCCTAGCTCCTTCCCTGCAAATATAATTTTTAATTCTTCGGGTTGTGCTCCTATTTTTGAAGCAACTAAATTTTTAATTTGTTTTATATCATATTTAGGATCTATTTCTATAGATAAAGTACTTCCACTTGTAGTCTTTATGTATATCCTTAGTACATTTTCTATTAAATGTTTTCTCGAACTTAATAGTTGTAACATTTTTGTAGCTATTATTCTCAAAAATGATAAAATATACCTTAACATTGGTGCTTAATGGTTAATTTATGATACAGTAAATCTTATAATACATTAGATAGTAAGCCCCAAACTACTTTAATAATCCCAGAAAATTAAACTGAAAATATTTTTTTTTAAAAACCACAAACTACCTCTGGAATCTGGAACCACAATCAAAAATCAAAAACATAACCCTAAAAACTAAAAACAAAGGAAAAAAAATTGTCCTCAAATATTTTTTTTGTCATATTTTTCATTTTGTGCTCTGCTCCATTTCATAGGTACCTATTTTTATCTTTATCACAGATAACATAGTAATTAATGTTATCTGTGCTTTATCGAAATAAAAGCGGGTAAATTAAAATATAAGAGATATTTATTAATAATAATACATATTTTTCTTTTTTACGCAGAGCGTCAGTTGAGAGATTGGTAGAGATTATATATTACCACAGTATTACCAAAGTATTACCCACAAAATATTTGTGGTATTACCATTTTATGGTATTACCTAAGCATAACATACCTAATCCAGTGTTTTTCTTAAATATATATATTCTCTATTCTAATTTACTACATATGGGATAAAAGCTTTTCCTTGGTTTTTTAAATAAAAATATAAATATACATAGTAACATTTATTTAAACACTTATTAACTAGAATTTTAAAAAGTCGTTTATGATAAAAATATGTACATATTAGCCAATGGTTTCATTTTCTATCAGAGGTCCGTCATTATACATTAAGAGAGCTCATGGGCAAGTTAGCTCTGTCAGTTCAAGTTTTAAGCATTATGGAGCTGAATCTAATAAAGATGTTAAGAATACTGAAACGCCTAATCCTAATGTCAAAGATGGTGGTACATTGGACAGAAACTTTTTTACAAAAACTAATTTTAATTATGACAATCACTTGATGAACAACGATGACAACTATCTGCAGAGTGAATACGAAAATGATTTGCCATTAGAAAGGTGGGTACATAATATACCTACTAAGCCATCGGATATTTTAAATCAAAATATAAAACAATTTATTTGTTATTTTTAGAGATACATTAGAACGCAGCGAAAGGGAAGCAATATCTAAACTAGAATCAATATTATACTGAGATAAAAAGATAATAATTTTGGTTAGTACATTTTTATACAAAGCAAATATATAATTTTGGACTCTAGGAGAATAAGGAAAACTTACTCATTATTGTTATTATATACCTACCTTTTCAATAAAATTATCTCAATACATTTGGCATTATTATAAATAATTATTCAATAAAAAATTAATTATTGGCATGCCTGTCGAAGAAGTTTATTTAATGTTTTTTTTCTTACTGCAGAATTGACATTGCTATCTATAGGCCTTAAACAAGATATAGTATTGTTGCTTGTAAGAGTTTCGGTAGTTTCTTGTATTTTTTCACTTAATTTATGAACATTTTTTAATTTTGTCATATATTCTTTATGAAGTTTTGAAGCTGAGATTATTTTATCCTGTAATGGAATACAAGCCACTTCTATTTTTTCTTTGTGTTCTTTTAGGGATTGGCAATAAAGTTTATCCTAAAAAAACAATATAAATATAAGTTAGTCTTAATATTCCATTATTAACTTTTAAGTATTTCTCTTCTAGCCTTTCAATTTCACTTTCACTTAGTTTAGTACCAGTTAGAATATTATTTGAATTTAACAAATCTTTGGGTAAAATCACATCATTTAGTGATAATATTTCTTGTATTTCTTCCTGAAAACCAAATCAATGAAAGTGTTTGTTAAGCAAAACATGTCCAAAAGATAAATACGTAAAATTTTTGAAAAATAGATTCGGCAATATTCCAAAAGGCTTTATATTGTTGAAGCAAATGATTGTTTATGATGTCAAAATCCTCTGAATACTCTTCTTCGTAGACTTTAGCAACTTCAAGCATTACCAGTTTCAGTCTTTTATCTATACATTCCCTATCTGAAATAACATATACTAAATTAATACTTTGACCAGGAAAGTAAGTGTATTAATTTCAAACAAAAATTTTTAAAACTTACAGTTCAAATACAGTTGTGTAGAACTAACGCCATAATGAAATAACTCATTTTCATCTTTTTGAATTCTCTTTTTATCTAATATCATTTTTTGAACAATAAATAGTAGTGGCAGGAACAAAATTATAGGTAAAAACACTGACCAAACACAGAAAAATAAATATAAACATCAAATTAGATTAGCTCAAAAATGATTAGTCCATCATAAATACAATAACGGTTTTTTTCAAAAATTCAAGGTTATAGTATATTAATGGCCACAGCTGCTGGGGTTGTCCGGCCGAGATTCAAGGGTATGCTGCTAAGGATGGATTCCCCTCTTTTTTAATTATTTTAAAGATCAAAGATACTAAGACTATCCGACCTGTCAATAGGGATAATTAGTTTATGACCTGAGCTGCCAAGGCGACTATTTTCGCCCAAACAAATATTGGTATATTATTAATAGGTCCAACCGCTGGATTTTTTTACTTAGTTTGTACTTTACATTCTTTTGTTGTATTTTGAACTTGATTATATAGGGGAAAAATATGTCATTTATAATGCCTAAAATAAATGTTAGTGCGTAGTGCCGTCTAGTATCTGTGTGTCAGCTTTGTTGATTTTTAAAGGCCATCCCTGCTTTTGACAGATTCATTGGTTTTGATTAGATGTTTTAACAGTAGGTCGGATAGTTCTAGCAGCTTAGGCCGATTAAAAATAAATGTTTAATAGTCTATGGATAAATATTGATCAAACTTCATGACACTCGCCGCTGACCGCAACTATCCGCAACTCTGAACTCTGACATTTTAAGAGGTTATGTTGGGTTATGAGTTTTTAAATTACTTATAAAATACCAGTAAGGTGTTTTTCGGTTCATTTTTACTTTAAATATCAATGTTTAATATGTTTTGCTTAAGACAACATTTGAATAGAACTTACTTACCTAAATCTTTCCTCTTTAAATACTCGACATCAATCAAACCTATTTCAAAAGAAAACGAAGAACATTACGAAAAAGAGTTGAAACAGTTTGAAACTTTGACGAATATAACGAAAAGAACAAGGCAGAAAAAATCTCAAAGACCACCGTTTGTTAAAAATCTTCTTCTAGGTACTTTCGATACTGAAATATTAACTTTTCCACAATTAGAAAAAGAGGAAGTACAAAATGTGGAAAAGGAGACTGATAATTTGGGAAAAATTTTGAAACAGAAACATATGATAGGTGCAAATTCGCTGTCTAATAAAAATTTTAGGTTTGTAACTTAACTCTAACTTAGATTTGTTTGGTTTTTTGAAACATGAAAATATTTTAGACAAAATTTATCTGATGTTAAGGCGATAGGACTTCAAGCGTCCCAGTTTTTAGATGGACGCGAATCGACGCCATTAGAAGTTATGAAATATTTGCAGGTGTTTTCTGAACATCGTTTAGGGGATAGTATTATTCACCACGAACAATTGGGACTGCAGACATTAGTAAAATACGGTAGCGAATTGCTTCAAAAGAAATATTTGTATCCAGTTATAAAAGGAGAAAAGTTGTTAGCTTTTTGTTTAAATGAAAACAAAATTAATGATATTCAGGGTTTAAATACTAAAGCAGAACTGTCAAAAGACAAAAAATATTGGGTGAGAGCATGATATCTAGGCATACTACCAGTATGTTTCAGCATAGGTTGTCACATAATGCTATAATGCTAATCATAAAGTAATATCATATTTATAGTAAATATAAATAGTATATATAATTGCTTATAACACCTATAATTATCTTTATTTATTATTATATGATCTCTATTTGTTCTTCTTTGTAAACCTAGAGCACTGGTACAACTACTCCGCCAAATAGCCATGACACTGATGTTAAGTTAAATTCTCTCCTTTCTACTACAACTAGTCATTCTCTATAATTAAGAAAGATTAAAAATATAATTATTCAATTCAAATAATAGAAATTTCGAAATTTTTGTGTGAAATATAGCATAACAAAATAGTGCCAATGCTGTCATTACTTATAAAATATATTACCATTAATAAAACAGTGTGCCAAACCTATGCCATTTAATACTGTTTGTATGTTTGTAGTATATTGGTCGTAAGTGCACTAGATAATGACAGTCAGGGCAAATAATCAGAATTTTAATAATTATTTTAGATTTTAAATGGACAGAAATCCTATGTTGTAAATGGTATATCTGCTGACTATTTAATAGTTTTCGCTCTTACTGATGTTGTGATAAAGGATTCGGGTAAAGAAGTAAAACTAACAGGATTTTTGGTTGAGAAGGACTTTCAAGGAGTTAAATGGGAGAAAATAGAGGGCAGCGATATTGAGTTGGCAAATATAGTTTTTGAAAATACTGAAGTACCTTGTGGTATGTAATAATTTGTTATTGGATTTTGAACTATGTATGCTACCAACTAATCGATACAACTAATTAGTTTTGTGACAGAAACATTGGACAGAAACTTTACAAAACCCAATTTTAATTATGACAATCACTTGTTAGTTTATCAAGATAGCAATTACTTTGACAAAGAGTGCATTATACACTTTTCGGTATTTTTTTAACAAGAATTTTTTGATATTTTTATTTGAATTTATGAAGATACCTACTGACTTTGATTGTCAAAGCACAGACAAATAAAATGCTTTCTGTCCTTGCTTGTAGTTGTTCTTAGCAACTACTATAGCAGCGCCCTGTAACATATGTAATCCAAAACAATAACTGTTTTGGTGGAAAGCCAAGCAGTGGCTGAGCATTCCAATTTAAATTTATTTCTTTTAGCTATGATTTTAGCATGAAAGATAATTAGATAGATTTTTCAAAGAAATTGACAATCCCAATTATTGTAGTTCTCTTGGTACAAATCAATACATAATTAAATAATGCAATTGCCTAAAATGTATCTCCCTATACCACTGTTTTTTTTTTAGAAAATGTTATTGGTGAAGTAAATAATGCAGAAGGTATAATCAATACAATCATAACTGATTTTCGATTAAGTTGCGGGGCTGCTTGTTCAACTCTAACGAAAAACCTAATAAATAAATTACTAAACAAAATTCTTGAGGATTCTAGTGATAATTTAGAGTTATACAAAACACAAACTGAAAGATATAAACTTGGAGAGGTATTTTTCATTTTTTTTTCCATTTAAAGTGTCCACATAAAGGTCTGCATCAAATGGGATGTTTTTTTTATTATAGACGGATAAAATTAGGCATCGTAGTTAGTTTTTGCCTTTTAAAAAACGAAAAATAAGTACATTATTGTATTTGAGCGACTCGGTTTGCATGTTAAATTTGGTATTTCTTATTAAAATGTCGGAAAGGGTCCTTATTAAAACTTTGGTAAATGTTGTTACAAATAGTTGTTTAGTTTTATTTTTTTTTCTTGAAAGTCAAATTTTCCCACTTTACAATTATTTCCATTTTGTATCAAAATTTCGAATATTTTGACCAGGCCCTGTAAAGTTTTACATATTGATGAACAAATATTTGGTATATTTTATATTTAGCAAAATAAATAGTTATGTTGTAGTTAAAAAATATCTGCGAAAATAGTTTTTAGTACAGTACATCTGCTGGATCTGTGTCTATGAAAGGAATGCAGACAAAAAACATTTAAACAAACAGCAATATATTTTATACGTCCACTTGACGAGTATGTCACCGAAAATCGCTCCGCCCACTCATTTTATTGGCTACTTGCAAATTTGTCGAATTTTTATTGATGGGACGCGTCGTCTAATTTTTTACGAAAAACATCGAGAGAATATCGTTTCCCTCTCACGGATACCCCGTAGCTACAGAACGGACAGACGTACTGTATAATAGTGCGCCAGATTAAGTCGTATTAAATATTTTAGTATTGATATGTAAAATTTAATATACAGGGACTGCTCAAAATAAAAAAAAATTGACAAGAATAGAAATTATCGTAGAGTGACAAAATTTGGAAGGGTAATAAAAAATGTGAAGGTATAATCGAAAAAAAACGGCGTCAAAAACAGCTGGGGAATCGATGATAATTTTGACGAGGTCAGTCTCTAGATGTCATTTACTAAAAATTGACATAAAACTTGTCAAAGATTAACACTAATTATAGAAAGATTAAAAAAGGATAGAACGTTTCCAGACACAAATCTATTTCCAAAAAATTATTTGTCGAATTTTAAGCTACACCTATTAAAAATAAATTTTACTATACCGGGTGCGTCTCAAAAGTGGCTCACCCCTATAGCTTTTTTATTTTTTCAGGTAAAAAAACGAGATTTGGTATGTTAGTATATGACATAAATTAGGATTGATTGACGTATTCAATTGTTTTTGGTCACTTCCTGTTTCACCGGAAACGACTATAACTTTTGATTTTTAAATGGCCTCTTAGCATATTTTTACTTTATTTGATAGAAAATGACATTCTGAATAGAATGATTTATCATATGTCAACTTTTGACATTCTGGCTTAAAACAAAATGGGATTTTAAAATTCAATCTAGAGTGCCATGGTTATGTTAAAAACACTAATTCTTAATCAAGGAGCATTGGAAAAATATATTTGATTGTCTAATGTTTTTAGTGTCTTGTCCTGGCCAGTTAGAAAATGCTGAAATCGTATTTTTAATCATATCTCAATTTTTTCAAATGAAAAAAGGGTGGCTCATTAGCATATTTGGAAAAAGCATTTTTTTACGAATAATTTGGTATCACACACTTGGTATTTCGAGTCAAATTTTCGTTACGAACCGCAAGTTATAATTTCAAATAAACCATATGCGAAAATGTCAAAAGTTGACATATGATATGTCATTCTATTCAGAGTGTTATTTGCTATCGAATAAAGTAAAAAAAAAATACCGAGGCGAGGGTGCCATTTAAAAATCAAAAGTTGGAGTCATTTCCGGTGAAACAGGAAGTGACCGAAAACAATTGAATACGTCAATCAATCCTAATTTATGTCATATACTAACATACCAAATCTCGTTTTTTTAACTGCAAAAAATAAAAAAGTTATGGGGTGAGCCACTTTTGAGACGCACTCGGTATAAGAATAACTTAACGGAAAAATAAAATAACTAAAACCTTTTTAAGGCGAAAAAAATAAAGAAGAGTACGGGCCAAGTAAATGGCTAACTGTCTATGATGCCGTTTTTTCGATCGGATGATAATTTTCGACATTTTATTAAGAAATGTAAAATTTGACAGGTAAATTGTGTTTCGCAATTATGACGACATTTTTGGATTTTTTAGAAATTCGTACATAAAGTAGGTGTACGGCTGTCAAACGCTTTTCAATAAAAAATCCCAATTGATACTGAATTTCTGTGAACACAAACTAATATTTTTTGCCATAATGATTGTAGTTTAATTTTTAATACTTCTTTTATTATGTGATAATTTAATAGCTTGCAGCGAATCTTTATGCAGCCGAAAGTGCTGCTTATTTAACAGCTGGATTGCAAGACTGGTACGAAAATCAAGATACTGCTGTGGAGAGCGCTATCGTTAAGGTAACTATATACTGTGCGACCAAAAAGCTTTATGATAAAAAAAAGCACACTTCAAAAATAGCAAATTAAAAACACTAAATCACCACAATACACCAAAACACTTTTACTTTTACACTGGACGCGCGTTTCACTAACCATATTAGCATCATCATCAGATGATTAAACTAAACTACAATCTACAATTTGAGCGTTTATATACTCGCTCAGTGGGCACCGAGTGGGCGTGGCAAGATCTAGCCAACCGAGTCAGAGCCCACCGAGCGTAACAGTTAGGTTTCCGCCACTAGAGTAGTAGGAACAAAGAACTTGACGGAATTGAACCGTTGTCTCAGTTCATACTATCTTTATATTTATTAATTCTGATGCTTTCATATGCATCTAATTGCCTGTAATTTGAGACTTGTTTAATTAATTTTAAATTATTAAAATCTATACAATGTTCTTTATCATCAATATGTTCAGCAACGCAAGATTTATCCGGTCTACCATATCTTATCTGAGCTAAATGTTCTTTAAATCTAGTTCTTCTAGTTTGCCCAACATATTTCTGATTACAATCTTTACAAGATATTTCATAAATACTCGACCTTTCCAGTGGAGGTGTTTTATCCTTTGGATTACCTAATAATTGTTGTAATTTATTATTAGCACTATACACAAGTTTATAATTGACATTCTGAAAAATTCCTTTTAGACCACGGGATAACTCTCTATCAAACGGTATTGAAAAATATTTTGACCTATCTTTCTCCACTTGAAAAGTCGAATTTTCAGAAATCATTAACCTATACCTACGTTTTCTAATTATTTTATCAACTAGTGAAGGAGAATATCCATTACACTCCGCTACATTCCTAATGTAATCTCTTTCTATTTCATATCTTTCGTTGGTAAGTGGAAAACTAAGTAATCTATGAACTAAGAAATCTAAACTAGCCATTTTATGTTCAACACTATGATATGATTCATTAGGAATATATCTGCGTGTAGTGGTATTTTTCCTATAGATCTCAAATTCCAGGCAATTATTACTATTTCTAATAGCACACTTGATAACTGTTACATAACTGTAGTGATGGGTTGTTATTTAACTATCTGTTATTTTATAACAATTATTTAGAAATAACATAACGCAACCGTTACTACTTCTAAAAAATAACAGATATAAAATAACGACACGTAGAGATCGGCCGCTCGTGAAACGAAAAATGAAGTCAGCGCTCTGCACCGCCACGAAATTCTATGCCGCTCGAAGCAATTCCAAAAAACAACTAGTATGGATTTAAAACATGTTATTTCGTCAACCATCGATACAGGTGGCGAGACAACGGGCAACGGAGTGGGGAATGCGCTACGGCGAACGTAGCTGCTTCGGTCGACGCCGTCGGTGGTCGTATTGGGTTTGCAACAGCTTAAAAATAATGGGATATAAAAGAAGCAGGTTTTTTGAAACAGTTGTGAGCATAACGCTTGGCGGTCGAGATAACAGGAGTGGGAAAGGAACGCTGCTGCATCGGTCGATTGTCGATGGAGGCTCGCAACGGGTTGGAGAAGCAGTCATTTTAGATACAACCTGTTACGAGCATAACAGGGCGACGGTCGAGATAATCGGAGTGGGAAAGGAACGCTGCTGCATCGGTCGATTGTCGATGGAGGTTCGAAACAGGTTGGAGAATAACGCATCAGTTGTTTTAGATACATTGTTTTTCAACCTGTTACGAGCATAAAGGGCGGAGGTCGAGATATTATGGCGCTGTATGATTCAGTACGTTATTAAGTTTCAATATTTAGGTGTTTATTTATTCTGAAAAATTTTCAGAATATAATTTTAAGATTTTTTAAAAATGTATGCAGTGTGTTTTGAAAAATCTGGTCATTGATTAATCACGATCCCGCTTAAAGCTCTTGACGTAAAAAGCTGATTTTTGGAAAACGGATTGACTTTAGGGTGTAGAGGTTCGATAAGAAGGGATTTTTCGAAACTCGAATTCTACGGGGGTGAAACCACCCTCAAATATTAGAATATTTTTTATTTAAAAACCGGTGAGTTTTCGGAAAAACTCTTAAACACGTATATTTTATTTCGTTGTTTTACATATTTTAAGATTTTTTAAAAATATATACAGGGTGTTTCATAAAATATGACCACTGAGTAATCACGATTCTGCTTAAACCGCTTGACGTTTAAAGCTGATTTTTGGCAAACGGATTGACTGTGGGGTCGAGGTTCGATAAGGAGGGGTTTCTCGAATCTCAAATTCCAAGAGGGTGAAAACTACTTATTTAAAAAAACGGTTAGTCTTTCGGGAAAACGCTTGGACACGCATAATTTATTTTGTTTTTTTACATATTTTGAAATTTTTTAAAAAATCATACAGGGTGTTCCAAAAAGTTGAGTAATTGATTAACCACGATTCTGCTTAAACTGCTCGACGTTTAAAGCTTATTTTTGGCAAATGTGAGAAAATTTTATCCAGTTTGTATGTTAATAGAAATTCTTGCTTTGCTTTATCATCACCATTACAAATTATTAATTCGACGCGAACGAAGTCCCAGGTACACGCTAGTTTAAGTGTAAAATTAATTCGAACTCTAGTGTGTAGTTGGTTTACTTATGAAGAATATACTACACATTTTCATATATTGCTATTTTTTGACCGCAAATGGTAAAATTATAACTAAGAGCTTCTCGCCCGTCGAGTGAGATGCACCCTGTACACTGCTACGCAATTCAGGATCTACACGGATCGAGGGGCAAGGCGTAGGTAGATCGGAATGTATAGGTATAGACGAGTGGCGGAATTTTGGCTTTTTTATATCGCAATTTGTAAACAGCGCTTATTTGTAAACAACCACCGTTTTAGAGAGGTATTTTAGATAACAATCGATATTTAGAAATGTTTGACACCCTGGAAATACTACCACCGAGCATGTCATTGTTTGCAACTTGCAACTGCGTTAATACGCCTGGCGGTGACCGCCTCATACTCTTTCAGATATTTAGCAATAAAATAAAGAAACCTGTTATTTTTAAGCTGTTATTTTAAGCTGTTTTTTATAAATAACTATAACAGTTTCAACTGTTATCTAAAAATAACAGTTTTGCCCATCACTACATAACTGTAACATTTCTTTTACATATCATTAAAATATACCACACCATTGGAAAAAGCGGCGCGAATTATATATTTAAAAACCAGTTCTGCTATTTTTGGAAAAATAACTTACATATTTAGCGATCCTTATATTTCTGAATAGGTGTTGTCATCAGAAGCAGCATACAATGCTTCCACTATTTGTTTAGATGCCGTTGGACTATCTGCAGTGTCTAAAAATCACTGGACAAGAACGCTTCATGAAAAGGCAATTGATTATCTGACATTATACGAAACTAATGAAAATCAAAGACTGTTTATAGCTTTAACGGGATTACAACATGCCGGGGTAAGACTATTTTATATAATATACATAATATTATACATTTTCAAATTTAAATAACTCGGTTATTTTGAATTTATTTTAAAAATGGTAAAGAGAGATATGTTTATTTTTTTTAACCCTTTAAAAAATCTGCACTTGTTTCGGGGACACCCTGTATATTAAGACTAGTTACTACAGGGTGTTCCAATATTCCGTCGATATAGAACTACTACATATTTTTGGAATTAAAATAAGTTCATTGGACACAATTTACCTCTATACACAAAAGTGCTTCGTTTGTCCGCTAGAGGGCATCAAACTGTAAACCTTTGAATAAGAAGACTCAAGGTCGATTTATAAACTGAAAACGGTGCGGTTCGACGTTGCGGTTGCGATTATTTCTATTGACTATTACTAACGTTTCAAGGTCAACGTTCCTGTCGAAGTTAAAAATTGGTTAATTTTTGACGTAAAACGTCAACCGCAACAACAACCGAAAAATTTATAATCAACAAAACATCCTGCGTATAAACAAACTTTTTACCGACCGTAACGTCGGGCGTCGAACCGCAACGTTTTCAGTTTATAAATCGACCTTAAGGAAGGAGCATATCAAAAATCTTAGGTACACCGCGATGGGCCTCAAATATGGCCGACTTAAATTCCGGTTTATCAGTGTCGTTCTAATTTTATTTAAAAAATGTAAAACTATGATGTAGGGTAGACGTGGGGTAGACTCAATAATTTGTTGTTTTATTTTACGTTGTGAATAAATGTTGGTAGTTACTAAAATTGTTATAAAAATATATAATTCTAATAAAAATAGATAAGTTATAATAAGTATTTATTAACACAAACATCCGATACGCTACTGAAGCAGGTAAAGTCAAATTAACGTATCTAAATTCTTTGACATCTAATCTTTAAAAAGTAATAAATAAAAGCTAAAATGCAAGAAAAATATGTAATTTAGTTAATTTAAGTGAATTTCATAAATGATCGGTTTACTACACGTATGTATATTATATAGTCACTTACTAGCGAAAAGTTGTTCCATTATTTCACTCAATTTTTGCCGAGATCTACCGCACGCTACACAACCAACTATTTTAGAGTCTTTTTCGATAAATCGCGATAGTGTCGCTGTTAATTTAAGTTCTGCCACAATTTCCATCTAGATTTACTACCTTTATACAACTATCAGTAGTAGAATAAATAATAAATAACATAAAATAAGCTCCGTAAAGACTGACAAATCCACAAAATTTCAAATCAAATTCAAATGTGTCAAATGAATCGTCAAACAGAACTGTCAAGGATCCCCACCCTAGAGAGCTTTTTCCGCCCACCATGCATGAATACATGGATAGCATTTAAAACAAATTTAAACATTTTTTCAGATATTTTAAGAACTGTTATTCCGATTTAATTGAGATTTTGGGTGTCTGTGTCTCTGGTGCTAAGTGCTTTAACATTTGACTTTTACAAAAATCAAGAAAAAGTACGGGAAGGGTGAAAACTACCCCCACTTTTACATAAATTTTAGTGTAAATATTTTTCAACTCCAGCAACAACAGATTTTCTTTTGGTAAAATAGTACCTCTAGTATTTACTACATTTTCCGTCTCTGTAAAAAACGCCACATCGGCGTCGCATAGTTTTTGAGAAAAAAAATTTTAGAGAATTTATTTTTCCAAAGCAGGCCTACAAAATATACAGGAAGTTCCAGTATTTCGTGGACATAGAACAACTACGTATTTTTTGAATCAAAATAAGTTAATTGCGCATAATTTACCTTTATACAAAAGTGCTTCGTTTGCCCGTTAGAGGGCACCAATCGAAAATAAACCCCAACGTTAATTAATTTATAATTTATTTTTTTTAAGCTTATTATGAAGCTTATTGTCATATACCCTGCTGGCAAGAGAAACTTTGGGTAGGCGTTTATATGTATAGAAGTGAATCGCTATGACAATCTCTTAATTTGCAGCTAGATTTCATGCGCTTGGAAAAATACTTGCCTTCTGTCTTTATTCAGTACATCTTATTTTACTAAGCGTGTTGACTAGTCTTCGCACACGCGAAAATCGGCACCCAAGACTAGGGTTTCATCGAGACGAGAAATCTCGAAATTTGATTCGAGATTCTCGAAAATAAATAACTGATTTATTATTAATAAAAAAATTGGCGCCGGGAGGCACGTATAGCCGCCCATACTAAAATATGTTAATAAAAAGTTGGTAGGCCGTTCTTTTAGTTTCAAAGTAAAGGAATTTTTTCAATTTTTTTTATCTCAAAAACTGCGACTTTGACTGATTTTGATGTTATTGCAAATTTTGTTGCAAATATTATTCCTAATCTTAAATTGAAAACTGCGTTTCGCTAGCTACTGTAATTTTGGAGTTACGATTTTTTAAAATTTTTAACCCCCTCCCATACCCTCTTACAAATCCCCCACCCCCACCAAAAACTAATGGCCAGATTCTCGGGTGCCACAGTATTTTTGAGCCAAATTTGGTTAAAATCGGTTTAGCTGTTTTTCAGTTATCGTGTTACAGACAGACAGACAGACACCATGAAAATATTTTGTATTTAGGTCATTTATGATCGAAATAACTCATTTTGAGTGAAATTAAAAAAACTTTTTTTTTTGCCGATCTTAATAGCCTACCATACCTATTGGTATGGTCGGCTAAAAATATCATGTTATAAAGTCTGCACCAAAAAATATAGGGTAAATTTTTTCTGTTCAAAAGGTACGTTATAGAATACAGAGCTATTATAGGTATGGTATGAACTAAAAGCCATGTGTAACAAAAAAACGCAGACTTTGGCCCAAAATCCCAAAAATAAAAATATATTATTTTAAAAAGCGAAAATCAAAACGATTCCTTTATTTTTCAATTTAGTCTTTTATCCATATGGATTTAAAATTTACCTAGCTATCTACGAAAGTTTAAAATTTTTACTTCGTTGTGCAACAAACTCGAGTTTTATTTACTCGAAACAGTCTTTTATTGAAAAACTTTTTTTCTTCGACATTACTTAAATTTATTTAACTCAATAGGAGTTAATAGTGAAATTTATACAAAAATGGTGCCATAAGAACACGAATATATTATATTTACGGCATTTCTTTATTCTGAAAAGACCGACTGATCGAACAGTTTTGGGGAAGTTATCTTATTATTATTTGTAATAATTGTAAATAAAGAAATGTAAATTAGCATATAAAGAAATATTTTCCAACATAGTTTTTTATTTCCATTTTTCTAGCCTTTTATGAGCTGTTGAGTTGTTTTAAGCATCTAAAGTTTTTCGAGATCGAGAAATCTCGAAAAAATTTCTCGATCTCGAAATATCTCGAAGTCATTTTCTCGATCTCGTCTCGAAAAAAAATTCTCAGTCTCGTCTCGATCTCATCTCGAAATCAAGACGAGATGAGAAATCTCGAATTTCGAGAATCTCGTAAAACCCCACCCAAGACCAGAAATGTCAGCATTTCTGGTTCCTTAGTATAATATGTGATACTAACATAAAATACCATATTTTCGCTAATTAGATTATTAGAGCATAATAGGTTTTATAGCTTGATGTGACAAAAAAACATTTTTTGGAAGTCATCATCGGAAAAATAATTTATTCCCCAAAAAGTATGCGCAGTGGCATTTTTTTATAAGAGACAAAAAATGTAGTAAATACTAGACGGACAATTTTACGAAAAAAAATCTGTTGTCAGTTAAGTTGGAAAATATTTATACTAAAATTTATGTAAGGGAGGTAGTTTTTACCCTTCCCGTACTCTTTCTTGTTTTTTTTTGTAAATGTTAAATGTTAAAGCACTTAATTATAAAATATAAATAGAATATAGAACCCCAAAATATCATTCAAATCGGAATAACGGTTATTAAAATATCTGAAAAAATGTGTTTATTTACTTAAAGTTTGATGCCCTCTAGCGAAGAAACCAAGCACTTTTATATAGAGGTAAATTGTGTCCTGCAAACTTATTTTGATTCGAATAATAGGTAGTAGTTCTATTTTCACGGAATATTCAGACACCCTGTATTTAACTAATTTTAGTTTTAATAATTTATAGTTCATCAGGAAAATACTATTCCAAACTCTGTAGAACATTATAGAAAGTTTTGATGGTGATCCTTTATTTTTTATTTTAGTTGAGTCTCGCTGAAAAAATTAAGAAAATTCGCAATCCACTATTCCACGGTGCATTTACCTTAATGAGAGCTTTTGCTGGCCAAAGAGATTTGACAGATGACCCCAAATTGAATTTAGGTTTAAAGCATTATTTACATCCCTCTCTGGGACCAGCTTCTGAGCATTTGGAGTATAATGAAAGTTAAGTGAAACATTGACTATTTCGTTCATAATTGATTTTTTAGGTATGGAATTAAAAGATTGGAATTTGCCACAGAAAATATTCTCTCTAAATACGGATTGGAAGTTATTAATGAACATGTTGATCTGTGTCGCTTAGCTAATGTGATTATAGAGTGTTATGCAATGACTGCAGTTTTAGGTAGGTTTTGGTTTTGTACCGTGCTGGCAACTCTTATTTTTGGGTCGGTATTTACATGTGTGAAAGTAAATCGCATAGGGATCTTTTTAAGTCGGAGTGAGAGAAATGTAACGGTGTGCTATTGCGGCGTTGCCACATTTCTCCGGTACGCCTTTCCCTATTAAGTAAAGTAAAATCACGATCGCAAACCGCTTATTTTTAAAAAACATTTTTTTTTTCGAAAAGATAACTAGATAAAATCTTTAGATATGTTTTTGAGCATCTGAAATGGAATTATAACGAAATCGTTATTAAGGTGTCCATTTTTTTATAACGAGAAAACGTCAGTAATCGTGATAATTTAAAAACTAAACTTTTTAACACAACACGCGATAACTCAAGAACTACTTTAGATATTGAAACTTTTTTTTTATTTTGAAATTCGGATCTTTTACAAGATGGCTTGTTTTTTTCCATAAAAAATTGTAAAAAATATCCATTTACTTTTGTGCATTTAATGCAATTTTCAGTAATTGTGTAACTTTTTTATTTATAAAGATTTTCACATACTGGCTGCAACGAAAATATAGCAGAAATACTAAGAGCGGTTTTGAAAAAACTACAATCAATTATTTCTAATGGATTTCGAGATATCAATTTTTGAATTCAGAGTTCTAATAGCGCGACCACTGCCGAACACCAACTCAGTTCCACTTATTTTTACCAAAAGTGCAAGTGATTCTAACTTGCACTTAAAAATTTACAAGATATAAGGATAATCACAACAACTCGTTAATAAATAAACAAATAAAGTATCACCCTTTCCTAGAATTTTAAATACTCATTTGGGTCGATCGCGACGAATCTGCTATATCCCCTTCCACGTCTCTCAGCAATGTTTTCTCGGTTTATTTATACATTATAAGCAGTTTCTCGGTTTATTTCATACGTTTGGCAACGTTTTTACCGTTCTCTCTTTGTTCAGTACATTATAAACGGATTGTACTCTTTTTACATATGGAAATCTCTACATAAAACTAACCTTTGCCAGACTTTAGTATACATATATCGTAGGATAAGTACTAAACAATATACAAAAACGGCGTCGGATTTGGATTTTAACAGAAGACCGCTGCCATTTTATATGAAAATTTATAATGTGAATATCATCAATCGTTATTTTTAAGCTAGTTTGAACAAGCGTCTAGGTACACCCAAATACGTTTAAATAAAATATACGACGGCCTCCCCATAAGAGCAATGAGAGGATTTACGTCCCAGTATTGAAGGAGGACAGAAAATCGAGTTGAATGTTCAAGACATAGGTTCATCCTTGTTTAGTCAAACCTCCTACAAACCAAGGATAGACTTATGTAGGAAATGCATTGAAATTCTATAGCCATCCTTCAATATCGGGACAGGAATTTAAGCGGTACCCTCCATATACTTTATTTTAAACGTATTTGGGTACACCCCAACAATATATTCCCGAAAGCTTCGCGTATTCTCGGTTTTGGGCCGGGTATTTCGCGTACAATCTAAACAAAAAAAATAACCCCAGATATTAACCAACACAATCAAAACACGCCGTAGTTACAATTAATCACCAATTTTTTTTTCAAAAAATCCCAAATTGTCATTTTTTTTGCGAAAAAAACTCATGTTTCTGGGGTTGAAATATACTACCCTTAAAAATATTTGCACTTATTTAAGACTCACCCTGTATATATAAAAAGGCAATGAGCACATGCTTAATCTACAACAGAGAAAATATACAAATAATCTACAAGATAATCCATCAATTTATTTTATGAATTAAACACATTTTATTATTTTGATTTATTACAGCCAGAGATACCTTTACCTATACCAGAGTGTTCATTGCAAATATTTTAGAAACTAAGGTTAAATAGTGTTATTACTGATGCATTTTCTCTTTAAATTTTAGCACGTGCTTCTAGATCATATTGTATAGGACTTCAGAATAGTGATTGTGAGTTGTTATTAGCTGCGGCATATTGTAATGCGGCAAAGGATCGCGTTCAGAAGACTGTTATATCGCTCTACAGTTATGTTCATAAGAATATTGATCAAAATGTTATTGACGTAGGCAAGCAAATGACGAAAAGAGGTGAATACTTTATAAAAAATCCTTTAACTAGAAATTTCTAACCTTAGTTTAGTTATTTGTAAGATGTACAAAATATATTTATTGTAAATAATGTCTGAAATAAAACTTTTTATTAAGTAACATAATCGATTTTTATATCTTATCATTTCTTATATATAACAGCTCTAAAAGCCTAAAAGGCTCATGGCTTGATTGGTTATCTTTCTCCATTTGTTTCTGTTTTTCGCCTTATTCTCCACACATCCAATCTTATCCTTCTCACGTCCTTTTCTACATCCTTTTTCCATCTGATTCTCGGTCTACCGCTCTTTCTCTTTCCACCTATTTCACGTTTCATTATCATACTAGGAATTCTTGCTTCAGCCATTCTTTCAATGTGTCCCAGCTATCTCTCTACATTCTCTCTACTCCCGTTATACTCGATGCCCGATATAGTTGCTTTAATTCTTCATCTGTTTTTCTGGTCCATATGTTGTCTATCTTCTTTCCACCAAAAATCTTTCTCAGTATTTTTCTTTCCCAAATCTCTAGCCTCGAACTTTCCGTTGCATTAAACGTCCACGTTTTACATGCATATAGCACTATTGGTCTTTTCATTGTTGGTACATTTTGATTTTTAAATTTCTAGGAATGTTCTTACTCTCAATATTTTTCTGTAGTGCGCTGACACATCTATTTCCTGCCATTATTCTTGCCATAATTTCTTGAGTACATTTGGATTCCTTAGAAATACGGAAATATGTGAATGCATTTACTTCCTCCTTAGACAAGGAAAGAGAGGGGACAGCTAACACGCATATTCTGCAGTGAAACATTTTTGAGGCCAAAATTTGATCGGCGGCCATACTTTGGTGACAAGATTTCGAGGTGACACCAAGCGAATATTTATGCTTTTTGTGAATACTGTTTTGTTTTAAATTTATAAACTGTGTTGTTTAGTATGGTGAAATGTTCAGCGTATGGCTACAAATGCCGAAGCGAGAAAAAAGTGGCTGGAATTACATTTCACAGGTAAAAATCGTCACACAACTTTTGTTATGTGGTCATAAAATGTACATTTTTTTCATTATAGCAGTAAAAATATCTAAATGCTTTTAATATGTCTTGTACCACATCCTAACAAAACTATTTTTAATAATTCCAAGTAGTATTTTCATTATTCTGTATTTTTCAATATCCTGTATTATAATTAATGTTTGAAACCATAATTAATGCTACTCAGCATGGATTTCTCCAGTGGCGTAGGGAATTATAATTAGAGAAATACAATTTCTGCAACAAACATTTTTTTACATATTTTACATGTAAAAAAATGTATAAAGTATTGTTATCAAATAGGAAAATAATTGTAAACTATAAAAAAATGAAAAATTCTAGTGATAAAAAATCTATACGTATAGTTGTTATATAAAACTTAAATTTACCTGCCAAGATTTGCTGAGGGTGGACAAACTTGTGGTGGGATACTTGTTACTATTTTTTTTAAATATTCTTTCAAAAAATTTGCTAATTTAGGTGTATAATAACAGTTTCAGTAAGTAATTAATAAAAATTTAAAAATAAATAAAATAATACAAAAGCTTCTAGAATTGTTTATTTTTTTTTGTGGAAAATTAGAATATTCTTATGATTGAAGGTAACAAATATTAAAAATTACATTATTCATTGAATCCGTACGCAAGTGTGAAGGGGATTGGCTAGATTCATTATATTATACCGTATGATCAAAAAAAAACGACGTTCAGTTGGCTTGTAAATGACGATCGACGACATTCCCCATATAATTTTACATATAAAATGACAGCGATCTTCATTTCATAGCCATCGCTGACGCCGTCTTTTTTCGATGTCGTTTTGTATAGTTTTTATGTCATTTTATATGTAGAATTATATGGGGAATGTCATTGATCGTAATTTACAAGCCAACTGGCCGTCGTTTCTTTTCGATCATACGGTATAATAATGAATCTAGCCAATCCCCTTCACACTTGCTTACGGATTCAATGAATAATGTAATTTTTAATATTAATTTGTGAAATTGTCATTTCCAAACAAACAAGACGCCGTTTTTTTCGATCATACGGTAATATGTATATACACATTTAAAACATATATATTTACATTATTTTTCATTTAATTATACCTTATACACACGTTAATAAATAAATAATTATCTTATCTTGATAATCAGTTCACTGTGACTGTTAAATAAATTTTGCATTATCGGCTTAGATATTCTAATATTATAAAGGTGAGACTGTAAAATACAAAATTGTATATGCATTACTCAAAAATAAACGATATATTTATTAATTAACGTTTTAATAAATATTTTTTATCGTCTAGGACAAGCTAATTTCTGATGCTACGCCATTGGAGAATTTCGCGTGGTGACAAGTGGCCTCACTTTCAGCTGCCGTGTTACCTGTCCCCTCTCTTTCCTTGTCTAAGACTTCCTCAATCGTATCGTTTATGTCTCAGAGTTCAATTGTAGACATCTTCCCTTCTCAAAATCCCTATCTGACCACTCCATAAATTTCGTTTTCTTCTCATTGTTTAACTTTTTGCGCTTGATCTTCTAGTCTCTTGGTCACCGATATCCGCTCTTTCCGATCTCTTGCTAAGATAACTAAATCACCGGCAAAGGCTAAGCGTTGGCGTCTTATTGTATACAGAAGGCCACCTCCGATATCAGTCGTACCAAAGTTTATTGCAGGAATGGTAGTCGTCTCGGCGCACTCAGTGATAATAAGGTGTTTTGGTGTTTCCCCATTTTCTCCACAGAATTTGCATTTGCCGTTGTTTCCCATCTTCAATGTACCGGGTGGCCCACTAAGAATAGCTCTCGGCTGTATCTCGGAAAGTATTGGCCGTAGGGCCTGCGGAAAAAAATATTTATGACTAAAGAGACTATGAGAAATTGCTGGAAATTATTTTCAAGTTTGTAGAACAACCGCTAGGGGGCGCCACTGCCACAAAAAATAAGAAAATGGAGTTTTTACACAATTTTGCCTAGATAAGGTGTACTATAAGTAATAGCTTCATAATCTTCAGTAAATCTTGAATATTTTTTGTTAGAATCATTTTCCCCTATCTACCAAAATAAAGTGGTGGGGGGAGGTCAGATCTGTTTTTATTTAAATTTTAATAACTCGGGATTGGATGATCGGAATTTAACAAGCGAGGGTTCGTTTAAAAGAGCGTTTCTTACTCTATATCGTACCATATAAATAATATTAATAAGCTTTTGAACGTAGACGCTAGGGGGCGTTGTCTTACAATTTAACAAACATTGCGCGTTTTTTCAAAAAAGTTAAATGCGATAGTATATGTAATTTTAGCTGATAGTAAAGAGTAATAAAAGCTTCAAAAGTCAGCAAAAACCGCATCTTGATATCTTTTTTCAACCCAAAGTTATTAACAAAATTATAATAAACACGAAAATATAAGCACTTAATTATTTTATTTTTCTAACACGGTATTACTAGCCCTCTTGATTATGAACATTCTGACAAAAAATAAGATAGAAATTATTAGATTATTCTAAAATCGACTATATACCAGAATACCATAATACCAGATGTATTAATATCTAATATAATTAATAATTAAGATATCAATGACAGTTAACAAGAAACGACGCCTCAGTGAAGTCATGGTAGGCTTTGGAAAAAAGTTACTTTTGACGTAATAGTATAAACGTCAAAGTGTTATTAGATCAACATTTTGATAGTCTTAGCAGCGTTTTTTCTCTGTTGAAGAACGGCATTTTTAGAAAACCAACCAAAAGATAAAAAAAGGCTGCTGAGACTATCAAAATGTTGATATAATAATATTTTGATGTTTAAACTATCCGTTTGAAAGCAACTTTTTTCCAAAGCCTACCATGAATTCACTGAGGTGTCGTTTCTTATCCACCGTTATTGGTATCTTAATTATTAGATATTAATACACCTAAGTATTATGGCTTTCTGGTTCATTGTCGATATTTTGAATAAAATAATCTTTTCTATATTATTTTTTATTAGAATGTTCATACAAGAGGGCTAGTGATACCGTGTTAGAAAAATAAGGTAATTAAGGGTTGGTTTGAAAAAAGGTATCAAGTTGGTTTGAAAAAAGGTATCAAGATGCGGTTTTCACTGACTTGTTAAGCTTCTATTACTCTTTACTATCAGCTAAAATTACATATACTATCGCATTTATTTTTTTTGAAAAAACGCGCAATATTTGTTAAATTGTAAGACAACTCCCCCTAGCGTCTACGTTCAAAAACTTATTATTATTGTTTATATGGTACAATATAGAGTAAGAAACGCTCTTTTAAACGAACCCTCGCTTGTTGGATTCCAATCGTCCAGTCCGGAGTTATTAATATTTAAATAAAAACAGATCTAACCTCCTCCCACCACTTTATTTTAGCAGGTAAGGGAAAATTAGAACCATTTTCCCTCAAAAGAGATCCAAAATTTACTGAAGATTATGAAGTTATTATTTATAGTATATCGTATCTAGGCAAAATCTCTTAAAAATTCCATTTTGTTATTTTCCATAGCTGTTACGCCCTCTAGCGGCCGTCCTACAAACTTGAAAATCATTTCCAGCAATATCTCATGGTCTCATTAGTTATAGATATTTTTTTCCGGAAGCTCTGCTACTAATACTTTCCGAGATACAGCCGAGAGCTATTCTTAGTGGGACACCCTGTACTGATGTGTTCATTGAGGAGACAGTGTCCTGTTGGTGGTGACCAAACCCGGTGACAATCCGACGATTGTTCTTACTTAAATCGAAGAAAATATGTGTGTAAGAAAAGAATGCGCCGGACAAAAGACATTTAAATAAACAGCAATATATTTTATAAATCGCAACCTATATAGAAGCGACAGGGAGCCCACGTGGACGATTATGTCACCGTAAAACACTCCGCCCACTCGTTTCATTGGCTACTTGCAAATTTGTCGAATTTTTATGAAACGCGTCGTCTAATTTTTTACTAGAAACATCGATTAAATGGTAATATTAATATAATACATCCTTATGGATGCCCCGTAGCTACAGAACGGATAGACGTGTACTGTAGGGGAAACCGGGGGAATCCCGCCCCCGCACGGGGAAATACCGCGCACGCCGCTGTAGAAAAAAGTACAACTAGTAATACACAGGTGTGAGACTGGAAGTGTTGTATAAGCCATATGAAGTTTGCTCCAAAAGTTTGGAATAATTGCCGGCAGTCGTTAACCAATAACGAGTATTTTAGTGCTAGATGGGTTTTTTCATCTATCTTTTCGGCAATTTAATCGGTTGATAATTAGTAGTTCCTGTGATTATTAAAAGCAGCTTGATTTTATTCCCTCACCAGTTCACCTATAAGTGTTATCGCAAGCGATCACCAATAAAATGTAAGAACTTTTGCTAAAATAAATTTTTAGGTAAAAAACGGCTCGCGGGGAAATACCGCGCAAAAACAAAACAAACAATAACGCGCTGCGCGGTATTACCCCAAATGTACACTCTTCTTGTTTATATTTTATAGCTTGTATTTTTTAGTTTATGATACCCAGAACATACCAAAGAGCATCAGAGAAAGGCAAATGGTCAGCGGATGCACTTAAATCAGAATTGAAAACTATGGAAGAAAAAAGAAGAGAGAAAAGAGAAAAAAGAAGCAAGTAATGTAAATATGAAGGAAAAGAGAAGAGACAAAAGGCAGAAAAGAGAAGCAAATATTGTATTATAAGTAAAAAATCAACAAGAAGCCAAAGCACATTCGCAATATTAAGTTTGATGACGATGATACTGAACCTGAGAGTTATTCTGAACGCCAGCTTTGTGTTGATGATGACTTTCGTCTAATTGTTTGATCCTTTCCCAACCCATGAAGATGACATCTGTTTAATTTGCGGATAGTTTGGAAGGGACAACGAGGTCTGGTATCGCTGTAATTCCTGCTCAAAGTGGGCCCATGCTGCTTGTAGTGGAAAGGAGAAAGGAAAAATCTACCTTTGTGACTACTGTTGCTAGGTAACAGTTTATTTTTTATATAAATATCTGTGTTAGAATGTGTTTTTTATGTTAATATACAATAATGTATCTTTACTTTTGTTCTCACTCGCATCTTTTTTATTATTTGTGTTATCTATATACCTGTATTTTATGTACAATAAAGTGTTAGTTAAACTGCCTTAAAATACCTCAATGCGTGGCATTCCCCCAGACTATTTTTTTGTGTTAATAGGTACAACAAAACAAAAATGTTTAATTTTCGATGTTGCAATAGTTTGTATATTGTATCAATACTCCTCATACAAAAAATACCCCATAAAAAAATTAACATGAATCTAGGAGCTATTTTGCTGATGTGCGCGGAATTCCCCCGGCTTCCCCTAAGTCCACACCAACTCCGCGGACCAAGTACGCAGACCAAATCAGCAGTCCAAATCTTTTGGTGTATGGGAGGTATTAACTTAATAAAATACTTTAGTTTTATTCTCTGTATTGTTTAAGAACGGAAAAAGATAATTACAATAGAAATAATAAGAAGTGTACATGTTATTATTAGAATAGCGCGGAAGACTCCTGGACGCTTATTTTTGCATCTTTTAAAAATGCATCCTGGATCCTCGTTTTCTTCAGGCATAAATGTCTATTTTGTATTACTTATATATATCATAAAAACAGAGTATAGATAAGTTTAACCATCACACTGAATTTGAGTCGATTCATCTAGACATTACCTACAATATAAAACATGTTTTAAAAAATGGCTGTGCTGAAGTTTGCGCTAAACTAAACTATTACAAAGATAAAAGCAAGAGGACACTGACCTCTGTTTTACTCTAATATCTCTTTCTATAGCAAATTATTCTTTATATTGTTATTCAACGGATCTATAAAAAATTAAATTTGTCTTTAACCTGTAAAATTGACAGAAATGTCAAAGTATTGTTTGATTAATAAACTACTTTTTTATTGGCAAAAATTATTTATTTTATACAGGGTGTTTCAAAAAACATGTGCCATCTCTCGTGGGGATATTCCTCACGTATAAATAAGATTTATTTTTCATATCAACATAGGTCCAATTCTACTTTATTTCGTAGCTACAGGGTGTTAAAAGTCTTAATATTCTTTCGATTTATTGTAATTTTCTTCCAAGTAGGTACTTTTAGTGATTCGAATGAAATTCTGAGGGTAAAAGTTACTATAACGTGCTACATTTTTAATGCTGAAAAAGTGTCGATCCGTGTCGATAAATTCATCAGGGACGTACATATGGGTTATCACTGGAATATTTTTCAAAAAAAAAGTGCGCCACTAACTTTTTTCTTTTGATATCAAAATTGTGTAGGCCGTTTAATGCCAATTAAAATTTATTTCTTGATATTTTGTCGAATTCGGCGTCCTTGATGAGAAACGCAAATGTATTCATCACAATTGATAAAATTAAAATAAAAATAAAATTAATAAATTATATATTTTATCTAATTTATTATTAAATATTACTATTATTAGTTATTATTACTATTAGTCTAACCTATAGAGCAATTTTAAATAAAAAAATAATGGTATTTAAGATAATTACAAAAAGCTAATTTTAAAAAGTTTTAACATCCTGTCAGTCTAAAACTATGCATTTCCATACACATGTTTATAGAAACTTTTTTTCATATTTTTTGATGAGGAATCAATGAGTACTTATTTAAAACTTTCGCAAGTTAATGATATTAATTTTTTTTAAAGGTTGCTATTAGACTGGTGGGATCAAGGCAAAAATTAATAAAATTGCGTTTATCTCATCAAGGAGGCCGAAATCAACAAAATATAAAAAGACAACTTTTAATCGGCATTAAACTGCTTACAATATTTCGCTAACAAGGGAAAAAAAGTCAGTGGCGTACATGCATTTTTTTGAAAAATATTCCAGTGATAACCCATATGCACGTCCCTGGTGAATATGTCGACACTTTTTTAGGTTTAAAATATGTCGCATTTATAGTAACTTTTACCCTCAAAATTTTATTTGAAATGCTAAAAGTACTTGGAAAAAAATTATAATAAATCGAAAAAATATTAAGACTTTAACACTCTGTAGCTACGAAACAAATCAGAATCGGATCTATGTTGATATGAAAAATCAATCTTATTTTTACGTGAGGAATCTCCCCACGAGGGATGGCACATGTTTTTTGAAGCACCCTGTATACTATTTATTAAAGATTTCTTAATACCAATTTAATAATTTTAGAGCCATATTTTAATTCCGATTTAATATTCATAACAAATACCGTATGATCGAAAAAAAACGGCGTCCAGTTGGCTGGGAAATGATGATCGATTACATTTCCCATATAAATTTACATATAAAATGACAGCGATTTTCATTTCATAGCCATCGTTGACGCCGTTTTTTCTCGATCATACGGTAGTATATAATACCGCATGTTCGAAAAAAATGACGTCTAGTTGGCTTGGAAATGAACATCGATGACATTCCCCATATAATTTTACATATAAAATGACAGCTATCTTCATTTTATAACATCGCTAACGCCGTTTTTTATCATATTGAGCAGAGGCCAACAATATTTATTTGGAGTTGCATAAAAACACGACTTCGTCTTTTAGTCCGACATTTAATAGTCGGTAATATTATTTTAACAAAAATGTTAACGAATGAAAATTAAATACCTTTACAGATACTCCCGTAGTAGTTTGATGCTTTAGTGTGTTCTGTGGTTTGATGTATGTATCACCGCCGCACAGTGTAGCGCTCTATGGACAAAAACCAGATAAAACCTGTTTCGCATTTATACAAATATTATTATTTATCGCCTTAAGAAGGTCTATAATTACCAAAAAATATATGAAAAAAATTGATACATGAGCAGCAATGCAAATACCAAAAATTGAATATCAGTATTTTTATTATAGTGGAAGTGTGTTTAAGTGACCGCATTTTTCAATTAAATTGGGGTGAATATTGTGTAGACGAAAAGAATATTTCCTAGCTGCACAAAATGGAGAAAAACACTTATAGCACAGAATATCTAGCTACGCAACAGAAGCCTCGTTACATGTATAAAATTGTAGGTAGCAAAAGGAGACAGGCTTTAAAAGTCTGTCTCTAAATCAGATTTTTTGATGTGCTAGTTTCGCTACTACATAATAGAGGGCAATAAATTTAAAAAACAGTTTTCTACAAACAAAATTTAAAAAGAATTTTTGTGCAGTGTTGTCCCAAGTATTGTAATTCATATCGTATTTCTTCCTGATAAAACTGCTACCTTAAAATTTGCTATTTCATTTAAACATATTAAAATAGATCAGAGCTATTTTTTCAGTTTGCCATGTTAGTTGGAATTAAATCTTATGAGCTAAATTACTATATCACTTCCTGACGTTTGATTGTATAATTGAATCCTGAATTTTCATTGTAATTCGGCGACAATATAATAAGTATTGTTCTACTATTATGATACCACGGCAACTGACGTTCGATTGTGTTCATACCAAGTTCATATTGTATAATCGGAAAAAACGGCGTTAGCGATAGCTATGAAATTAATATCACTGTCATTTATACTCCATATTTATATGGGAAATGTCATCGATCGTCCTTTTTCCATCAACTGGACGTTTTTTTCAGAAGCATATCAAGTGATACCATAATATAGTACTATATTACGACACATGGCGTTCGATTGGTCTTAAACTTAGTATACTATATCTTCAGTGACATTGTAATATCATGGTACCATGGAGCATATAAAGTGGTACCTTCTATAGTACCATATTTGATGACATAGCAATATTAGGTACATGGCGGCAATAGGGGCTTAAATGGTATACTACGTATTTTAGTGACATTGTAAACATGGTACTATGATACATATCATCTGGTACCATAATATATTTACCATATTAATGTACATGGCGTTCGATTGGGCTTAAATTTGGGATACTACGTATCTTCGGTGATATGTCACTATGTTATTCACGTAATAAGTCATGGTACCATGGAGCATAATAAGAGGTACCATAATATAGTACCATATTACGATACCATTTCCTGGCGTTCGATTGGACTTAAACTTGTTATACTACGTATTTTCGGTTACATTGTAATATGATGGTACTATGATGCATATAAAGTGGTACCTTAATATAGTACCATATTTCAATACCATTTCCTGGCGTTCGAATGAGCTCATATTTGATATATACTTGCGTATTTTTGATGACATTGCATTATTATGGTACCATGAAGCATATCAACTGGTAATATAGTACTATATTACGTACATGGCGTTCGATTGGGCTTAAACTTGGGATACTACGTATTTTCGGTGACATTGTAATATGATGGTACTATGATGCATATAAAGTGGTACCTTAATATAGTACCATATTACGATACCATTTCCTGGCGTTCGATTGGGCTCAAACTTGGTATACTACGTATCTTCGGTTACATTGTAATATGATTGAACTATGATGTATAAAAGTGGTATTAAATAGTACCATATTACGATACCATTTCATGGCCGTTCGATTGTTCTTAAATTTGGTATACACTACGGATCTTCGGTGACATTGCAATATTATGGTACCTTAAAGTATATCGAGTGGTACCATAATATAGTACACTATTATGATATAATTTCCTGGAGTTCGATTAGGGCCCCAAATTTGGTATACTTGCGTTTCTTTATAAAGATTTGTTTAATTAATAATTTTAATTTATTTTAAATTTTAATTTATTGTTCGATGTCGTGACAGCAACTTTTTATGCCGAACTAATAAATTATTAATTGTACCTGTGTCACTTTTTAAAATCTACCTAGGTATATATAAATAACGTGGCAAACTGAAGAAATTTTTTTTATAGTATTTTTAGTCAGTTAACATTTTTGTACTGCATTTTAATAAATTATTTCCATTATTATTAAACTTATATTTCATTACTAACGTTCCAGCATTAATAAATATCACTATCAATCGCCCTGTATATTATTAATTTTAAAAGTAATTAAAAGGTATTTTCTTAGTTAACATTATAAGGTATTGTGTATATTAAAAATGTATATGTTTTGTAATAATATACTTAAACCATTTTTAATAGACAAAATAATTAATATAAGTGTATCTGACAAGAAAAGAAGAATAGAAAGAAACACATACTGCATTATACACAATAAAAAGAATGGGATGCCAATTCAAGTCTTTTTGAATCTGGCAACTGTGCATATTTAGCCGAGCTATAAGGCCGTCGACGAGTCGTCGATCCAAAACCGAAAGTTCAAAATTTCTAATTATATTCTGATTATGATATTGTCGCGCCATCTAGTATTCTATTTGTGCAATTTTAGCTCTTTCATTTCGAGTATTTTTCTGTTGCGTAGCTAGATATTCTGTGCTTATAGTAAGTACATTCTTTTTCAATATTAGTTGTTGTTGAATTCGATCATTGCTTTTATATACATGACCATTACAAAAAGTCAAATCGAGTCTGAATGAAAATTAGTAGTGTAATTTTATTTAAGGTTTTAAAAAAATGGCATAAAATAGTAGACGAGATTTTTCGTGTAATGTTGTCCCAAGTATTGTACTTGTACAAAACCATTATTTCAGTTTCTGCGGAAAACTGCGATATTTTAAGATTTCGATTTTTTTTAGGAGAATGCCCAGTACTTAAAATAAAAGATATTTTTAAACAATGGTATATTAATGCCAAAAGTGAAAGAGTGGCAAAAATTTGTGAAAAAATTAAGTTATGTTTACATTTAGAAGATTGTTCTGAAGAAGTTGATTCGTTACAAGAAGAAAGTCGTTTCCAGGTGAGAAAGTTCTTAAAGTTTTTTCGTTTTTTGTTGAACTTAAATTATTGCCCTTTATGATTTTAATTTAATTGTTTTAATTTTCATACTGAGCTTGCCATAATGTTATCTGTCATTGAATAATTGTGATGGAAATAACTTTTTAGCCGTTTTTGAAAAAAAATAACCTTTTAATTTGTTTTGTGATTGTATTTTATATTTTTTGACCTCTGTATGACTACTGGAATTTGTTTATTATTCTGATTGTAATTATTTTAGCTTTCTTGGGCCTGAAGATAGGAATTGTTAAGTCTCGAAACATATGTCGCCCCCTTCTTTTTTTGAAGCAAATTAAATTTAAATAAACATCTTAAAAGATTGTGAGTTTTTTGTCCCCTACCCTTTGTCAGAGGTTTTACTTTGATATGTACTCACACTGGGTTGGAGAACGTTTTGTTTTTAATTTGTTATTTACTAATAATGAGAAATAATTACCCTTTGGACTGCAAGAGATTTTTTTCATATTTATAAAAATTATAATTAAATTTTTTTTTGCCAAAAATATTTTTAGTTTATTTTTATATCATAAAAATTGGTTTAAAATATAAAATATTATGTTATCTTTTATTAGTAATGTAAGTAAATACATTTTCTGGCGGTGAAAATCGAGTTTTCCATTTTTGTCCACCCCCTATACTTCAAAACACTGTGCGCCGCACAATTGAACGATCGTATGTTTGATGCTGGACATAACATTTAAAATCGTATTTAAACTTTTAATACAAATTTCTTCAAATATGTATTTAGAAGGCCATAATTTAATCAACTAAAATCGAATTTTATTGAAAAATTCACCCAAAGCTATATATTATTATGGTATACAATATATGCGTTTCTTGTTAAAGATATTTAATATGTGGGAAGTTTATAGAGCAAATTATGGATTAAATAAATGACTTAATTCATGTGCCCCATACAAAAGTTTTAGCCCATATTTTAAGGAATAATTTAAAAGAAATTTTGAAACACTTGGGTGTTTATTTAACTCTATTCTCCGTGAAAATATACATTTTTCGGCGAAATTTATTATAGTTTGCATCTTTCTTTCGTAATTATCAAAAAGTCCCACCGAGTCCCGATTATTTGTTGGTGGGTATGACTTCTCTATTTTATGCTAAACTTAAGAATACAAAGTTTTATTGCAGCCGCTTGCAGCAAAGATGGCTATGGAAAATTTTGTTTAAAATTTATTTTTTTGTGATACACTATACAATAATTAAGGAATTATTGTTATTGAATACATGTTGGTATTAAAGAACTGGACAAATCGCAAGGTCATAATTCATATAAAATAAAAATATGATAAAAAGTTCATTAAGTTTTGGAATAAGTATGAAATTATGCAGTTTAATTTGTAATAGTCAATTTAATACGGAAATTCAAATAAAATATCTATTCTGGAAAACACCCTGCACTATTCAGTAAGTTATCTATAATAAAGTTATGACTATTTTTAACAAATTTGAAGATTTAAATCACATTTATTCAAAAAATGTCTTAAGTTAGAAATTTTGCATAATTGCTGAATGTCCAGCAAATGCATTGCGTCGATCTACTGTGCGCCGGCGCCGTAGAAACGAACGATCGCATTGTGATCCGATTCAATTCTCACGATTCTTTTTTACAGGCCATCGTTCAAATCTTATATGGATCCGTGCTGGCCACGATTTAATTGGACGAACCGTATTGTAAGCAATTAATCAATTCTCACGACTCCTTGAACGCACGATCGCACTGTGATCCGATTCAATTTTTACGATTCTTTTTACGGCTTATCGTTTAAATGGTATGGATCAGTGCTGGCTACGATTCATTTGAACGAACCGTATTCGAAGCAGTGAATTGAATCTCACGATTCATTTTTAATACTCGTTCAAATGAACGACTCTTCTATCTTTGCCCACCTCTAGAGTCTAGACCTTTATTGATGCCAGATTGACTGTACTATGGATATAGTACGAAATAAAAAAAATGATTCAGTTCTGCCTCGTAGAATCCGCGTCACCTGTGGCTGTTCCCGCCTTTTCCCTATTCCAGACTCCACCCCCGACATTATTATCCCATCGAGGGGGGTGTTCGAAACCGGCGGAACACGTGGCGCGAAGTCCGCTCCTCGTATATCAACGTCGGTGACGAGACGCCGAACATCGTCATCATCGTTTTTCCCCTATCGCGGTGTAAAATCCGCGCGTCGCGACGCTCCAATTTATTGGGATAACTAGCACAACGATTGAAATCCATCGGCTGCGCCTGTTTTGAAAGTTCCTCTGTAAGCGTGATTAAAGTTATTTGGGCGCGTTTACGCGAAGCTCGACAGTGCGTGAAGTATTTTGAAATTTAATGTAAGTAACTTTTTAATTACCTTATATATCCATTTTATACATTCAGACGTCGGAAAAATTTTCGGTTTAGTTTAAAATGTTATACAGGGTGGTCCGAACTGTATTCCGGAAACTTCGGCAGCATATTCTGCAGATAACAATAAGTTAAAAAGTTCGTATAAATGCATGTCCGAAAATGCTTAGTTTCGGAGATACAGGGTGTAAAAGTTTCATTTTTATTTCGATTTTATCCAAATAATAATTTCTGAAGTAACATCAAAATTTGGATGAAAATTGGTGTCTGGGAGTTTTTTGACATGAGAAATTTGATTTTGATGTCAATATGACTCCTATTTGTAGGAGGCTCCACTTATATGTGTTTTAACTGTTTTGAAAAGTAATAAACTTTTCATCCGTACCTGTATAAAATTACTGATTGAAAAAATATACATTTTCCTGATTTTTTACGTAAAAAATGTCTCATGGTAAAAATCGCTACGAGCAACGGTTCTCAAGGCATGAATCGAAATAGTCAATACATGGCATTATTGACAAAAACTAAACATGTTGAGTTGATATTTATTTGACTGAAATGGATAAATTTGGGAACTTTTTATTTTTTTAAATTAATCATAAATTTTTCTGCGAAAAAATGATGATAAAAACAGTTTCTGTTGAACTTTTGGCACAAAAATATTCCAAATTTTTGATTTCAGCCTAATAACCATTTAGTCGACATGTATAATTTTTGTCAGTGTTACTAATATTTATTAAAACCAAGGCTGTATCATTAATTTTTAACGTTTTTTAAATTTTAATATTGAGTTCTAATTAGTGTCGATATGATATTACGACAATAGTCACCAAAGCCACCACGTGATATTAAAAAAAACATCATGATATAGTTGAAAAAATTGCAAATTGTTGGGGGCAAGTTCATTTCGCTCTTAAAAATTATGTGTCCCCTTTCTTTAGTCTTATCACACAGTCTCATAGCTTTGACAAAAGGCAGTATCTCAGACGGTCTCGACAGGTACAGAGGTTAGTTATCCATCTCCGATATCAGTCATACCAAAGTTTATGGCACAAATGTTTTTGAGTGATGAAGTGTTCTAGATTTTCTTCATTTTTTCCACAGAATCTGCATTCTTACCTTAGAACCGTTGTTTCTTACCTTCAATCTACTGAGCTGATCGACCTATCAACTTAGCGAGTGATTAATTCAACTCATACCTTTAAACTTCTGAGATTTTTGGTCACATTGGGCCTCTGAGACTGATTTCTCACCATACTATTACAGTCTAGTTGCATTCAGTCAAATTACCGAAAACAACGGTCTTCATATTGAACAAGCTTAAGAAATAAAATGTATTAGGTTTTCTTGAAAAGTAATGTGCCTTTTCAAGCAGTTTTTTCTTGCGGACTAGAGAAAAAAGCAAGATGAAGCAAGCAAAAAAAAACATACTGTTTTGCGTACACTATATTAATACTAGGAGTTACACGTAGATATAGAATGAGTGCAAATACACTAAAGTATTAACTTTTCAATGCATAATCTTTTTAACAATAATCTAGGATTAAATATTCTCTAACTCATGATATTTCCGATTCAGTCAAGTCGCGTCCAGTCAAATTATCGAAATGTAAGGCCTACAAATGAGACAAATCTTACAAACCAAATGCATCCATTCTTCCTTCAATATGGATGTGCTTTTTATTTAGCTTATTTGAAACTTCTTGTTTTATTCCAGTATTTCTACGAGTTTTTTTGTGATGTCTCCCATTTTATCGGTCATCGTTAGCATAAGCAATAAGCTGGTGTGGCCTGGTCTAGCCCTGCACCTTCATAGTCAATCTGTCAACTCTTTCGTACCACTACTTTAAGTGTCTTTTGACACAGCTCATCTCTTTTGACAATGCAATAACTACGAATGCCTTCAGGAGCGCTCGGTAGCCTACCCATGCAAATACACTAGTTATTTGTGTGATATTATATTACTCGTAATCTATTTCACCCTAGTTGCGGCTTTCCTACTACGATCATTATCTCTAGAGTTACTCTCTAGATCTGCGTAACTACGCACTTTAATACGCTTAAATACTTGCATAAAAATGTCAACAAATGTGAAATTAATATTTAATTTGAATTGATTGATTTTAACTAATTGGTTTTTAAAAAAAAATAATTGATTTTTATCTGCATACATACTTATTGATTTTGCTGCCTCAACAGCCTTCAGCATCTCTTTCATCAGTTCTTCATCATTTCTTTCACAGCTATCGACCAGATTTTTAGATATTTTTATTTGTAAATCCCAAGACCCCAGATCGATGCCCAAATATATTTTCGTTTCTGATTAAGTAATTGTTTATCGGATATTATATTAGCTGGTCATCTAACTCAGAGTTCACATACTGGTATTGAGTCAGATTAAATATATCTTCTATTAATAAAGACATATAGGTAGATAATGAATCAGTTTTTATGAAAAAAAAAAAAGTTTAAAACTAGATATGTTGCAATGTGTTATAAAATAACGTAGTACCTGTACAGGGTGATGACAATTTTGATGCTGAACATTGGCATGTCAGAAACTATATGAGCACAGAATAGCGTAGCTAGATATTCTGTGCTATGAGAGATACGAAGTCGGTTAAATGGGACAAAAGTTGCGTAGTTAGAAGTTTGACACACACCTACGAAGAAAACCCCGGTATCTTGATTAGTTTCGGATTTATATCAAAAAAATGAAAATAATACCTTATTTTAAATGACAATATCTTCAAAACTATTGTATCTATTGTAACTTAAGTTGGTAGTTTTATATTTTTGACCTCGGCCAGTTAAATGCCGTTTTCAGAAAATTTCTAAGCCTTCTAGATTTCGCACAACAGCCAAGTTTTTGTTTTCTAATGACCGCCATTTTGAATTTTTATAATATTAGATAGAGAGAAAAAAAGTCTATACGGTAGTATCTAATTTTTATTCATTTTTATGTAAATTCACTAAAAAAAATAGATTTTTTAAAAATCAGCCTAAGATCAAGTCTGCCTTGGAAATCCAATTGACACTTTATATGTCAGCAAGTTGTTTTTTGTTTATTCTATTAAGTGTCAAATCTGGACGAACAAAAATTGTATAGTAAAGTTAAATAAAGATCAATACAAGGAAATGTATTAAAATTACTGTCTCATATCCTTTGAAATTTGAATTTTGACACTTAATAGTGTAAACAAAAATTAACTTGCTGTCATATAAAGTGTCAATGGAATTTCCAAGGCAGACCTGATTTTTTGAGCGAATTTTTAAAAAATTTAAATTTTTTAGTGAATTTACATAATAATGAATAAAAATTAGATACCACCGTATAGATTATTTTTTGCTCTATCTAATAGTATAAAAATTCAAAATGGCGGCCATAAAAAAACAAAAACTTGACTGTTGTGCGAAATCTAGAAGGCTTAGAAATTTTCTGGAAACGGCATTTAATTGGCCGAGGTTAAAAATATAAAACTACCAACTTACGTTGCAATAGATACAATAGTTCTGAAGATATTGTCATTTAAAATAAATGTACTATTTTAACTTTTTTTACATAAATCCGAAACTAATCAAGATACCGGGGTTTTCTTCATAGGTGTTTGTCAAACTTCTAATTACGCAACTTTTGTCCCATTCCCATTTAACCGAATTCCTATCTTTCGTAGTTTCTGAGATGCCAATGTTGAGCATCGAAATTGTTACCACCCTATATAGATATTTGTAACGTTATGAATTTCTTATTGAAGATCAAAAATATAAAAAGAGTAAAACTAAAACTAATTAGTTACGGCGCGGCGCATATATTTTTTCACTGGAAACACTTTTTCCTGGCATTACCTCTTCTTTTCTTCTTGATATAGGATGAATTTACCGTCGAATGCAAAAACATCACATATTTCTATTATCATTACAATATAATCAGACCTGAACAATGAATAACATAATATGGTGATATTTAGATAGATACCAGATATGTAAATGTACATGCTTGAGGTTGTGAAGGTTCATTATATGAACATTGGAGGTGATAATACCATAAAAAAGTCTAATGATAACGAGTTATAACTCATTATACAGTCTCAGGGCTCTAACAAAAGCCAGTATCTGAGACGGCTCCACAGAGGCCAGCTCTCCATCCTCGACATCAGACGTACCAAGGTTCATGGCACGAATGGTCGTCGTCTCGGCGCACTCAGTGATAAGGTGTTCTGGTGTTTCCCCATTTTCCCCAGAAAATCTGCATTCTCCGTTGGGTTTGATAGTAAGTGATGTCTAGAGATTGGCTTGGCCAAAATTATCAGCGATTGTCATTCCCCAGCCGACTTTAACGCCGTTTTTTTTGGATCATACGGTATATTTGTTCCGTATTAACTACTTAGAAAGTTTTTATTTTCATCAAATTTTGGATATCCAAAATCGTCCCTTCTCTAACTTGACATAATTTAATATTATTTCCTTAACAGATTAAATCAAGTTTTTTAATATATCTTTCAGCTTACATAGTATGCTGATTTTTTTGCATTATAATCATATAAATTTATAGTATTATTTTCCTTCAGTACTTAAACATGTCTGCTTTTCGGTTTATTGAATTTTATATGTTAAGGGTGTTAATTCAATACCGTTACGAATGTACGAGTTCCAAGAGGGGTGAAAAAACCACGTCTATTTGTAGACATTTGGCGGAAATGACATCACTGGTCAACGTACGGAAGTGAACAAAAGGGGGAAGGTTGCACCCTTGCCACAATCCTGTCAAAGGTCATTTTCGTAAATGGATTTCGTATTATGTTAGTATGGGTTTAAGTAATTTTATATTTGTTAGTACGTACAAAAATAATAAATACAATTTAGTAAAAACAAAGAAATAATTGTATAATAAAACATTGATAATTTTTATATTATTGTGTAGAAATATTAATTAAATATATAGAGTTTGTATACAGGGTGGTCCGAACTATATTTCGGAAACTTCGGC